TCCGATTGTCTGGAGCGCAGAGACAGGCTAACAGACACGTGCACTTTAAGTGTCCCACATTTGGCACCCGCAAAATGAACAGTGAAAGGGGGAAAGGAATAAAAGGTTCTGAGTGTCTCAATTCCCACGTTTTCCATGCTGATTGCTTTAGACCTTCTTTGAATAATAATAAAGTTTCGATTTTGATGGTTTACCCTGGATTATTTGTGCACCTGATTTTTTTCACTTTCCATCTGGCGAGTGTTCCTACAGTTATGGTCGTATCAGGCGCATATACACAAATCGTAAAGTTTTCGATTTTACTCTCCCAGGGTTCTTTACATGACTGCCCACTTACTCGATCCTATCTGATAAATGGAGTTTTCCTTCAATTCTTGCTTGATTGAAAAGCTCAGTATCTGTGTAGCAGGGTAAAGTACAGGGTATGGAGATGAAGGGTGGGAGACACCAACTTCCACTTCCTCTCCGCAACCCTGTAAATGGAGAGCCTATCGTCGCTCTGCAACCAGTGAACTTCGTAGGAACAAACCTTTGTTCCATTCTCTCTCTCCCTCCCTCCCTCCCTCCGTCCCTTGCTCTTCATCTTCTTCTATCTTATGGTCGTATCAATCTACAAACTCACCAGCAGGAGTGGCATTTGCTACTCCAGATTGTGCCCCGAGACAGATGGTTTTGGGTAGTAAGTAGGAGCGGATGACGACCTCCTGTTGACGGAAGATGGAGAGCACAGATGATATAGGGCAAGGCAGTTCCTGCATCTCGTCTATTTGTGCTCTCTACCTCCATCATCATCTTCAGCCACCTCTCTCTCTCTCTCTCTCTCTCTCTCTCTCTCTCTCCCCCCCGGCCATTAGGCTGATACCATGTTTTGGCAGCAGTAGGAGATATATTCTCTTCCTCCGTTTACGTCTTGAGATCTAGTGGTACGAGATTATTCACGGAGGGAGGAATGATAGGCTGCGCGATGCCTTTGGAAGTAAACACGCCTTTGGAGACGATCATTCCGGCAGAAATCTAGTCTCTAGTTATTTATTACGTAAAATTTAACGATTAGGGCTAAGTAAAAGGAAATCGCGAAGATCCATCAATGAAATAATAATGGCGAAGCACCGGCAGAGCTCTGGCTACCTCTAGGGAGTTAATCGGTCCCCTTGGTGCAAAGGTCTCATCTAACCAGACGACATCTCGCCGGCTTTGAAGTTGCACTCAGTGTTGCGAACGTCCGGCAAACTCAGGACAAGCTGTCTGTGAAAGATTGATTAAGGAGTCTCTGAGATAAGACTACCTTTAATCCATTCATTTTAGCTTTATTACCTTATTTAACTAATATCAATTCCAACACTTATGTCGGACTGAATGTTTTGATTACAGGAAAAAAAGTCAGAACCATATCGTAAGCTTGATAATTCAACATCATATTATTATCTTTCACGCTGGACCCCGTTAGCGTACTCCGTATGTTCTTTCAAAGTTTATGCTAAATTTAAAAGCATAAACTTCAGTCTTTTACATTAATACAAATCATGGGTCCCATCATAGCTACCGAGATAAAAAAAAGAAAGATCTCACTTAGGTTCTCTACAATGTAAGGTAACACCATAAAAAAGGAAAAAATCTTATGCTTAGTTTAATGTTATAACAGAAGCGTATTGTTTCTTCGTTAGCCCGCTCAAATTTTTTACACTCTGTTTACAAAAAAAATGTCCTTTTATGATCATCAACAAAAAATTAAAAATTGAGTTCTAGCTGTGCAAGTTTTCCCTGAAATAGTTTATGATGAATTGCACAACAATTACCGGCTCCAAACCTATTTCAACTAAAGAAAGATACGTATAAATAGGATACAAGAGATATCTATAATTAACAAATATTCTAACTTTTTATCTCAAGTAGTGCGAAAGGTGTGGACCTCTCCTATGCTTCTCCTAGCTTTCATCCTGGCACCCTAAGACAAATCACTTCTCTTCTCACGCCCATCTAAGTTATCAACGGTATCCATTTTAATGTCCGTTCGTTCACTCGTTTCCAAGCACATATAATGAACAACACGAATGGAGCTCTTTCTGCATTTAATTTCTTCCAATGACTGAAAACAACATGAAGAGAAGTGCCAATTAAGTGCCTGAGAAATGGCTGTAAAAATATCAATATATAATAGCCCTGATTGAGACCATAACTATGGCTCATTACAAAGTATATTTGCCAACGATGTAGTCACATGTTACATAAGAGGGTCTAGCACGTAAAATAAGGGAAATTTTATCTTTCATCCTTTGAAATAATAGCTCTTAATATGAATAACCTCCAAATTTTGAAAGCTAATCCTAAGTAAATATCAAAAAATAAATGAATTTTGAATGTGAATCAATTAATATATAAGCTTTCACTTTAAATGAAGGTGATCAAAATGTAGTACAAATACTATCCAAAGCTAGGTAGCTAGATTGTGGCCTGTCTCCCTATTATCCATTTTTCTACACACCGAACTGAAAAAATGACGATAAAGACAGTTGTCTAAAAGTGTCATGTACTTACATTACAGACAGAAGATCATTTATAATGAAGCCGGACCCACTCTAGAATAAAGTTTTCAATACTTCGATTGGAGCTTGCGTACTGTTTTTTTCTCTACACTGGATGCATCACAGCTGTCCACACCTTACTTTATAGCCCACTACGTAGATCATCAAACGGGGTTCAGTGGAGGATGGGTGCTGCGGCTGTAGAGGGACTCGCATCTGGTGAGGGAGAGAGGAGAGAATCTGCGAATCTATTAGGAGAGTGAAAAGGGATGACCCGCCTGTTTAGCCAGAATCTCAAAACATATTCTCCCTGGCACATAAATACTTTGTATGATCACCCACATTACAGCCAAATAACATGCAAATACAACCATCTATTTCTATCTCTAGACGTACCCTTGTTCTGTTGATCTCTCCTACCAATATTTCCATATCAGGCCTCAAGGGCCGATCAATGTCCACGGTCGGCAGCTTCACAGCTTGCAGCAGACATTGACAGATGACAGATAGCGGAGAGGACAAGAGTAGGGGCAGCAGGCGGCGGAGGATTATACGGAGCCACCACCTGGACAACAGGTGCGGCCACGCGGAACCATGGTCGCGGACCTTCCTCTTTCCTTGTGTTCTACCGCTTAACTTACTTGTTTTACTTAAATCGGAGAGGTGGACCGGAAAATAAGGAGCGACTGGCGGGAAATGTCTTCTGTGGAAATGATTGGAATGAGGCTCCAGTCCAAAAGACGGATGTCTGGCCGTCACTGGGACAATGGACGGCTGAAAAGCACCAGACAACCTACTGATTGTGATCGGCTCACCCGCTCTCGACACGTAGGGACCTGTCTACATCCACCTCCTCTCGCCGCCAATGAAGATAAGCCTCAGATTTGTCGGGTATAGGCGCCGATTTCTTTATGACTGTAAACCCTAAAAAGTATCCTTCGTTAGGACTCATCCCCTCGCTGGAAATTCTGACCGTTATGCCCTCTGACTTGCGGATCGTCGCCGACCCCGGAATATGTGATTTATAAGTAACCTTGGAAGTACAGACGATGTGGATGGGGGTTAGAAAATTGATCAATCTTCTTGGGCTTCTCGTTAAATGAGCTTTCCACCTCTTAATCCTCCCACTTGCGCAAGCGCCGGGCTGAATGATTGGAAAAGCCAAGGACTTCCAAGAGTAGGAAACATCAGGCTTCTTTCCGTATGATCTCTAGCCAGAGCCTCTCTCCTCGGGTAAGTGGCAATGGACCAGATGGAAGGGCGGTGACCTTGGTATGAGACTCTCTCTCTCTCTCTCTCTCTCTCTCTCTCTCTCTCCTTCTCCATAAATGGGGGGGTTGTGGAGGGATCTCAGCAAGCCCTAAACGTTTCATCTCTCTCTCTCTCTCTCTCTCCCTCTCTCCCTCCCTCCCTCCCTCTCTCTCCTCCCTCTCTCTCCCGCTCTCTCTCTCCCTCTCCCTCCTTATCTCTCTGTCTACCTAGATAACATATCGATCTATCTCTGTTCATCTCCCTCTACGCAAGGCACTGATTTGTTCCTCTCCTTTGCCCGTAGGCAGCTGATGGTTGGAGAGAGTGTAGGAAGAATGAAGAGACGCTGTTGACAGAAGATAGAGAGCACAGATGATGAAATGCAGGGCGGTTCCTGCATCTCACCCCTTTGTGCTCTCTATGCTTCTGTCATCACTTCACTCTCCTCTCTCTCCTCTCTCTCTCTCTCCCTGAATCACCCCTTTCTCTCTTGATATCTACGATAGCTTTTCATTTGTTTCCGACTAGCCTCCTTTCACTAGTTCAGGAATCACGCGCATAAACATCTGTAGTCTATTGAAACATTTCAAATAGAGTGAGAAAGAAAAGGGCGGGAGGGAGAGAGAGAACGATCGTTAGAGAGAGAGAGAGAGAGAGAGCGCGCGAATAGGAGACTTATTTTACTGTCCATTTCTTATTTTTCTTCTTGTTATTCATACAAATTTTTAAAAAATCTTACCGAAAACTCTCCAATGATCAAATGTATGAGTTCCATCACGCATTTTTTTACTATATCTGAATTGTACGACCCACTTTCTTTGGCATGCTTTCCTAACTCCAAGTTTCATTGATGAGTTATATAGCTCATGAGAGTAGAATTTAAAGCGAGCGTTGCTTGCCTGTAAGATTTCATTTCAGAATAATCTATCATTGAAGTTGACAAATTATAATATCAATTTACATCTCTTTTGAGATACAGTTATTTAACGCCTTTGCTTATTCATTGATGCGTCAGAAATTCAGCGACAGTTTGCCAAAAAAAAAATCAGACGATTTCCAAATAATCAAATGTTATGAAGTTAAACCGACAGGACAAATTATTTTCCCACGAATTTCTGTAACTTCAGATTTTTTTCCTAATAAGTATACAGATTTTTTCATAATCATGCAAGTAAGCAATGCTGCAGATTTGAAGATAATAATTTTGCGAGACCCTTGAACTCCTGTTCATACGCCCTCCTTCATCTCCTCCTGGCCTCTTAAACTTTCGTTGTGATCTCTCGTCGACTTGGTCGTTGTGTCTAGGAAGTAGAGCATGCAGACCATGACGTAGCAGGAGACGAACATGGCTATCGGCCCGAAGATCCAGAGAAAGAGGTTGAAGGAGACGTAGAACGCCCTCAGACCAAGCGACCAGAATAATCCCCCTCGGTTGAGGCTCCTCGCAACGTAGGCGGTGGAGAGGCGACCTCCCCGGCTCGACGGCGACGGCGGCACTGACACGAGGAAGCTCACGTGGGCGTAGTACCTTATAGACTGGACATGGCAGAGGAATGCGAGCATGAAGCAGACGGTGATCGCAAAGAACTTGACGGAGGTCGCCAGTGGTGCCTTGTTGCCGAGCACCAGCAACGATGACGGCGGCGGTTGTGAGGAGCTGGTGGAGATGCCTGTGAAGACACCGATGAGGGAGGCTAGGGTGATGGCCGTGGTGGCGAGCACTGTGGACGCCATGATGTTGTTCCTCACCGTCTGCACAGCCAGGACGCCGTTCTTCTGTGGATCCTGTCGTCGAGAAAAGCACATGAGATTGTTGGGCCACTTGGCATTGAATACGGTGAAACCTATTAATTAGGACTGGACCCTTGAGAATGAATAGACCCAGAGTTTTAATTCCTAGTTTGTAATCTTCGACAAGCCGTCCTGGTGAAACCTATTTCCCATCTTACTCCCATCTTCAATCCTCCCCTCACACTACCAATTTTCTACTTATGGAAATTTACTGTTTCGTGGAAAATAGCCATGATGCCCTGAATACCTGGATCAGATCCTCATGAAGAGATAAACGATCAAACGGATAAGGATCATAAAATCCACATCATTTCCGTCTGTACAAAGTCAGTGTTAGGTCATCGTAACTGCGCATATTTCGACACGTACAAAGCTAGATGTCAACGGTCCATCAATTTTAGTGGGGCCTCGAATAAGTCATTACCTTTACTTGGACATAGTGAGCCGCAGCTCAGAGGTCAAGAAAAAAGCCCATTTTGAATTCACGTCTTGATCAAACTATATTAAACCATTAGGATTGTGGCTCAAAGTTTAGTAGCCAAGTCAAAGGTATACTTCTAAAACAATACAAGCTTTCTTGGATGATCCAGACAGGTTTCGAAGCCTAAGTCTAATTGGGCTTCGTGCACCTCTTTTGGTCTTCAATTTAAGTTTCATGGAGCTTTAACCCATCCACAAGGCTTCAACTGGGATCTGACTTGTCATCACATGGTGGGCTCTAAATAACCTCATATTGGGCTTCAACAATGAGAGTTCCCTCGAGTTTATTTTCTATTTTTATAATCAATCATTAAATGAAACGAATTAGGTCATTACCCTCTGTAGTAATTGGCAATGGCTAAGAATGATTGCATGATAAAAAAAAAAAAGAAAAAGGGCAATCATTCAAGGGTATCATTAACGTAATTAACGGACAACTTGATAAAGCTAAAATAATCGTAAATATTTCAGATGATATCCAAATAATGGAAATTTCCCTAAGATTAAATAATACGAATAATATTAAAATTTCCAAATCATATCGTAATGCTTGTAAATTTCCATGTTCATATGAGCCCTCGTTTTTCGTGGAATGATCTAGATCTCTCTTGGATTGAGGGATTTTGTCTGATAGCATCGTCTCTTCCAACTGGAAACCGACAGGCCAGTCCACTGATTCTACGATGGGTAATTGCAGCAAGGTTCACGACTCCATATCGATATCGGGTGACGATGGAGAACCTCAATCCCAAAAAAACCTGAAGCAAGCGAGAGAGAGAGAGAGAGAGAGAGAGAGGGCTGAGGCAAAGGAGGTGATCAGAGGATTATGGTTATAAACTCACGGACATCATTGCGTCGACCCAGCGGCGCCGGGCGAGTGAGTTGAGGCCGATGACGGTACGCTCTGGCTTCCGGTGAATGGCGACGATTAACCAGGCGTGGTATGCGGCCACAGCGAGTAGCCCCAGCGGCACCAGCAGAAAATCGAGGTGTTCCGTCCCCATGATAGGCCTCACAGATTTCGGCCTTTCCTCCGCTGCCGTAGGTATGGATGCTTTGTCTTGAATTATGACCTTTCTTTCCGATTTGGGGAAGATGATGGGAATCAGGCGGCGGCGTGGAACATGCGGTGGCAGGTTAGGGCTGTTTGACCGGTCTGTGGGTAAAAAGGTTCGAGCGTTATCAACAAGTCGACGTCCATACTTTGTGTGCTCTTGTCGTTTCTCAAAAGTCGATGGGACCGCCAGGCCAGCTCTTACGAATAGCCGCTCTTAAAACATGAGAGTTGATAACTATCCACGATTTAGTATAAGTAGGAGAAAGAGAGTGGTCTGCAAAGCGAAGTGGATCTCAGAGGGTGCGATGAATTCATTGAATTATTACCTCGGCAAGAGCAGGAGTGAGAACGATTTATGTGGTCTTCAGTCCACTTCGTATTCTTATTCTAAGAGACTCCCCTCAGAGGCCGACCACGTTACGCAGAGTCCCCGCCGCATCTTTAGCTTCATTATATGCCATTATAATAACCCAGTGATCTAACAATCCCTTTCTCAATTCTGCTTTTCCCTTCAGCCGACTGATATGCTCCTTGTGAAAAGAAAATACCAAGAGCATCCAAACAGAAATGATAGAATATAAATGTAGGCATCCCTTCAGCCGACTGATAGCATACCAAGAAAATACCTCTCTCTCTCTCTCTCTCTCTCTCTCTCTCTCTCTCTCTCTCTCTCTCTCTCTCTGTTTCTCGCTTTCTCACTCTACCTAGATACTTACGTACCTAGTACTTAAATGCCCATCAAATTCTCATTTTTTAGCACCCAACAGAAAATTCATTTTATTCGATTGTCATACTGAAAAAATCAGTATATCAAATGCAACAATGCTGCCTCACATCGTTGGTAAAAGGAAATCTCATATTAGAAGAAAGGAATCGAGAGATCACAAGGGGGGCAAAATCCATGGAGTTTAGACCGAGTTTATATGCATATATAAGATATGCTTCGGGTAAAAAGAGTGGTTGACAATAATGTCACTCATTACCTTGGTTTTCGACATGGGCATTCACCTGCAAGGAAAAATTAATCCAAAGTGAATTTGGGAACATTCCAATAATTAGTTATACAAGGATTTGATTATCAGGCTTAAGAAATATATTTGAATTGGTACGCATAAAATTCACAATATATCTGAATTGGTACGGTCAACAAATAGCTCTGAATTAAAAAATCACATAAATATTTTTTGGGAAATACAAGGCCTCCTTGTTAATTTCCAAGGACCTCACCATTTGCTCAAGTAACTGGCATTAATTCTCTTTCCTACTTCTGAAATAGAGTAATTCATCACTTATTCTGTGAAGTTAAATGTATTAGCATATTGGAGGATGAACAACATCCTACTAGTAACTCATCATCTCTAAACCTCAAAAGGTTGCTGTCATTTAGTAGTATTCCTTAAGCTATATTTTTTTTAAATGCACTATTATATGTTTGTATTCTTACTCGTGTGTCTGCCAGCATATGTTATTTAGTTACACCTTATTTAGCATACGTTATATGGTATGCTGTTTAAATTTAAAAATAAGGATAAATGTATTTTTATTTGGAAATATTTCAATAAATGAGATATTTAAGAAACTTGGAGCATTAACTATTTCCTATATTCACTATCTCATTATCAGCAATCTTGATCCAAGAGAGAGGATGAGAGGACGATAGAATAAAATTCTTGGCTGTAGGCTTCATTTTTCTCATAATAATAGAAAATAATATGCCATTTTTGTATCATGAAAAGGTTGTACACTACCTTGAGATTAATAGCCGAGACTTTCAGGGGATAATATATATATACATATATTAAATTACTAATCCAATGAATAATAATATGAAGGCCAAAATGTTGGCCTTAATGAAGAACATGTCCTACTGCAATCCAATGTAAATGTTTGTATTTGGCAATATCAGTTATAATGACATGAAGTTAAAGTCATTAAGGGTAGAATAAAATAGTTGAATTTTAATTTATTTTCCAAAAAAAACTAGAGTAATGGTTCCATATAGACAACAGTGAAAATCATATCATATAGATCTATTGTTAGCTCATACATCACAAATGGGGGCAATGGTAGAACCAGCATGCTCTATTCAGGTATTGTTGAAATGCATTAAATTGACTTATTGTATATGTAGGCATACCAGGTTCTATGATATCATTCTTTTATACCACCTTCTCATTGGCTTTACAACCATGCCAATAAAGAAATATTAGACTTTAGCTATTGAATGTAAAAAATTGTTTTAGGTAGTAATTGTCTAAATATCTATTATGTCTTTAAGTAGTGATTGTCACACATGAACAAATATCTATCCAATGTAGAAATTTTCTCAATAAAACTATAAAGTTACTCAAGAACCTCTTTATTAGGTTTCTTTCATTTTATATGAGTATCAATTTTATTTTTTAAATATATCCATGGCTACTTAATTTATGCATATTACTTTAATAGAAATATAATGATGCTACATTTAATTGCATTTTTAAATATTTGAATAAATTTCAACCAAAAAAATGCATTTTTTGTATATTTGTGAATTTCATTATCTTAGAATCAAAATAAATTTTCTTTTTCTGAAACAAGGGTTATAGATACAATTGCTAACTTTGATTTATTTAATGATCAAAACTCAATTTAAGTACATCATCTTCACTAAGTGGAATAAAGCACAATACTTTTCCTAGAATACATCCAAAAAAACTCAAGAATTGATCAATTTGGATCGAAAGTAATCATACTATCTCTGAAATTTCTTTTTATTTACTGTCAATACTCCTTAATGCATTACTTTGTAGGAGAGATATGACTGTATTCACTTATATTGTCTAGCCCCCTTCTTTTCCTAGAAGACCGCGAACCCGTCAGTCATCCGTCTTCGCAGCCACGGTGAGTCCCAGTGTTCCTCTATCTTAGTGAGAGAGCAAGTAGATCGAGAGGGAAAGAGCCACTTTCGGCTCAAGAAAATAAAATGTGCCTGGCGTTCATTTTGAGACTTATTCCGCCTTTCCGCATCGCGAGTGCACTTACTTGCTGACGTGCCATTCCTTGAATGATGATGGGGCAAATCTGACAAAAGATGGACACTTTCTGACAGTCCCGAGAGAGGGAGAGACGCGTGTGGGTTGCTTTGGGTGGAGGGGGCAGCGGTGAGCACCAGGCGCACGCCGCCCCCACCGGGCGTCCGTGCCCAATTGCATTCTGGTAAGACGTTCAGTGATCTTAATTCTTACGTCATCTGAACAAATGACCGCCGGGGGTGTGGGGAAGGGAGGGAGAGAGAGAGAGAGGTCAGAGAGGAGCAACGTAATGGTTGTGGTGGGGACAGAAACACCGTTGCCATGAACAAGGGATGAGTATACTTGAGTGTTTTAAGTGGATTTATACATACCTATAGCGTAGGTATCAGTGCCACAATCTCCTCTATTTTAACCTACCGAGTAACTATGTCGCAAAAGTACGTAACTAGTAACTTTAGAAAATCCAGAGTAATCGAAACTTTTATATCTTTATTTGCCTGACCAGCATTCAAAACGGAAGGTCTATGAAGAGATGGGTCAGCCATGAACTCCACGTGATCCCTCAAAGAACCCACTGAGCCCTTATCCTCTTCCCTTCCATGTTCCCTTTCTCCATTAGCATAAAGCCTCAGGCATGCCTACCCTATTCCAATTGGTTTTTATAGCCACATACATAATTATCCCCTATGTTAACAGGCAAATCTGTGCACTGGACTTCAGTTATCTCCACTATAATCTTTGGGCACCACACGAACTCTTCGCTCTAACTTGATGCTACGACGTAGACGCTATAACCCAGTCATGCTGCCTGAATATCCCTCCCGCAAAACCCTAAAAGTCGAAACACAGTTCTTTGGGTGCTGAACAGAAAATAGGAAAAAGAACCATCAGAACCATTCTTTACGACTGATGGGAATTTCTCGCTTTGAATTGCTAAATCATGATGACCCGTGTAAGTCTGGCTTAGAATTTTGAGGGGAACAAAGGTGTGCTCGACAATAATTGCGTAATAAGGGCTCCCCATGATTAAATAATTGTGCTGGAGGGAGGGGGCACGTAGCACAAAAAGTCAAGAGAGGCGGAGGTGGGGTTGAGGACTAGTCAACAGTTGAAGGCAACACCTAGCTGCACTTTACCAATTAAATATCATTCCCCACATATACCTACGTATGAAAACTCTCACTCGCCCTATACACTTGAAGCCTCAAGGGGCATCGGGAATCGAGCAAGTGGGTTTTGCCATTTCCCCACAAACATGCCTCCCCTCCCTCCCCTCCAGGACACCTCAGCCTCCACACTATCTCACACCTCAGGAATCCCTAGATAGTCCATCGGCAAGGCTCCAGAGGGCAACTAATTCCCCTCTTTCCTTTAAATACCGGCCCTAGATGCCTCCCCCCTCTACTTTCATCTATCCTTCCCCCTCTCACCTAAACCTGTTTCTCCATCTCTCTGTCTCTCTATCTTTCTAAAGTGATGGAAGAGTTGGTTTTCAGGCCACGCTTCGCTGATGCGGGAGGTGGGTTCAAAGGTAGGAAGAGGAGGGTTGCCTAATAGAGGAGAAATACGAGCAAAGAAGAAGCCTGAATTGGCATTGCGTTGGCGCACTTCTGAGCTCCGCCCATGGAGAGACAGAAGAGTGAACACTGCGCAGCGGGGAATTGAGGGTTCACGGTCCGATCGCTAGGTAACTTCTTCTCTTTCTTGCATCCCAGTTCATTCAACCAGATAAAGCTTTTTTATTTCTTTTCCTATTCTCTTCCCTTCCTGCCTTTCTCAACTAGATTCCCTCTCCTGTGAGAGAGATATTGTGCTGCGGGTGGGGAGGAGGGGAGATACCTCTTAGAAACATGGGTTGTAAGAGACGCATTCGCGGTGAAGGTCTCGTTTGTGTTCGGGGGAGAGAGTTTACTGCTGGGAATGCATCACTTACACATGCCATGTATCCGCTTCTAACAGCGCTTGGTTAATTATCAGTACCAACTCGTCTTCTATCCTAATCTCTCTCTCTCTCTCTCTCTCTCTCTCTCTCTCTCCCGCTTTCTCTCTCCTTGCTTCCTCTGTGGCTCTATCATGGCTTCCTTGGATTCCATTGAATGGGATATTTACTTCTGCACAGGAATATTCAGTCGTGTCTCAGACCGAGCCCTCTGCCTCGCCTGACAGGCGCATTTACGACCGTGCTCTCCGCCTCCGTCTCAATCAAGTTTACGCTATAATAACCGGTGAATGAATGAGTCACACACGGTCAACTCGTCCCTTATTACCCGGATAAAACGATTTTCATTACATCCTGGTCAAGCGACAGAAGGGACCCTTCTGACTTCACTCATGGCTTCATCTCCTAGCCATTTCTCTGTCCAAGTGCATTAAATACTCGTTGCACGATGCACCCTTCTTCACTGATCAAACAGTGCCCGTACGATTTGGTCCATATGGGGCGAGTTAACTCACAGCAGGTCGCCGTTGGAAGCGTCTTCTTCCCTCCGCGTGAGACAGAGAGTGGCGAGGGATCCTTTTGACACCGTGGAACAGACGGCGTGAGGGAGAGACAGCCTTTCTGGACAGGCCCTTTTAGGGTTTCTGGCCGCACGGAGAAAGGAAGAGAAGGTAGGGAGGGGACGGAGTGGTCGCCATGTGCCCTCTCGAGCAGGAAAAGAGACAGAAAGGTGCTCAGAGTCCTGGTCTTTCCCCTAGAAATCGTTATATTATTCTCATGATCAACGGAATCTAGGCATCCAAAGCTGACAAAAGAATTCGAGTCCTGCTCACCTTGAAGCACGCTGTGTTCGAAAAATTCAATATTTATGGACTCTTCACTGATTACGGTGGTTAGAAGTGTTGTTAGGCTCATGGCATTGGGCCCCTCATCTCAATTTACTCGTGGAAAAATCGATCGTCATGCTCAAGACTAATTGACGCGTAGATCATCTGTTTTAGGTACAATATTAACTGCCCACATTAACATTAAAGACGCTATCATATGAGATCAAATACCATAAGAACGCATTAAATTCTTCAACGATGAAAGGAATATAGTCGCATTTATTTGCGATTAAATATAGCATCTCCTTTGATGTGCGGTCAGGAAGATGCACAAGGATGAAAAAATTAGAAGAACGTCGGATTGAAGATAAACTTGCTGTTCTTCACCCTTTTTTTTTTTTAATTGGTGACCTCAAGATTGTTAACTGAAGTGGTGAGTGAAGCTTTCACCCAACCCTTGGCTACAACGAGTGGAACTCAATTTAAGATCGTCGGTGGTTTAAGGCTGAAATCATTTCTGACCCCTTCGGTACGCCGCTACCTCCTCCTAGTTATTGCCCTCGGGAAGAGATGCCCTCTGTGGAGAAAGGCGTGGCAGCAGCGGCTTAGACAGGTCCTTGGATGCTTTGACGGAGGGGAGAAAGTATAGAGAATGCAGAAGAAGGAAAGAAGGCAGAGTGAGGAGAGCCCACCACAGTGGTGCTCCTGCTGATGTGACCCATCGCTACAACTTTTCTTACTCCTTTCTGCCCAAAGTTCTTGCCCCCCCCCCCCCCCCGGCCACCCAACGCACTTGCTTCTGCTGATCTTCTCGTTAAACCATCGCGTAGAATTGGACCTGAGTTACTCTGGTGCAGTCTTCCCCATCACGACTTCACTGCGAAACCCTGCACAGACGTAAGAGAACTCTGCGAGTTGGAAGTATGGGCCTAGAAGTAGCACTTCCTCTCCTCTCTCTCTCTCTCTCTCTCTCTCTCTCTCTCTCTCTCTCTCTCGCTCCTTTCCATGTATATGAATTGTAGTCTTGGGTTTCTAGTTCAGCCTCTCTTCACTGGACTCCTCAAGGCCTCCTGTGCCGCCAACAGTAAAGGCTCACCCTCTTCTGAGGCCTGGGGACCAAGGTTTGGCATGGTGGGGGAGCCCCATTTCGTCCACTAGAAGAAACGTCATGGCTCTCCAACGGTGACGCAGGCTTTGGCGGGAAGATGGGAATCATGAAACCTGGACATCCAAGCCAATCCGGTTGGCAGACTCGGACAAGAATCGGTAGGGTCAACATTGGGATCAGCTAATATGATTATTTAGACGCGATTCTTCGTCAACCTGACTCATCATGGCTGAGTTCCTCTCGGCGTCAAGACTGCTACATCAGGTAGTCCGACCCCAGTCACATCAAGATCAATAGTTCCATGACAGGTCCAATGATCCGATTTCTACCAACACGGAGTCAACCGATCCAATCTCTTAAATATCGGTTAGCATCTGGTCAACCAACTGCTATAGAATCCTACACAAGTATTTTCATTATTTTTTATTTCCTAGAAATTAGTGTTATCGTATGCTATTTTTTCCGGTATTCTAAACGGCCTTCCTCATAAGTTTTCCCTGAGAAATAGTATTTTTGATTTAATAAAGTAAAATTACCGATATGGGCCTCTCTAAAAAAATCTTAATACATGAAAAATCTCGATATCAGAGTAGGGTATTAGGTGATATCCCAGCGAATATAATAGAAAAAAGTAATCGGTAGTGGCTAAAATTAAGAAGACGAAGAAAATTATCATTTCCCTACATGTCAAATCATCATACCCACAAAACATACCAAACATAAATATCGAAGATCCCACAGTTCATCTGCTCTCACGGCCCACTTATTAAATGGTGCAGTTTCAGCAGCGTGCCCCCACACCGCAGGCCTGCAACAGGAGACAACAGTAGCCAGCAGCAGCAGCAGCAGCAGAGAGCGGGTTCTCCTCCACTCCTTCCCCTCAGGTCCCGCTTCTGAGCTCCAACGGATCAGAACAGACACTGTCCCTCTTCAGAGATCTCTGGAGAGGAGGGAAAGAGGATGAGGAAGGGAAGGAGAGAGAACAGCATCATCTCCCCGTACTTGTCGACGGCACCTCGGTTGCCGCCGTCGTGCCACATTCTTGACAAGATCCATCGACCAGCACAGCGATATCTCATCGCGCGCAGAGGGAACAGTGGGCCGGAGAAGCCAGCGGCTGTTCTTGCCGTGGGAGATACGGAAGGAAGAGAGCGGGATTTCTTCCCCGCTGGTGTTCTCTCTCTCTCTCTCTCTCTCTCTCTCTCTCTCTCTCTCTCTCTCTTCCTCCGAGCTTCAAGCACCTCGCAGTAGATGATCAGAGAGTTGCTCCTTGTTTCAGCAAGCGGGAATCTGAAAAGCTTTGAGCTTCTGTGGAAGGCAAAGGCGGGAGGAAGAGGGAAGCTCCGGGGGGGCTCCGTGGGTCTGCTCGATGCAGCCAGTGGGTGGCACAAAAACTTCAAACCAAATCATAAAAATTATATTTTCATGATATGAGTAGCCATATGATAATGTGGGTAATATAACGTAAGATTTCAATATGTTGAGTGGAATCAACGTGATCGAAAAAATTTGTCGTACACCAAGAAGCTGATGACTCTTTGCAAGTGCTTAATCTGTTGTTGCCTGACGGCTTTAGTATTTACCTTACTAAGCATAGAAACTACGTGAAATGCTTGAATAAATGAAACCAACTGCTCGTCCCAAGAATCCATGGGGAAGACAGAAGCTTCAGTATGATGATGAAATCCGCTCGTTCAAAGAACAAAAAACTAGCAGCGTGAAAATGGCCACTGGACGGATTAATTGAATAATTCCGAAGGAAAATGGTTCCCTTTCCCATGTCAGCGGATGAAGAACTTCCAAAGGCTTCGCCGACCGGCTGGAGATGGTGTTACTAGGTGGTTGACCCACGTGGGGGGAGGATCTCGGAGACTGGAGAAGCCGGGTCTTCTTCTGTTCATGGACCTGTGCTGACATAGTCGGTCATCTGCCCTTCCTCTCATGCTTCCATTGTCGATAGATTATACTGCCTGTTGAGTCAAAGGGTTGGGAGATTGGAGTAGGCGGGTCTTCTTGTATAGTGGACCTGCGCTGACCCAGTTGGTCGTCAACGCAGACTGACTCGAGCATGCATTGCTTACCGACTCCACTAAACCGGTGTTAGGTTTTGGGTTGGGTTTTATCTTCGAGCTCCCAGGCTGCGTCGAATGTTTTGACAATGTTGTACCCTCCGCAGAGTCAAGTTATGGCGTGACGTTGACTAAGTAGAGATGAAGAGAGTAGTCCTCGCGGACTCAGACTCGGCAAAACAACGGGAGAAACCTGAGGAAGCCTTCTCTCAAGAATGTTGTTGTTGTTTATCAGAAGGGCCTACTCTGTCGTTGACCTTACAGGTTTTAATACTCCTGAGAACCCCAAATAAATAATATCATATTTTTAAAAAACACGAAAATGCTTGAATTTATGAGAAAAAAAAATCTCCCACTGTCCATTCAAAACTGGTTACTTTGAACGAGTAGTTTCGATTCATTCGTACCCATCTATGCTATGGCAGGTCTACTTCAAAGCTCCAGGCAGTCAACTGACAGAAAAATGAGTTATTCAAACCATCGATTGACTGAATGGGTCCGGATTGGCCCAAAGTCAAAACCCTTACACTTTGATTGGCTGATCATGGGTAGGCTCTGATCGGCGTGGGCGTCACTCCTTGGGCCGTGGGCCTTCTCAGAGGCCTGTTCTATATCTTCAACTCCAGTCACTGGACGGGGCATTTATACCAATCCTTCAGCCTGTGGATCACAGAGAGAGAGAGAGAGAGAGAGAGAGGGCTAATGGCGGCGGCTCCCATATCCAGTTACCTTCCCGTGAAACCAAGAGCGGGCGCCGTCCAGCTCACCCACCGCCACCGCGTCCACGCTTCCCCACTCCCCAATCCGATTGCCGCTGTCAGGAGGAGGAGAAGGAAAAGCTCGCTTAGAACGCGCGCGGAGCTCACAGGAAGCTCCTCGCCGGAGGCCGACGCAGAAGGAGCAGCAGCGGCGGCGGCGGCAGCAGCAGCAACCACCGTCTTCCCGGAGGAGCCCACCGGCACGGCGAGTCTCCTCTTTTTTCTGCGCCCAGATACGGAAAATTTATGGATCATACGTCGCTAGCAGCAGCAGAGAAAGCGGAGGAATGTTACGGAACGTTTTTCATGGTAATCTGATCGTCTCCAGGGGGTGGAGAAATGGGTGGCGGTGCTCAGGAACGCCGCCAAGACGAGGCGGGTGCCGGCGCAGGAGGTTCTCGCCGCGCTAGCAGCCATTAAGAAGGCCAAAATTGACTCCTCCGCCTTCCTGGAGACTCTCGGGGGTTCTGAGTCTCCCGGAAGGACATGGATGCTCATCTTCACTGCCCAAGTAAATCTCCCCCTTCTCTTCCCACCTGTGCTCTCTTCTGATTCCGAATTCATGATCGCTTCTTCCTCATCTCAGGGTCGTCTCGAGAAAGGCAGCTACTTCCCGGTTACCGCAGTTCAACGGTTCGACGCCGCGGTGAGCTCCTCCTGAAAGCCTCCCTTTCCCTCTCCATCTCCCTCTCCCCCATGGCTGAATATCTCGAGCTCCAAGGTCGGTGTTTCCCTTCTGCGATCGCATGCAGATCATCTTTCTGAATCATTAACCCGGCTGTTTCATCCGAATAAGATCCCGCGCAGACAACCCAGGAAGCCCTTGAATCGATCGAAATACCTCCACCAAACCGATTCCAATCTCTCCTCCTCTCACATGGAACCATCCCATCTCCGTTGCTCATCTGGCAGAGAGCTGAGAATTGATCGGAGCAGTTGTTCTTCTCCCATATTGCAGCTCGAAGGGATTGAGCAGAGCTGTTAACGGGCATTTTTACTTTCAGGGAAAGAGGATAGAGAACGGGGTATACCTGGGGCCTCTTGGGAGCCTGACCTTCGAAGGGAGGCTCTCATGGAAGACTAGGAAGCTGGCCTTCATCTTCGAGACGGTGGGCATAAAGGTGGGACCTCTCGGCCCCCTGCGGATAAGCCTGGGGACCAAAAGGGAGAAGGAACCGGACACCAAGGACCCATTCTTCATCTGGTTCTACGTCGACGAAGAGATCGCCGTGGCGCAAGGTAGGGGAGGGGGCACAGCGTTCTGGTGCAGATGCCGCCGAGTCCCCTAAATAGGTAGGTGATGTTCGATCAAATGCCTCCCCCAGTTGAGAGGGTGCTCCTTCCGATTGATCCGAGCATCTCACTCTGCAATTCAGTGTATATGCGAATAACTGAAGGGGAGGATCGATGGAACAGAGCTTAGGGGATTTCTTTTCTGGGTGTGATGGCTACATTAATATATATATATATATATTATTCTTTATTTTTTTCTGATCGTTTGAACAAACCCAGAACTATTTTTGAAAAAAAAAACCCTTTTCATATATCAAGATTTTTTTTCTCAATGAAGTGAGGTTAATCGTATTTAATTACTCATATGATCTTGTCAAGCATAGCTGTTTGTATTTATCATCACCAGCTCGAATCGGAGCCTCTTGTTCCATGGATCAACCCATCCGCCCGGCCATTCTAAAGATTAATCAGGGAGACTTCTTACTTAGCCTCATTCCCCTAGATTTTCCATGAACTGCAAAAATTAAAAGAAGAAATTTTGACCGAATGTTCAACTCAAGAGATAAATCATGCGAGAAGCTTCAGAATCGATCGACGGTCCCCTCAAGAACCCAGCCTCGATATCACACAACAAACAGTCTGCGAGGGATTTCAAGTGGGGTATATATGTAGCGCTATATGTTAATTATAAGCAAAAACCAAGCCCATGTGATGATATCTATCACGGGAAATGAGAAACCAGTTCACAGATAATATGAGGGTAACATGGAATACCGGACCCCTCTTAAGCCACTAGATTTCTTCTGGCTATATCAAGGGACAGACAAGGGGAAGATATGGTCAAATCGGAACGCAGAGAGAGAGAGAGAGAGAGAGAGAGCATCAGCAGGCGCTTGGGGAAGAAGATTTCATGATAATGACAGAAACAGAACCAGAGCCAGAAATCATGCATGCATTCAGCTAGAGAGAGAGAGAGAGAGAGAGAGAGAGAGAGAGAGAGAGGGTAACAAGAGCAGCATCAACCGGCGCTTGGAGAAGAAGATTACATGAGAATGACAGAAACAGAACCAGAATCAGGAACCATGCCTGCATGCAGCTAGAGGGAGAGTGAGGATGGTCAAATTGGAACAGAGAGAGAGGGCAACAAGAGCAGCATCAGGCGGCGCTTGGAGAAGAAGGTTACATGAGAATGACAGAAACAAAACCAAAGTCGCCTGCATGCAGCTAGCTCGATGGAGAACAGCAAGTCCAATCAGGTTTTATTGCCGGAAAAGGCAGTTTCCTCCGCAGATGTATGGCCAGTTACCTCAGAACCTACAAGAGGAAATAAACAGGAGCGGGCACCAAATAACCCTAAAAGAGGAACATTCTCACCACCCGCCGTCGGCAGCCTGGCGGCGGCCAGATTTATTGCTCTCAATGCACACCAAAAAAAAAAAAAAAAAAAAAAAGAAGAAAAGGGAGACCAGGGAAACCCCCATCAGGCAGCGGACTCCTTGGCGATCTTGTCAGCCTTGGCAATCACCTCCTCAATCCCTCCAACCATGTAGAAGGACTGCTCAGGGAGATCATCATACTTGCCGTCCAGAACGCCCTGCAGGGACAAACCAGGGAGATGTTGCTGTTGGAGAGGTCTACTTCTTCATAATAGACAAGAATCGTGATATGAGAACCCACCCACCAGCTTAGATCCCTAATGCAAGTTATAACTTCTGGCTCAGAACCAGAGAAGTTGAAAGAAAAAGATTTATGGGAAGGAAGGAGGTCCATTAAATGATGTTCCAGCACGCCTTTTGATGCGCTGGTGTGACGCATTTGAACAAATAGGAGCAAAGTCAACCAACCACGACCACCTTCTTCTTGGTGGAGAAGCATTGCAGGGGCCAGAGACACCAACATGGTCCATGAGATGAACTAAAATGGGAACGTTTGCGCCGTGGAGACTAACCGAATTGCAACATCAGGTCAATGATTGATTCAGAAAGATCGATAATCGAAAACAAATTGAGTTAAAACTCACATCCCAGTTCAAAAACGTACTTTTTGATGTAATTCTTGCCCCAGAAAACTCGTATGCAAATCGTAGTTCCTCACTTTTTATTGATCGGGCATTATCTACACCCATTTTTTATACCTTTCATTTACTCATCGTTTAAAACCACTTGAATCATAATATCAGCCGTCATTAGAAAGCAATCAAGTATAAACTGCTTTGAAACACCCAGGTAATGATAAAATGAATTTTGTGACGTCATTCGTCGCATGAAAATTTCAAATACAGTTTTCACAGATGTAGTCTGTGAATTTTAACCATGTGAACAACCCAGATTTATATACAGTCTAGCAATTTTCCACTAAATCTCATGGATGGAAGTTCTATTCCACATCATTCCATTCGTCTGTTCCAATGGATAATACCTCTGGAAAGACTCGCACCTTATTACAATTCACTTATTGAACAACTTGTGGGAGATTTTTTAATGCACTGATTGATACTCGATAAAAAGAAACAGTAAATCGGGATAATCCATGACTGACGACCAGATATTAGCGCTAAACACATATTTTAGCGCCAAAAGGAATTCAACTTGAGCCACACCAAGAAAAATAAATCGGCCGTTCATCACTTAAACCTAGGGCGACAAGAAATTTATGCCGGACAAAAGCGTTCAATGAATTCCAAAGAACACAATATTACAAGTTCGTCGCTTTAATAAAGGTTTACAATTAGGCAATCTTTGGACTAGATGGTGCAGTTTAGAAGCCTCTAATTTAGGCTCTAATTTACAGGAGATAATTTCACAGTCGTAAGATCAGTACTAGGTATAGCACAGAACGGGGCAGATCTTCTGAGGGCTTGCAAACGCAACACAATCGAAATAGCAAAAAAATTTAGTTAGGAAATGTACAGAGGAAAGCAATTGTGATTCGAAATGAGGAGAATGAACAAAGTGTCTTTGGCTGCTAAAAGGGTGCTTTCGAATGGCTCCAAAAGTAAACGTTATAAGGTACTCAAAAGTCCAGTCATGGACAGTGGGAAAAAAAAAACAATCAAAAGAGAGTGTGGATCAAGATGTTCGTGGGTATCTGCCAAGAGATAGCATCAAGGGTGGACACTATCTGATCCTCTTTAGGCTACAGTCACGATATTATCAAGCAAAGAGAATTGACTTTGATATTCTCAAGATTTATAGAAGCAGTACAGAAAAAAGTAATACAAAATAGATACATACCCATCAGAATGACAGAAACAGAACAAAATGAAAAAATATCTTGTATAAATCGGGGAAGAAAAAGTGAACATTCTCAGAAAGGCTGAAAAATCTCACCTGGAAGCTGTTCACACTCTCTTTCAATTCCACGTACTTTCCAGGAGCACCCGTGAATACTTCTGCCACGTGGAAAGGCTGGCTGAGAAATCGTTGAATCTTTCGAGCACGAGCAACAGTCAATTTATCATCTTCACTGAGTTCATCCATCCCCAGAATAGCGATAATATCTTGAAGATTTTTATAGTTCTGGAGAACCTTCTGAACACCACGAGCAGTACTGTAGTGGTCCTGACCCAAAATATGGGGAGAGAGCATCCGAGATGTGGAATCAAGAGGGTCAACGGCAGGGTATATTCCAAGCTCGGAGATCTGTAAAGAAAAAAAAAAGTGATTATATACAGGCTGCCACGAAAAACAGGTACTTCAACATGAAAGCGATGGCACGTGTGAAAACCTGTCGTGACAACACAGTGGTGGCATCAAGATGGGCGAATGTAGTTGCAGGAGCTGGATCTGTCAGATCGTCAGCAGGCACATAAATAGCCTGAACAGATGTGATGGAACCCTTTTTTGTCGTTGTGATACGCTCTTGAAGCCCTCCAAGATCCGTGGCCAAAGTTGGTTGGTAACCAACAGCAGAGGGGATACGGCCAAGCAGAGCAGACACTTCGGAGTTTGCCTATTCCATTAACCAAAATAAAATATGAAGTCAAAGAACTGAAAAATGTCACACAGACGTCGTCTTACTCTAGCAGCAATACCTGAGTGAAACGGAATATGTTGTCAATGAAGAGAAGCACGTCCTGCCCTTCAGCATCCCGGAAATGCTCAGCCACAGTTAGACCAGTCAACCCAACACGAGCACGAGCACCAGGAGGCTCATTCATCTGACCGTAAACAAGAGCACACTTGCTCTCACTCTGCAAGGGCAAGACCATATTAGAGGAGGGAAAAAACATCAAACAAAAGAAATAATGAAGCTGAAATGCAGACCTGTTTGTCACCAAGCTTGATGACACCACTTTCAATCATCTCCCTGTACAGATCATTCCCCTCTCGGGTTCGTTCCCCAACACCAGCAAAAACAGAGAAACCACCTGACAGAGAAAACGTCGACCCCACATTGGCATAGTGTCGATGAGAAATAAAAATAATATAAAAATTGCTCCGCACTGACCGTGAGCCTTTGCAATATTATTGATCAGTTCCATGATAAGCACAGTCTTGCCCACGCCAGCACCCCCAAACAGTCCAATCTTTCCACCCCTCTGGTAGGGAGCAAGGAGATCCACAACCTGTGGCATGCAACAATAGGGGAACATCTTGTTAAATACTGTAACTGACATTGCAATTATAACTACGAATAATCCAAATAATAATTGATCTTCCAGTGATCATTATTTAGAACCTTGATTCCAGTGACAAGAATCTGCTGTTCAGTCGCCTGTTCAACAAAAGCAGGCGCTTCACGGTGGATGGGGAGGAAGTGATCCGTTTCTGAAAGGATAAATTAATAAATACCAGGCGAATGTGGCACAACCCCTACCTATCAATGTCAAACAACGATCATTTCATTGCAGTGTGAATTAATCGAAATATTTAGCTGCTCTAGTGAACTTACTTATGTCACCCTTCTCATCGATGGGCTCACCAATGACATTCATGATACGCCCAAGGGTGGCCCTACCAACAGGCACCTGATTACGAATAATTATACACAAAGAAATGAGTTAACAAATTAGGTTGGATTCAAGCTAGGAAGAAAGATCAATGGACACTCCCCTCAGTGTGCACAACAAAAAATGGCAGAAGTTTCTGGTTCTAACTCCATCAGGAACTCACTGTGTGTGGAACATCGACAATAATCTCAAATATAAAACAAAAAATAGAAATTCTAGTTCTGTCCAAAACTAATTGTGTGAGGGAAATCAGCAATATAATTGTTTTTTCTCTGTACGCATAGAGACTATACAAGTCCTAACAACAAAAAATGCAAAATAATGCACAACCGAATTATGATCAGTAGAGATATCACCTCAAACAAACCACTTAACACTCCAATTGAACAGAACCATGAATTCAATGGAATACGTCTCAAAACACAGGTCAGAAGACAATCAGCGCGTGACTAGAACTGCTAAGGAATGTCTTCCCCAAGGATTCGCCTCAAATAATAGCCATCAACGAATCGGTGATGAAAAGTGATGGATAAACACAACTTCTTATGCACTTATTGGGGAGAGGGTCAGCAGAGTCGAGATGGAAATAAATGGAAATTTCGGACGCCCAAAAAGCGTAAGCACCAAATTCCAGTCAACATAATACCGACATTTGACTTTTTTTAGAGAATTTCAATGTCATTTACTCACAGTGATAGGAGAGCCAGTGTTCAAGACCCTCTGCCCGCGCACCAGCCCCTCGGTCCCGTCCATAGCGATCGTCCTCACCATATTCTCCCCCAGATGCTGCGCCACCTCGAGCACCAGACGGATCGAGTTATCCAGGACCTCCAGAGCCGTCAGGATCGGTGGCAATCCGCCCTCGTCGAACCGGACGTCCACGACGGCGCCGATGACCTGGCAGACACGTCCCACGGCGCCGGCGCCGGTGAACTCATCGGTGATCTTCCCTCCGGGCCCATCCGCCGCCTTTGCCGGTGAATGCGGCGCCTCCGCCGGGGCCGCCGCCGCCGCCGTCGCGTACTCGAGGGCCCGCGAAAGGAGGTATCCCACGGGGTTGGCGGTGCGGGGGATCGAAGAGGGCGAGGAGCCCCTGGAGATGGGACCGGCGGCGGTGAAGGGGGACCTTCCCGGCGGCGGAGGGCGACGGCAAGCAGACGACCGGAGGAGGGAGGAGAGGACCCTGCGGGAGGCCATCGTCCTCGGCGGCTGTGGGATCGGATGCGCCGCTGCTGGTGCAGTCTAGAAAAAAAAGAATGATTTTGAATAAATAGGGTTTGTTTTTCCGCAGCCGCGGCTGGGACTGCAAAGCGCGGACGCCAAGCTCTTCTAGTTAGCTGCAATTCGGCACTGCTTTCACGTCCGCCCCAGCTCTCTCTCTCTCTCTGAGCCAATTTTTACGAAGGCCATTAAGAAAGAGGTAGTGTCAACACGTTGACTTCCGACTTTCGCAGGGGATGTGGGGTGGCCAATTCTCTTCCTGCCACGTGGCCGGGAAATATAGAGAGACCACCGATTTCGTAATTATTCCTCTCCGAAAATGCATTCCACGGAAGGAGATTTGACGGAGGAGACGGAAGAGGCCAGATTCGACTGCAGCGCGGTTGCTTTCTCTAAAATGCATTCCACGGAATGAGATTCCAAAGTCTGAAAGTCGTGAAGAACACGGGCCACAAAAAACAGAAGACACGAGAGAAGCGGGGAGTTACAGACAGACCAACCGACCCAGACAGAACCACTTCTCCAGTTATTCTCCTCGCAAAATGCATCCCACAGAACGAGATTCCACAGAAGACAAGACCCCCAAAGAACACGCCGACTCAGCTACTCCAAAACGAACACAAGAGAGAGAGAGAAGAGAGAGAATGAGAGAGAACATACTCTGACGAGATGCCTCTCCAGGGCCTTTATTCATTCCATCCGCGCGCGCCGCCCGCCCCGCCGCCAGTTGACCCGATCATCATTCGGACTCGGACTCGGCGTTCTGGAGCCACTCGACGAAGGGTCTCACGTTCTTCCAGAACTGGGGGGAGGAGCCCTTGGCGGCGCCGGCGTTGAACCAGCCGACGATGACCTCCTCCTCGAGGATGTCCTCGTCGTAGAGGAGCTTCAGCACCAGCGCCACCTCCTTGACCGCCTCCGGGCTGGCCCTGCCGCTGAACCCCTCCAGCGCCTGCAGCAGCTGCATCTGCGAGGCCTCGTCCTGCGCCAGCGCCGCCAGGTGCTTCAGCCACTTCCCTGCTTCCTTGGCCAACCCCTTGCTGACGCCATCGAACATGGCGGCGAACAGCGCCGCCATCGCCTCCTTCGGGGTCCCTGCAGCGGAGCCCATGACGGAGGCCTTCAGCTCCGCCGGAGTGGTGCCGCCCTTCTGCTGCAGCTGGGCTCTGAGCTTCTTGACCAGTGCGGCATGTGGGTCCTCTTTTTCAGTAGCGGCGATGTGGTGGTGGTGGTGCCCGTTGGACTTCTTCTCCTCCGCCTTCTTCTCCTTGGACGGTTTCTTCCTCTCCTCCGGTGGTTCATCTGTGGAGAGCATGACCATTTCTGCAGTTACCGCACTGAGCTGTTCCTGGATGCGCTTCTGGGCGGCCTCCCTCGAGGTGTCGGTCTGCCATTGGATGTCGTCGTCCTCATCTTCCTCATGGGCTAGCTCATTGTCGTCCGCCTGGCTGCCGGTGGGCGACCGATCCTCATCAGACCCACCGCCACCACTGATGCTTGTCTTCTTCTTCGAGGCAGCGGCTGCGGCGGCGGCCTTGGGGGCCGCCACGTCCTTGGATGAAGAAGATGGGGTCTTCTTCTTCATCACCTCCTTCTTCAACTTCTTCTGCTCCTCGTCGGCCGCCTCCCCTTCCTTGAGCCGCTCCTTCTCAGCCCTCCGCATGGCCTTCTTGTCCTTGCCGGTGCCCTTCTTCTGCTCCGGCGGGTTCTTCAGGATGAAAGTGGTCAGCTTGTCCCTCATATCCACGTCGGAGACGAACCCACAGGCGGCGCACTTCAAGGTGATCGTCTGGTTCTTGGTGATTATGATCTCCGTCTCGGGGTTGCCGCAGCCGTAGCACTGCACGTACTTCTTGATGAAGTTCTCCAGGAGCTGGGCCAGCTTCGGCGTGTCGTGGGCGCCATTGACCAGGGAGACGCCGGTCTTCTCGTCAAACTTTGACTGGGCCCCGAGCTCGCAGCCGAAGTACTTGGTGGTGTAGGCGGCGGGCCGGGCCAGGGCCTTGGCGATATCCACCATGTTGACCACGTTGGTCTTGATGCCGTTCCCGCGGCCCTCGATTTTGGTCACCATCCTGGGCATCTTGTACCGGTAGAAGGCATCGTCCCTGTTGCTGGCGCCGATGTTCTGGAGGGCCATGGTCGGAGTTGGGTGGCGGTGGCGGCGTTATCAGAGGTGGCGGACGCCGGAGGTGGCGGTGCTGCGGAGGAGGAGGTTTTCTTCGCAGTTGCAGGGCTGGTCGCCGGCAAATGGGAAGGGTTGCAAGCGATTGCAACCGAGATGTGGAGAAGGGACCCAGAGCGACTCGAGAGGCATGCAGACAACAAACTCCCGGCGATTTCTGTGCCTTTTCCTCTGATGGCGTCCACCGAGCAGCCCGACTGATCCGAAATAGAGAGGGATTCCTTCAGACATAAAAGATGCTTCCGCCTTGAAATCCTCAAGCCTGAATAGTTTGCGTGAGCACAGACGAGATTGCTGTTTCCCTGGAAAGGGGGGGGAAGAAGTAAAATCAGAACAGTGATCAAGGGAATGAGTGAAGAAATCATCAAACCATTAGGATAATGAAGAAGAAGAAGAAGAAGAACTGTCTTGAATGACCTTTTATGATTATGTTTTGAATTCATGGAAACTATCATTGCAGCAATATTTCAAGATGCACTGCTAGAAAATAATATACCGACGAGGCAAGTGCAAAACAACTAAGTAGAGAGCCTTGGCATTTACTGTCTCATATCTTCACACATAGAGTTTGCCAAAGTCGTACAATAAGATCACGTCAACTAAATAATTAATGGTTAACCGAAGAAAAGAGAAATATAGCCATTCGTTGGGAAACTTGAAATCAACCGTAATCAAGGTCTTTTTTTACATTTCACGGAAGCATGAAAGAAGGGATCACTCTCTACACAGAAATCTTTACAGTATTGCCAATCTGAGATTAGATCAGTTGATATATGAATTAGTAAAATATTATGCACAAGCCATAGGATAGAAAGAAAATTTAAAAATAACGCCAAAGACACAGAGCAAAAAAACATTTGAAGCGATCCGTTTCCCTCCGCAATGTAGCAAACACTACAGACCAAGAACTACTGCCAGAAGCATAAATGGCGGCACTTGAACTAGTGTCGCATCACAAAAAATCCAAACAGGATTCTAAATTGGGAAACGCTGCATCCAATCTACTACGAAAGCTCGAGATAAAACTATTCAATATTTAACTTCAAAAGAGCAGGCAGTGGTCATAAATCAAAAGAATCAAAAAGCTTTTAACTGTTAGAAACCTGTACTACATCACATGTTTGCGAATCGCAAAAATGGTCGGGCGCATTCAGCTGTTAAGTGCAAAGCAAGTCTTCGAAAACTTAAAAAGAAAGAAAAAAGCAAGTTGGACAAGAAACAAACATAATTTTAAAAAGAATCTAACTTTGCTCTTACTTAGTACATGAGAGACGTTCAAATTTTAAAACATACAAAAGGCAAGCATCATTTAAACTAAATACAAGTCCTGCCTCTGTACGCCCTTCAAAACTGAGATATTTTGAGCACCAAGAACAATAAAATGTTCACAGACTATATTATCTAAAGAAAAACTAACCTTAAATCAGCTTTTCATCAAAAAAACAGAAAAATGGAAAAGATGGATTTCATTCATGAAGACATACTGTAAGGAACTACGTTCCAAGATTTAAAATTAATACACCAACTGAATGTTATAATATCACTTGAATTAACCATCTATTTTAACAAGTTCTCCAATGTGATTAAGAAATTGTCTTTTCAACAATTTTTTCATAAATCCCACGTCAATCAGCAGGTAATTCAAATCAGACATCTAAAGTACTGATTGAAAATGTGATCCGACAATTCAAACTACGACAAGAAGAAAACGTTTGCAAGAACATTTTTAGGACTACATTTTAAGAAGTCTCGGACGCAGTACCAATAGTTAAGAAAACAGTCTCAAACCCCACTCATTCCCAAATTTATCTCACTATCTCAAATATAATTGAATCGATATAAGAATAAAATTTCCTCCCTCAGAAAGCATGACAGCTGAGAGCAAAATTAGATGATAGGAGATTCCCTAGCTGTCAATCTCCCTTCCTTCAAGGCAAAAAACAGTGTAGGGCTCCAACCTAGGTGCCCTGGATGATATAAGCATTGGACCATGTTGCACACAGAGAAAGTAAATAATACGAGATACTCATGATGTTGTAAAAAACAAATAAGTCACCGGATGAAAAAAGATTCATTCAGTAGCACAACTTCAGAATAAAAGTTAACAAACTACACCGGCATCACCGACCGTGAAATCATCAGCTTAACATTGATGATCTAATATCACACCTCAAGACGAAATACTATGCATAGATGAGGACCTGAAGTAAATTTATAAATAGTAATTATAAAAGAAGATTGATAGCAATCAAAATCTCCGCACAAATGCAAGTGGAACTCAACGTGAGTCGTCACACAGATGAAAATAAGATGATACCTACGGTCCTGGTAAAGAAAAGGGTCACAACTCTTCATAAAAAATTGTTAGATATCCTCGTCCCTTGTAACAAGTGCTATTACCAATGAAATCCGGGAATAAAATTCCAGGCGAATTTGCGAAGACTACATGGAAAACAATAACCCAAGATGACCAGACATCCCATATACGTTCAATACCCTCGTCTTGCCCTTCTACAGAAGACGCGAAGAACAGTACAGATCCTTGATCGAAATTAGCAAATAGCCAATAATCGACACCAACGCGATAATCCAACAAGGTCGAACGAAAGGAAGCACACCCGGCAGCCACCAGTGCAACAAAACAAACGAATCCACAAGATAATCACCACAGAACCATCGCCCCAGGGGATAGATCTACCGATCTCATGGGCCGTCGAATCAGTTCCTAGAGAATCGAGGAACGGAGGGACCAAAAAGATCAAATCGAAGAGCACGGAAAACAAAACCACAAGCAAGGAATCGATCCCCCCGGCCCACCCACAAGGTACAAGGCTGAGAGATTGCTTACCTAGAGGGGACCTCCTGCCTTCGCCGCTGTGAGGTGAGGAAGGCGAAGGGGGCAGCTTATATAGCGGCCGCCGTGGGCCAGAACCCAGTGAGAGGCGAGGATTAGGGCACGACCGGGCAGGATTTCCGAAACACTCCCTATTTAACTTCATAATTACATTTTTGCCCATATAGATAAAAAGAGAGTCCGCTCGTCATTTTATCCATATTATTTGTAAATAAATAAATAAATAAATAATCTGATAGAGTATATTTTACAGACCTCCACCAATTAATAAATGTAAAATTTTAATAAATAGGAAATATTTATTTCCAATTTAATGCAAAAATATTATGAGGTACTTGGAACACAAGAAAATGACAAAAAAAATATTCGGTTTTAGGATAATACCTCATTATCTTGAAGAGAATCCAAGTGCCCATTTTGACCACATCTTTTAGTACCATTGCTATTTTAGTAGAACACTCACTCAATCTAATTTACTTGTGAAAGATGTTGAGTTGGGTTTACTTGTGGAACTTCAAACTAAAGTCAAACCCTAACCAACTTTTTCTTCTTCTATTTAAGTTGATAATCAAGTCAAACTACTCAAAGATGCAAGCTTTGATCAACCCTCCCATTGGTTATTGATAAATTATCTCTCTCTCTCTCTCTCTAGGCTTTTCTTTGTGACAATCTAAGTCTAGAAAGATGCAAGCCTTGATTAACCCACCTTGTGATTAATGATTAATTCTCTCTCTCTCTCTCTAGACTCTTCTTTGTGGCTAGTCTAAGTCCAAGGCCTTGGAGAAAGAGAATCCATGGGCTTGCTTTGGAATGGGGCACCCACATTCAACGCTCTCAAGTCTCCTTTGGGTTTTCGTTGAGTCCCCCAATGAACAAGGCTCATAGTTTCCCGAGTTTCTTGGAATCAGATATCAGTCTTTTAGATCGAATGCCTGCCGTTGACCCTGTAAGAGGAATCCCCTAAATTCCTTATTAATACCACTCAAACCCCAAAAAGGAAACAAAAAAAAAGTCAAAATCTTGTAACCTGCAAGGAAATTCAGTTCTGACAACAATCTCATGACCCTCAAAGAATGTAAGTGTAAATAATTATTTAAAATAATAATTATAATTATATTGCTGCATCACCACACAATCCTGAACTTAACATTATAATTACAAATATTATATTGCAAATTAAATGAATGTGCAACATAATATTTTCTTCATCTCCCTCTTTTCTGGCGGCAGCAGCTTTCAGGGGATCAGAGGAGCTTAGAAGGGGCACAAGCAGGAGGGAGAGAGGACACATAGTTCCACCTTCTAACCATGAGAAAACATAAGCAGAGAGAACCACAAATCTGTCTGATCTGGGTTTCAGCCCGCCTTGCCGAGACTTGCTTTACATCGGATGAGCCATCTTTTTAGTGGCTCCTAGTTGGAATCTGCATCTGCTGAAATTTGCTTCCCAATTTGGTTGTACCCATCATCTCCCTTGGTGTTTTTCTTTCTTCATTTTTTTTTTTGGAGCAGAGGTGTGATTTCTCATCCTCAACAATCAGCATCCACCGCAGAATATCGGCCTGATATCTACACATTATTGGAAGGGAAAAAGGCTTATTATAGAGGGGGTGGGTGAGAAAAAATGAAGAAGATGAATTGGGGGAAACCCATTGGGAGATCATTAGAGCGCAAATTTTCAGTTTTTTTTTCAGAAAAGCTTAGAAAATAAATAGGGGAGGGGGGGAGGGGGAACCATGGAGAGCGCATCCGCATTGCTAGTCAGAGAAGCAAAGAAAAATCATTAAATAAGTTGGAAAAAACCAAAAAAAAAGTAGATTTCACGAGTGCGCATCGTCGGATTCAAGAAAACAGATTGGGGAAGATCCATTGATAGGGTTTCTTCCTTCCCTTACAATGGAACAAATTTTGGGAAAGAAAAAAGTAAAGAAAAAAATTCGGAAAAAAAACCCATCCATCAAGCCTTAGAATACCCATTAACAGCACAGAGCAAACTGATCGATGGATCTTTAGAGTGCATGATTTCAGCACAAAACAAGGTGCGAGATGTTAGGGGGGGAGGGAGTTGGAAAATCAGAAAAATAAATAGGGAAAAGGACCATCAAGGGATCTTTGGAGTGCACATTATCAGCAAAAAACTAGCTCAGAGAAGAATAAATTAGGAACAAAATCCCTTGACAGATCTTCAGAGTGCGCAATATCAGTTCAGAAACGGTAAGAAAAGAATAGAAGATTAATCGACGAAACTCCCCCATCAATAGATCCTTAGAAGTGCACATTATTGGCACAAAATTAACTCAGAGGAGAGAAGAGAAATCATGAAAATTATCAGCACAAAACGAGTTTTGAGAGGAAGAAATAAATAAATTGGGAAATTTTCATCAATAGATTGTTCCAAGAGTACATTAGCAGAAAATAGATAAATCTCATAGAATATAAAAATCAAGAAAAAGAAAAATCAGAGAGAAGGAAAACGCCAAAAAATATGTGTTTAGAGAAGAACCTGTTGGCAGTGGCGGCGATGTAAGATGAACAGTGCCCTGGCCATTATGATGACAGGCAGAAGTATCCCAGCAGTTTTTACCACGAATAACTACAAAAAAAGCCCACAGTTAATCAAAAATTACAAAGAAAAAACAAATCATAAAAAATGAAATCCATAACCGGATCTCACCAAGAACTCTGCAATCGAATACCACCATTCACCTCCGAAACTCATAATAATGGGGAGTGTGTGGCTCACAACCAGAAGAACAGTGAGCTGAATAGGATACAGACCGGCCATACATCACAAATCAGATTATCATAGAAATGCGACAAATTTCTGGATTAAATTAGGTTTCAACGAGAAGGAAGGTCAGATGAAACAACTCACAATTACGGCTACTGATCGACAGAATATAATGCTCCTAGTGTTTGAGGTGGGATAATCATCATAGTCAGTGCCCACAAAATCCTGGTCAGCCGCAACCACTGGAATGAAATGAGGGCTGTGCAGGCTTTGCCTAGAAACCCCCCAATTTCCTCTGGGCACGGATCGATGGTCAATATTTCCTCTTGAGAAATTTACAAACCTTTCCATCTTTACACATTCTAGGAATGGGAAGTACCTGAAGGCCATGGGCATGGACCCATAGTGAAGCAACTTGGGAGGAGCAGTGTAGTCCGGCTTGAATTGCTGGAACCCAGGAGGCGGAAACAACCGAGCTCAATGCCATCTCATAGAAACATATCGATCGTATGTGTTCTTTGGAGAACTGAATGCTCACCTGAAGGCAGATCTCACAGACTGTGTCCCCTTTCTCATCACACCACCTCTGGATGCACTTGCGATGTGCATACTTCAACCCAATAAACAATAAGTGAGTAAATAAATAAATAAAAGTACGAACAGGGTAGAGATTCTCAACCAATGAAGAGAAGTAAAGGGATGGTCTTTGGGGTTCAGATCCAAGAAGATCTCGGAGAAGCTGAAGTTCAATTGAAGATTATGCTCACAAGGTGTTCATGTTTTCTTCAAAAGAACATGCTTTTTTTTAACTGAAATAAACGGCTGATTAAGTCATCTAAATTTTCACCTTATTTTTAAAAGATTTTTCAACGGAAACCCAGCTAATCAGAGTCGACTAGCACTGAAAGAATCACAATTAAGAACTGAGATGATGCGAATAATCACGGAAAGAGTGGTGTCATCATCGCAGCCCCAAGTCAAGGCCAAGCTTGGTTACCTTCAAGCTACCGCTGCAGGAGCAGGGGACCTCCATGTTGAATTCCAGGTCCTCTTCCTGGCAAATTCGGCACTCCGACATCTTTAGGGCCTGCATCTCATCGTCGAGATTTCTCTTCTGGGGAAAGCAATCTGGCTCACGCCGCTGCACTATGCCCCCAGCCACCATTGGCCCAGGTATCATGGGCTGGCTTCCACTCTGAATTGCCGCTGCCAGGCTCGACTCAGTCAGCAGGCGGTCAACCAGCAGCACAAAGTGGCCTCCCATGTCTCAGAGTCAGCAGAGGAGGGCGAGGGCGCCTGGCCTAGAGAGCCTACAAGCTTCACTTCGAATTCTGGAAGATGCAGAAGAAGAGATTAGAGAAGGTTTAGTCAAACTTCAGCGAAGAACTTAGAAGAATAGTGGAAAGAGGGGAGGCAGTGGGAGGTTTCGGCGGAGAAGGAAGAGGAGACTTCATCCACATGATAGCCAGGAGTTCGAAAAGAGGAGATTATTATTTATGAATAAGTTGAAATATGGAAGATGATAGCACTTAAAAGGAGGACGGTCGGAGAAAATCTAAAACAGGGAAGAGGTGATGATCCCCTTCGAAGGTGTGAAGAAACCCATCTGAAGTTTGCACCACGAAAATGAGGGTGACTGAATAGCCGAGGGAGAAAATGAAAAGAGGACGAAGACGACGATGGAAAAGGGAATGAGCTTTAGGGTTTCAGGAGACACAACAGAGATAGAGAGAGTGGGAGAGAGAGAGAGAGAGAGAGGCTGGCAGCTTTACGGGTCTCAAGCCTTTGGTCTCCCCCTCGATACAGAAAGGAATGGATAGAGGGGAGGGCAAATGGCAGCGGCGGAATAAGAGGAAGCAGAAGACTTGGAGGGTTGGAATCGGATATCCGCAGCAAACCGAGCACAGTGCAGAGAGAGAAAGAGAGACGTACAAGGAAGAAGGGAGAGGAGGGCGATAAAGGAGTGGGTTCGGGAAGGAAGCTTGCCGGGCGTGGCATTACCCCATTATCATAATCGACGAAGGAAACCAACCCAAGAAAATTTTTCCCCAACCTCATTAACTTTGCGCGCCGCGCTACAGTCCTACCTTCTCCCATCTCTCTCCCTTCCGCCACCATAGCAAGCGACCGAGCTAGACAGAGACAGAGACAGAGACAGAGACAGACAGAGACACACAGAAAGAGGGGATTTCCCTCTAACCCTCCTGGCTTCGGAGTGAGATAGGTGGGTTAGGTTGGCTAGAGAGAGAGAGAGAGAGAGAGGTTGCCTGAAATGGTGCAGGTTGAAGAAGGGTAATTGCTTGAGAGATGGTGAACTGCTGCTGCGTCCACCACGAAGCCCGCCGCCATGAAAACCCCCTTCCTCTCCCTCCTCGAGGAGCCCTTCCGCCACCGCAATGGTCAACTCCGGCTCCACCTGCGCGCCGCGGCTCCCCTCCCCTTTCCTCGGAATTCCATCATGGTGTCAATGATGCGATCAATGGACGGCTCGGATGCGATCTGACGGGGTATTCCTTGGCTGCGGGTCCGTGGGCTTGAGAAGTCAGGCCCGGCCCGCCCAGTTTTTACACTGAAAATAATAAATAAATAGAAGTCAGAGGTAGGGCCCACTTAAATCCTGGCCCCCGGTCCTCCTGACTGCGCGGCGGCGGATAGAGATTGTCTCCATTCAGGGCGGTGACAACTACCTGACGACGGCGAGGGATTTGCGGCTGTTGGTCAACCACGCTGAGCTCCCATCCTCGGGCTGGTTCGGTGGGTGGCCATCCAACCTATCAAGCTTTGAGTCTCTCTCTCTCTCATTGATGAGATAAGGTATCTTTATCAGTCCATCATCCTCGCATCTCCATTAATGGCGTGGTTGAACAACCTGACGTCAAACCTCGCCCTTTTGACGGTCTCAATCCCCGTTGTCCACTAACAGCACACGTGAGAGAGAGAGAGAGAGAGAGAGAGATGTGATGCTAAAGTCAAACGGATTCTGAAGAGCAGAAAAAGAAAAGTATTTATTTGATTCTGAAGATATCTTACACCTAAAAGAAAGTATTAAAAAATATAAAAAATAATAGATTTACTCAGATTGGCGGCTACTCGATCGACCAAGCAGTAGTCAACGACAACACTCAACTTGTTCACTCGCTTTTATGCCAACAATGTAGATGTACACAGAGATGGACAAAATTAAGGTTTTTTCTTGCACCATCTTCTTCTTCTTCTTCTTCTTCTTCTTCTTCTTCTTCTTCGTTACTGGGTCTGGTCGAGGACGGAGCGGACGAGGTCCTCGAGGGAGGCTCGGAATTCGGTGGGGGGGAGGCAGCGGAGGCTGTGGATGGCAAGGAGAGCCTTCTCCCTGGCAAGGTCTAGCGCACGGTCGATCCCGCCCGATGAGTAGACGAGGTCGATGGCGGCCTCGAGTGAGCCGCCATCGGCGAACTCGGAGTCGATGATGGCGCGTAAGCGGGGCTCCTTCTCGAGGGCGAAGATGACCGGAGCGGTGAGGTTCCCCTTGGCGAGATCGGCGCCGGCGGGCTTGCCGAGCTGCTCGGCGGAGCGGGTGAAGTCGAGGATGTCGTCGACGATCTGGAAGGAGAGCCCCAGGTTGCGACCGAACTCGAACATCTGCGTGCAGACCTCGCCGCCGGTGCCGCTGAAGATGGCGGCAGACTTGGCGCTGGCCGCGATCAGGGAGGCCGTCTTGTAGTAGCTCTTCATCAGGTAGTCCTCCAGCGCGATGTCGCAGTTGAACAGCGTCGACGCCTGCTTTATCTCCCCGCTCGCAAAATCCTTGATCACCTGCGTCATCCGCCATGCCACCCAAGCTTTTTAGTTTCTTTTCTTATAAAGTGGTATCAGAGCCAGGTTTTTCTATCTATCTATTTTCTATTCATTTCTACTTTCCTTTACTATAAGTGGTACTAAAACCAGACTTATCAATCTATTTATTTATCTTGGCCTGAAAGAGGAAAAATCTGTTCTTGATGTTCTTACTTGGCTGATGAGCTTGATCACTTCGATGTTCTCCAGGTTTGCAAGGTACCAAGAAGACTGAGCGAACATGTAGTCACCGGCCAGGATGGCGACTCGCGTGCCGTACATCTGGTGGATGGTCTCCTTCCCTGTTCAAGAGCATAAATAATTCAATTTTTTTCTTTTATTTTTGGTAAAAAGAAATTTATGAATGATGAAGCATAACAGCTTCTAAACCCATGTAAGTAAACATTTGAAATATTGGAAACTTTTCCATATCCGGCACATCTTTTGCAAAAAAAAAATTCTGGTTATTTTCTCATCCGTCTTGGTGTTCACCGGCAGAGGCTCACTGTAACTGGGAAGAACATCATCAGCATTTTAGCCATTACCTCGGATCTTGACTGATAAGATATGATTAATACCAAAAATACAGTATACAAAGTAATCAGACCTTTTTAATATCGATATATATATATACATAGGTCACATGTGATTGCGGTCCTCCAACTAAACCCTTGAGTTGCCAACAAAGCTGGAGAACGAGTCCCACATCCTTCTAAATGGGTAAAACCAACCGTTGCCATTGGTTGACGAAATCAATGTCCAGTTTCAACAGATCTGATCACCAGTTGTTTGATATTCTATCTATGGTAACTAACCAGACACTTAAAAACAAATCTGGAAAGCTTTCTCATCTATGCATCCTAAAGCCACTCATAATGGACTTGGTTACCATTCACACGATTCTCTATAACCCCGAATCCCAGAGATCTAGATTGATGGACCCATTCAGATCCTGACAGAGGAAAGGCCAAGACACAAACAGGGGGTGAGAGAGAGAGAGAGGGAGAGAGCGCAAATATTTGAATAACTTATTTCAGAAGAAATCTCATGATGATGGTTCAATCCAAAAAACCGAAAAAAAAACAAAACAACAAAGAATTTTCAATCTGGGTTGAGCATTATAGGTCGAATCAGTCAAGGTGATCCGGTTTGAAGGGGAGAGCATATTTTTCATAAGAAGGGGAATGAAAAAAGAACATAGTCAGAGACATCACTTAGACCAAAGATTTTTGAATTAGGTTTTCACAAAATCAGTCTATTCAGGTAGAATCTCAGGTTAAAAAAATGCTTCGAGTAGACCTAGCCCCCTTGGCGATATCAATCTTTCAAATAAAAAACTTCATTTCATGTGAAACCACCAAATAGAGAATCCTCTCTACAGAAACATGTAGATCAAGTTCAAAGCTGCTTGCCATCAATGAAATGGAGACAAGACATTCAAATTATAGCATAAAACTCCTGAGAACACATTCCAAGGGAGAAAAAGGGAGCTACATTTTCTTGTATCCCAACAATTCATATTTCTATCATCTCATTATAAATATATCCATCCCATCCATATGTTGATACGATTAATGTATAGCCTTAACACCACATTGCCAAACAGTCAACACAACGACAGAAAATTTAATCTTCCAATAAAGTTGAATCAGGCGATTTTAGGCGTATCCATGAAGACTGTACCATGTTAGAGCAGAAATTAAACAACCATTATAAGAGTCCGGCTAATCTATGTCCTTGATGAAAAACTCGAGGTGTATAAGGATTTACCCCTCATAGATGTTTTTTTTCAGTTGAACGTGATAAGAAACTTGGGGAATTAGTTTTTCCTAATGCAATATTTCATCAACGACTGCAGACAGCACACAGAACAACATTCTACATTCCCCACTCCATTTTACTATCGATCAGTAAGAATCAGCATGCCAAAATATGCACCAAACAGAAAAGCAAAGCCCTGAGTATTAGAAGAAATTGGTTAATTTTCCTTTTATCTTTTCTTCAGTTCAACATCTGTATCCTGGCCATCATATATCTACTGTTTCCAACATCCTTATCTACCATATAAGAAAGAAAGATTTCCATGCACACCACTTGTCAAGTATAATTAATAAACTTAAAAACCCTTACACAACCTGTCACAACTCTAGGTTTAAGCAAACAAGAGATGTAAAATAGAGTTTAATGTCTACAGGGAGATAAACAGAAACTCTAAAGTTCTAAGTCAACAAAGACTTTGAAATAATTTGAATAAGTCAATGTATACTCTTCTTTCTTTGACACAGTTTTAGCTTGTTCCATGTAGCAAGTGTAACAGATGAACCCTTCACATCAGCACTTTCCTCAATTATACTTCACATCCCATTCTGAACCAAAGCTTTCGAGGCACATTGAAGAGTAAAAGGAAAGAAAGAGAAAACAGTACATGCCGACTAGTTCCCTCGTGTTCAGGAGTATAAGCTTACCTCTTCGCATTCCACTATCATCCAACACATCATCATGTATCAAACTTGCTGTATGAATCATCTCAACTATCTCTGCTAAGCGTCGATGTTGTGTAGTCAGGTCCCTGTATTTCGAAAAATTAGCCAACCTTTCATAGATCCTTCCAATGCATCAACAGAAGAAGCAAAGCACTTACGTTAAGCCTGTTAGATGTGCCGTAGCTCTAGAAACCAAAAATACCAAAGCTGGTCTCATTCTCTTCCCACCAGCGCTAAATATCTGCTCTGCTGCAGCTAATAGAAGAGGATTTTCTGCACCAACAATCTATTGAAGTGTTTGTCAGATATGGGTAGATGTACAAGTACACAAGCCGCAAAAACTGCCACGGTATGAAAGCTTGTTCAAATTAAAGAATAGACAGGAAGTGCACCATCACCACCTTCAGTATAGGCTACTATTTATTATGGATCCCTCACATTTTGTATACGAATACTAAAAATATCTACAAGGAAACGAGGCGGCTTGGTAAACAAATCCAGAACACTTCGGATATATATTAAATAACAAATCGGCGCATATTTGATGATAGGCTTTGGTTAAATAAAAAAATCAGTCCAATTACAAGCATGAGGAAAGAGCGGATGAAGAAGACAGCTTTCTTGACTCTCTAAACAAGAAAAACTGGCTACATGCTCTAGATCAATGGTTGAAGTATTCTAGAAAAATAAGAGGCACTTGATAGCGGGCGTGATACTCTCTGACGCATGATCACACATTTTTCATGTCTAGATCATGGACTTGCAATTAATGAAGGAAACTGTAAAGGAACAACGTAAATAGCCGGGATAAAATAACGAAGGAAGAAATCTAAGTCGACAGCCTAGTTAGACATTTCACGACAATGATGTGACGAAAGGTAGAGAGAATAGCGACGTTGAGCTATTTACGGACAAAAACAACCCATTGAACGTTTTCAACCGGAGATAGACAGAAGTAATTTTGAAAATGTGAAGAAACAGTGAAAGAAGTTTGAGCAAAATGATACCCACTGATTGGAGATTCTTGTTCAGCACTTTTAGGTCGTCACCGACAACATCAAGCAAAGAGGACACCGAAACCGGGGCAGTACTTGAAGGTTCAGCGCCAGGAATCTCGAAGACTGAATCCAGATAAACAATGAGAGAAGATAACTCAGCGTTGCCGATATCAAAATTTCTGTCGAGAACTGATCAGTAAGAAAACTGTAAAGGAAAAAAGAAAGGTTGAGAAGCTTCCAACCAGGTGGAATCTGCGCAGACGCCGATGAAACCTGGCAACGAGCCGCGCTCTCGCGTCTGTAAAGTAGCATCCCTCTCCGGTGAGTCTTCAGGGATCCCCCATTCCATGGGCAGCCGCAGGATGACACGCCCAATCCTCTCTGGCTAAGGTCGGCACCGGGAAATGTCAACGACATCATCCTCTCGGAAGACTGGACAACCCCCCCTCGATCAATAAAAAAACAAAAGCGCTTCAAAAATTGCTAAGCAGCAGGTACAAAAACTCTACTGGAGTCCCTCCTCCCCGCCGCTCCCCACCATCAGACTCATGCACCCTTCAACCATCACTTTTCTCCTGTCACTGCATCACACTGCTACTCAACGGCGGCGGCAGCGAGAGCTGCAGCAGGGGGGAATCTTTTGCGAGCTGTGCGATATTCCAGAAAAGGATATGCCGAAGCTGCTGCTGCGGCAGGACCTGAAGTTCTGCTTGATCAACTGATATCAAACACCAGCGACAGCAGAACACCTCGCCAAGCCTGGTGCACTCGTATTCTCCTGGATTTAAACGGGGAACAGCTTCACATATACTGTTACCTCCTGGCTACAAAGCTGCTCCCCTGAGGTGTATCCACGAGGTCCACATGAGGTTCCTCCGGCTGAGACCTCCTTATCATTGACTGGCCGCGAGAGAATAGAAACCAGTTTGGGGAGGAAGAGAGGGCCACGCCAAGTTTTCTGAGGCATCAGATGCGGCCACGTCTCGAGATCAGAAGCCTGGAGGCGTGATCCATGGAAGAAGAAGGAGAAGAAGAAGAAAATGGAGATTCGAACTGTGCGGGTGCCGACGGAGCGAGCTTGGACCCTCGAAGACCACCATCGATCGGGTGGACGCCATCGCAGCAGCAGGGGACGACGACCCCACTCCTCGACGGTGATTGGCGATGTAGGAGAGAGAGAGAGAGAACGGAGAGAGAAGAGAGAAACAGACGCTGCGAGATAGTGAGAGAAAAATCCCCGCGTCCTCTACTCCCTTCCAGCCGCGTCAATGAAGATTTTATTTTCCTTCTTAATTCATTTATTTATCAGAAAACGGGTTTTAAATCCCCGTCCCCCCGATCTGATCGTACGGTCGGGGAGGGGACACAGAAATAAGTCACCTCTGCTGATGGCTATCGTGAGCACCGTCCAATCAGGAAGTCAATCTAGACCGTCCGATCTCTAGAGTGCACAGATTTAATGGACCTCAGGATGGAAGGTAGCCGTCAAATTTTTAGATATTTTCATTTTTTCGCGATTTTTTTATTCATATATATATATATATATAATATTTGGAATAATATATTCCAAATATATTTATATAAAATTTATCATTTAATGTGAGACATAATTAACCTAAAAAATCGTTAAAATTTATCTCAAGCCGTGGATGGCCTCATCCTTATTGGGCTGTTTTCGACTACGTTGGCCCATTAATGATTATGGGCCGGCCCAAATATTTACTTGGTAACTCAGGTACGGCGTTCCTTAAAAATAAGAAAAATAATAAAAATACGATTAGCGGTCGAGTGTGTGCGTAGCTAGGGATAATTGGGTTTAGGTCCCTGCAAGGCTGTCGTATTTTTTATTGCATTATAACCCTAAAAGATCGATAATGACGAAAAAGGTGTGAATTCATCGAGGACTCTTATTAATAGTTAAACGAAAATGTAGTTTCATTTAAAATAAAAAATATATAATTAATTAGCCTCGCATAAATGTCCCCTTTCTCACTACTTTCCTTGATTAAACCTGATCATCCTCTCCCTCGCTCTTTCTCCCCCCTCTTCTTTCCATATTACGATCATATCCAGAATTTATGGATGGGAATTTAACCTCAGGGATAATTAATGGATCTTCAGATCCCAATTAACAAAGAACGAGATTTTATGGGGGTTAAAGACAAATTAATTCCCACTGATATAAACAGATCCTAAGCTAATGAATGCGTGCACGATTGAAGTGAGCTAGACGACTATCAGCACAAAAAAGAGATTTTTTTAATAATATACATAATTTCCAGGGACTTTTGATTAATCTTCATTGATTATTAATAATATATATATTTCGGAAAAATAAGGGGATTAATAAATTCTCGCGGCGGCATCCACGTGTGGGCCATTGTCACGTCATTCACGAAGTACAGGCATTTTATTAATTACAATTAAATAGAGGTTATAAAAAATATTATTACCCAGGAGGAGGGCCTCGATATTTCGTGGCGAGTAGGTATAGGTATAAACGAGAGCAGCAACGAGGACGACCGGTTCTGCATCCATCTCTCGTCTTTCTCTCTCTACTCTCTCTCTCTCTCTCTCTCTCTCTCTCTCTCGTGTCTTCTTCTTCTCCTTCTTCCTTGGAGACCAGTTCCGCCCACTCTGCTGCTGCGTCATCGGAGAAGAGCGGCCTCCGCTGCAGGCATTTTCCTCTTCTGAAGCCATCTCCATCTGCCTCTGCGCCAGCTCTGTCGCTGTGTGTGTCGGTGGGATTTGCTTCGGATCTACTCTCTCTTTCTCTCTCTTTCCCCAACAAACTCTCTGGAGGGCTTCATAAATAGGCCTACAGCTCCCGGTCGGGGTCGCGGGCTTCGTGTGCGCTTCTCGTGAAGGCCCGTGCCTAGTTCCTGCCGTGGCCCGCGAGAAGGGATCCAGGGACGAGTGTCGGTCGCCGGATCACCCGCTTTTAGGTGACCACTGTTCTCTCTCACATTGTTGTTTCTGTCCAGTGTGATATGCCCCTACCATTCTCCGGGCATATTCGAGTGAATTGGTGCCGACTTGTTTGAATCTCTCCTCGCTTTTTGTTCTTTTTCCTGCCTTGTTTTGCTTCTTACTTCTTCCTTCTTACCGTAGGGTGCGGAGGGAGATGGTGGATTCGGGGCCCTTGACCCCTGGTCAGGTACAAATTTCTTCTTTTATTTTCTTGGCATGCTCAGTTTCGGATCTGGTTTTGATTCCTTCCCTCCGTTTCATCCACCCATTATTTGGTGGCATCGGACCGTATCAGAGATACACTGTTTTTTTGGAATCTATTTCATTGTGAATTGAGATACTTGGGATATAGTGGAGTGTGTGTTCATTCTTTTTGTATTGCTTCCGAGATTTCTGAATGTTGGTACAACGGGGACTTCCATCTGATTGGATTCGTCTTCTTTTTGTTGAAATACCTACTACAGTTCCTGGGATGGTGATCAGGGACCTAGCTGTTATAACGTGGATAGGACATTAGGGCTAAATAATCTTTTTGGTTGGGCTTTGATCACTTAACCATGAAAAACTTGTGCGAGCCTAACATCCATTCAGCGATACCATCATAGTCACATAAGACGCCTTACGAGGGATTTTATGAAGATGGCTCTGGTTGATTTTTTTATTTGGTTCGGCTGTTATCAAGAAAAAAATTGCCTATCAGAGAAAGCTGTCTTATTTGAAAACGAAAAGTTATTTCAAGTGTAAACCCGAATCTGGCAGAGCACTTATCTAATCAATGGTTCGCCTCTCAGAAAACTTTTAACTTTAATTGTTCAAATGGGAATGCATGCTATCATTTCCATTAATGGTTTACCAAATGCCAGTAAAATTCAGGTTCAAATTTCTTTTAATTCGTTTTTTTTTTTTTAGTATGAGTGAACGCAACTGTTGCTATTGTTGTTAAACTCTCCGAATAGCTAATCTCCCGTCTTCCCCGCTACTCCAGGCATCTTCTGTGTTAAATCTAGGATATGATATCTCCTCAAGAGCTCTCTGGGCCAACAGCCCTTTGGCCATTATGCCTTATTCTCCATTGTATACTGTGACTTGTTTCTCTTCATTAACCACAAATGCAACGTAATGCAAGATAAGAGTAAAACTTGACAACTTCAATTCTCCATACAACACAAAGTACATTCCTTTTGCAAGGAGCTCTACCAAGTCTCATAAAGTTCTGATAAAAAAACATATACCCATTGGAATCATTCACGACTTGTGCAAATGACAAAGTCTCTTGATCTAGGAATTACTGGTGGCTCATGGACAGGCACTCAGATCATGACCCCAAAATCTTTAAGTTAGACTAGGACTCCAACTATCCAATTTTAAGCAGTCTCTTGACTTAGAAAGTTTAACCAACAATAAATTTTTCTTGAAGTGCAACGGTCTGGAAGCTGGAGAAGGCTTGTAAACTTATCTGTATATACGTAACGAAGGAACCTCTGATGAAAGGGAGTGAACATCCAAGTTCGTGATGAAAGGGAGTGATTCTAGTTCGCTAAAATCTGGATATCTTCTTGTGGTGATCTATTTTTGAATTATCTGGGACCGAGAGAGGGGTTACTTTTTGAATAATTGACCGCAGATATAATCTCTGTTACTTATTCTGTAGATGTGAATATGAATTTGACATCCAAATTCGTGCGCATAATGTTCCACCTATGCAAAATTCATGATCCACTTATTCTGTTTATTCAAGGCTAACAGTTACTCGAGGTTTATTCATAATAGCTAGACGGAAAGAGATGAAAAAATAGACATACGTCCCAATTACAGTTCGGTTTCAAGATCAGATAATCACAAATCCCAGATGCTTTTTGGTCATTGGGGATTCCTATAATTGGTCAAATAAAAGGGCTTATCCTTTTTTTTTGTCAGACATCTCTAACTATATAACATCGCTTCAAAATCAGATCAGTGATCTGTTAGGAAATTCTCCTTCTTGTGATACCATCTGAGGGAAAGATTTTGTGGAATGAGAAAGGAGCATCATGACTGTCGTAACAGTTGTTTCTGGAACTACACAAGGAAGAGCTAAGATCAGTATCAATACCTGCCTAACCATTTGAATAATCTTGTTCTTTTGTAGGGTCATTCTCACAGCAATCTAGTAAAAAGTCCCATTCCCTGTATTGGTCTGTTGAGACATATGCAGGCAGAGGAAACGATTGACCACAAAAAAATGATTTATTAAGATGAAGATTTTTAAAATGGTTTTGGGTGATACTTGCAGAAAAAATATTGCATGCACCAACTGTAATGGATGAACTTTCAAGCTATTATTATTGTTTAGCCTATTCCCTTGTTGCGAATCTCCCTTTTCTATTCTTTATAGGCTTTTTTAATATGTTTATATGATTGAGGGATGTGCATTATATTGTACCACTTAACGTTTTTTCTCTGGCAGGTGTCTTTCATTCTTGGTTATGTGCCTGTGTTTGTTGCTTGGATATATACCGAAGTGTTGGAATATAAAAAGTCGTCATCTCCTTCCAAAGTGTAAGGATCGCATAATTTCTTTTAGATCTGCTGGGAATGTTCATACGTCTGGCATTGCTGATGTTGATTGTGGAATAAGTGCTAGATGAGTATGCGAATATAAGGTTGGTATGCACTTGTGGTACCATCCAGTTTCAGAAAGAAATAAAGGGCTATTGGTATTTGCCTCTTTTTGATTGAGGATTCTAACTACATTTTTCTCCACCCACTGTCTACGGTTAAGAACTTTGTTTTATAGAAAATGAAGGTGAATGGCTTTGATAAGTTTGGAAATTTTATGAACCAGGGCATTGTTTGGTCCAATAAAAGAAACCCACCAGAGGCTGAAATTAGTTAACTATTTTTCAAATTGATGAACAATTTGTACTAAAATTCATTGCCACCGGACTTTTTTTTTTTTCCCATGAACCAGCTGAACTCATGTTTGCTTGGTTCATTCCTCTTTTCACATTTGATCTATCATTGTGGTAGTAGTTTGTTGGATGTTGTAGGACAAGGTGCTCCGAAGTTTGATAGGATATTAAAAATGTCCGCTCGTAGTTGCTTGCTATCCATAATATATGAACTCTTGTCCAATATGATTTGGATTCCTACCTTTTTAGTCAGGTAAAAATAGAAAATAATAAATTTTTGCATTCATCAAACATTCTCGACAATGTAGATTGCTTTGTAGAAGGAAAAAAAAGCATTATTATGATATCGATTGATCAATTGATTTCATTGATTTTAACTGCTTCTTCTCGGCATTCAGGGCGTGCCTCTTCTTAGGAAAGCATCTCATTAGATGTGAGATAAAGAGTTGTGTAGATTCCTGTGGTTAGTAGACATCAGGATCTTGCTCAAAGTGATCTAGGATGACTGCATCGATGTAGATTCACCCATCTGCATTTTAAGGGCGTCAACTCTTACCATTTAACTTTAACTTTTCAGACAATTTTCTTTGCTCATTCAACGTCAAGCGTTTAAACTTTCTTAATTCAAGATCTTTGGAGTGTTATATTCTGCTATTGCTTTATATCTCGTCCATAGAAGAGAGATGAATTGGGGTCCACAGGCTTGTTAACAACCCTCTCTCTTTTGTCTCAGTCATTCAGATGTAAATTTGGTAGAGTTGGGAAATGAACCTGCAAAAGATGACGATCGAGCTGTTTTGCTTGAAGGAGGCGTGACAAAGTCTTCTTCTGTGGGATTTCAGAGTTCTTCTGTTCGAGAAAATTTAATCAAGTATAGAGTTTATATTTCTCTTGTTTCAATCAAGCTTTTTCTTTACACTTACTTTCATCAAATGCCTTCACTTCAGGTTTCTAAAAATGGATGAGCAATTCTTGCTTGGAAATCGTGAAGTTTTCAAGGCCATGTAAGATAATTGTCTCACAATTAAGTTTCCTTTTGTGGGCGTCTGTCAAATCAATTCATTTTCCTAGCCTTTGATTGCCCTTTCCAGACTATCGTCGTCTAGGCTACTCTGATATTTTTTTCTGATGTCTTTGGCCATGGAGATTCGTGACCGACTGAACTATGACTGTTTTTCAGGTCTGAATTTGGATTTATTCTGATCTATTTTTATTTATGTGACCGGACAAATGTATTTCCTCAATCGAATAAGGTATTTTTCTCTCTCCTCTGCGTAGGACCTGCTTTGTGTTATTCGTGATTATTGTGTTTGCTCCTGCCTTCGCCTCTTAAGGAAAAGTCGCCCCAAGCCAGACTTTGGTCTGGCTTTCAATATTAATAGACATGAATCTTCTCCTTTCCTTCTATATTCTTTGTTCTAGGGGGTTTCAGATCTTGTCTCACTGCACACTCCTGCAGGGTTTACAGTCTATCTAAGTTAAAAAAGTTCATATTAGAACTGATATTTCAATTTATCAGGTCATTCGGCTTAAGTACTTTGGCTTAATTTTCTCAGAGCCTTTCACTAGCAACATAATTATTTCTAGTATCCGAGGCTGCGGATCATGGGGCTGGGTTGTTGGGCTTTGAGAGCCCATTGACAGCCATGCATAGAATGTAGGATGCAGGTGTATCTGTCTCACCGTCTATCTCTTGTACAGGGTATTGGATTGAACAGTGAAAGCTGTAGATTAAAGTTGTCACTGTAATTCAGCCATTCATCATGTTTCAGTGAATAACAGATAAATTTCCACATGTTAAGGCAAATGCATGCGACTACTGTATACACATATGCACGCATGTATATATGCATAGACGATTGTTAGTATCTAGATTCTTGCACATATTTATTCAGAACATACGATTACTGTAGGTTCTCAGCTATCTTGCTCTTCAGTTCCAGACTAAATGCTTAAAATGAACCTATAAAAACCTTCCTGACCGACATGCATTAAAAACGAATGGATTACCCAAATGTTTCAGTTCCATATTGTACGTATGTTCTTCAGAATATCCAGATTTCTGTGGGATTCTGTCTCATTCGCTGTCTCCTGTAGAACTTGGGCTCACGTTCCCTTTCAATGATTCTGTACACCACGAGGTCTGGCAATATAGTAGAGTATGTTCTTCAATGCTGCTCCCAAATCTTCCTTATGAGGCCAGTAGAGACAAAGAGGAGTGGTTATCAGAATCACAGGGGAGGGAGAGGAGAATTACGGGTCATCAGATAGGGGAGTTGATTACCTGTTATCTTTGCAGAACTGAGAGATGTGCTTGCCGAAGACTGTTCTACCCATTTTCTCTCACCATTTCTCACCATTGTTTGGCAGAGCTACAACCGGGACCTCTTCCTCTTCCTCTACATTCTTCTGATCATCGCATCAGCCTTGAGTTCTCTCAAGAAGCATGCCGACAAGTCAGCATTCTCTGGAAAGTCCCTGCTCTACCTGAATCGCCACCAGACAGAGGAATGGAAGGGCTGGATGCAGGTACCTCCATCCACATTGCCTCTCTTTCAATGACGCCACCTCACTCATTGATGAGGACCAAATGAGTTCTATTTTGGGCATTTTCTCACTGACCCGACGGGCATAACCCCAATCTGCAGGTCCTCTTCTTGATGTACCACTACTTTGCTGCGACAGAGATATACAATGCAATCCGCGTGTTCATCGCTGCCTACGTGTGGATGACCGGCTTCGGGAACTTCTCCTATTACTACATCCGCAAGGACTTCAGCCTTGCCCGCTTCTCCCAGGTGCGCCCATTGCCCCCTAGACCATCCCTTTCCCTTCACCTTTGGCCGTTCCTCATGTACACCTCTCTCTCTCTCTCTCTCTCTCTCTCTCTCTCTCTCTCTCTCTCGCTTTCCTTCTCTCTGTAAAATGCAGATGATGTGGCGGCTGAATTTTTTCGTGGCCTTCTGCTGCATCGTCCTGAACAACAACTACATGCTGTACTACATCTGCCCCATGCACACGCTCTTCACCCTCATGGTCTATGGGGCGCTGGGCATCTTCAACAAGTACAATGAAGTGCCTTCGGTGATTGCCCTGAAGATCCTGTCGTGTTTCCTTGTGGTGGTTCTGGTGTGGGAGGTCCCCGGCGTGTTCGACATGCTGTGGAGCCCGTTGACCTTCCTCGTAGGTTCGTATACCGATTTGGGCAATCCCCCGACTTCTCACCTCCTAACCCCTCTCGTGGCCCTCCCCGGAAAAATAACATCTTTTGTTCTGGGCTGCAGGCTACAGAGATCCGGATCCTCTGAAAACAAAGTACCCTGTTCTTCACGAGTGGCATTTCAGATCAGGCCTCGATCGCTACGTCTGGATCATAGGAATGATTTACGCATACTTCCACCCAAATGTAACTCTCTCTCTCTCTCTCTCTCTCTCTCTCTCTCCGAAATGCTCAGGCGCAGGGCTCATTCCTTGGTGCTCTCTCTGTTGCAGATCGAGAAGTGGATGGAGAAGCTCGAAGAGTCTGAGACCAAGAGGAGATTAACCATCAAGACAGGAATCGTGACGGCCTCTGTCGCGGTCAGTAAGCCAGCAACAGTTTCTCCCTCGGACTGCTCCTCCGATCCACACATAATCTGATTGAATCCTCTCCCCTCCCCCTGTAGGTCGGTTACCTGTGGTACAACTACATCTACACGCTGGACAGGTTCACCTACAACAAGTTCCATCCCTACACGTCTTGGATCCCAATAACGTAATCACAAACACTTTCTCCAGATTCCTCGGAAGAACTTGATCTTGATCTTGTGTTTTCACTCCCCTTCCTGCTCATCTCCATCTGCAGCGTCTACATCTGCTTGAGGAACTTCACGCAGGAGCTGCGCAACTTCTCCCTGACCCTCTTTGCGTAAGTTGTCAAGAACACCACCCACTTCCCATTTTTTAGTCTGGTAGCTTATGGTCGCTCTTTCTTTGCGGCTCTCTGTAGGTGGCTCGGGAAGCTGACCTTGGAGACCTACATCTCCCAGATCCATATCTGGCTCAGGTACGACTTTTTGCCATAAAGTCAAATCTTAAGAAATCAGGATCAGGATGGCTGATCCACACGCGCCGTGCCGTCGTGCATATGCGTCATGCCACCGTGCACACGCGATGTGTCGCCGTGCGCATGCGCCATGGTGCCATCATGCATATGCGCCATGCCATGCCTGTCTGTGATGTCTGGCGAGGAACATACCCTTCTTTTTCTGGTAAAGAAGATGTGCCATCGCTGTTCTACCAAGAGGTTCCACAGCTTGCCTATTAGATTATTTGCCCAGATCAGGGCTCCAAGAATCTTCTATCTTGGAAGGAGATGAGCAGGCCCATGTTTCCTCCCCTTGATGGAATAAAGCTTGATCTTGTGTTGTTATTGTTATACGCACAGGTCCAGCATGCCCAATGGTCAGCCCAAGTGGCTCCTCTGCTTCATTCCCGACTACCCCATGCTCAACTTCATGCTCACCTCGACGATCTACCTCTTCGTAAGCCTCCGCCGCCTCCCTGCCGCCACTCTTCCGCCACTCGATCTGCGAAGATTTGCATAATTTGATGCCTCTGAGGTTGTTTTGTTTTCCATGTTACAGATATCCCACCGGCTCTTCAATCTGACCAACTCGCTGAAGACGGCCTTCCTCCCCACCAAGGACAACCACCGCCTGCTACGCAACATCATCGCCGGAGCCACCATCTCCGCCGCCCTCTACTCCATCTCCTTCATCCTCCTCCTCATTCCCAACCTGGCGGTAGGCCACAGTCATCCATCAACCTCCTCCCCAGAGCCCCCTTCTCCTAGCTGAGGCCAGGCTCTTCTTCTCCACAGGGATAGGGGCTAATGGTCCACTACTAGGAGTCTGATCACAGCGGAAGCCGCCGCCACGGCCACTGCCACCGCCACGGCCACCGCCGCCACCACCGCCATTAAAGGAGATGCTGCAGTGAGGAGCCCAGTCGATGGGTGCATGTGGGCAAAGGGTCTGTGTGAGTGAGTATCTCTGCGTGTACAAACAGTTGTCAGCGAGGCATCTGGTCTTTGTGCAATAAATTGGGGATTATTCATTCATGTATTCCTCCATTCTATTTTTGAACTTATTTAATCGTGATATATAATTCTTTTCAGATTTATTTTTTAAAAAAACAAAAAATAAGTGCCCACGATCACATGAAATCGAAGCCCATTGTACCCAAAAATAGATTTTTTTTCCTAAATTGAGTAATAAAATTAATTTTCTTAATTTAACCCAATTAAGTAACAAATAAATAAAATATCAGACCGATTAAAAGAATTGTAACGCAATAAGTAGTACGCTGATCCTCAAATTCTCTGAAATTCCCTTAAAATGGCGCAATAAGTACCAAATGTGGTATTTATGTAAGTATATCTGAATTATCTAAATAATTCTATTTAGTAAGTAAAATGCACGATAAATTCCCTCTAATTTAACCGTCTAATTATCTAAAATCCCCCTTAAGATGGCGCAATAAGTACCAAATGTAGTATTTTTTATAAAAATACAATGCGAATTATCTAAATAATTCGATTTAATAGTCTGGGGAAAAATCTAAACACGTGTCAGATCGAAAAGGATGCGAAGTGAGAGACACATGGTGGATAAGCCTGGTGTCACGTGGACGGTAAATTCTCCACCACGTGGCAGGGAAAAGGGACAGCCCACCGCGCGATGCCACGTGGTGATGAACCAACGGTCCGCCTAAAGCACGAGTCTTTGGGGGCTGAATGCCACGTGGAAGAAAAAGCTTTCCCGGCCGGGCCCACCACCCGATATCGGAGATTTTTTTATCGGCAATCTATAAACCGCAAAATTTGTTCCTCCATCTCCACCACCTCTGCCTGTCTGATCAGCGGTGCTCGAAGAGGAGGAAGGAAGACGAAGAGAGCGAAGAAGGATGTCCCTCTCCCTCGGGCTTGGCCCCCCTCTATCCGCCAACGCCGTTGGCGGCAGATGCTCAATCTACTTTGGCCGTCTACCCGGCCGCAGGGGGCCATTGCGTGGCCTCCGGAGCGATCGGCGACTCGCCGGAAGCACCGCGGGTACGCGGAAAGTGGAGGAGGTGGAGAGGACGAGGAGCAAATGCTGGATCTCAGCTTCTGACGGAGGTTCTTCCGGTGTAAACTGTCTGTCCACCGAGTGAGGAGCCTCTCCCCCGTTGGTTGTCGAGTTTGTTCTGCTGTTCCGGTTTTTTTGTACATTGATTATCGTCGGGAATTTGTGGCAGATTTTATTTTTTTTGGTTTTTAAATATCACGATCTGACTGTATCCTGACGCTGACTAGAACTTGATATCCATGAAAAATTCTGTCTGGGGTCCATGAATTTTTTTCTGATTTCCATATCAGTACCATAGTCTTCTGATCAGATCCAGGATTTGGCTTAAACTGATCGCGGCTAGTTTTGTTACTCTCTAAATAGTGAAGAAATGCGCTCGTCTCAAGTTTATGTGATCACTGTTGTTTTTGGCAACTGCGTCTGTCGGTTCCATTGATATCATAATCTGATCATATCCTTGATCGGCATGATAATAATCATCTCAGTTTTCAAGGATTGTCACTGTTTTCTATTGATTATTATAAACTCCCATTTTTAGTGTTCTCACTATTAACATTATGATCTACTGACATCCCGAATGCACTTTTTAACTTACTATTAGCACCACCTCGGTTATATATAAATCAGTGAACTTTCAACGTCAGGCTCATCTCAATTCCTACAATTACTGATAATTTATTTTTATATTATTTTTTTATTGTCAGATGCTGTGGCCATTCTCATCTTTGATTTGGTTCTTAATCATCTGATAGGCATCAGCGTGGGAATTATCTGAATCAGTGGGGATATGTCTTATAATTCATATCATCTGCTTGTATTTTGTTTATTTTTCTGTAGGCAAATAGTTTGCATTTGTGTCTGTTGTCGTCACTGACATCATCATCCGATCATATCTTGGCTCTGCTCTGAGTTGAATGGACATTAGCGTGAATAATGTCCGTCTGATTTACATCCCACTTTTCTGCCGTTCACTTTAATCACAGGCGACTCTCCCGGGGCTGGACGCGCAGAGGGAACGCCAGGGGGCATCGCATCATCTGCTCTGCTACAGTTCTTGACCATGAAACCCTGCAATGGGTCTCCTCCATTTCCTGCTTGTTAGTCTCCTCTCGGAGCCTCCTGCTCCTCGTATTAATATTCTTTTTTTTCTTTTTTCTTCTCATAATTAATTATTTTCCGGCCTGGGTTAAGTCACAGACACCTCCTTGGTCAGCAATCCCAGTAGTTTGACAGGCCAAGTTTCTTCTGAAAAATGAATGAAAATGATTCAAGTTTTTTTTTAAAAAAGGAAATTACCGTTTAGTAAGCTGCATTTTCTGTCATTTATTTTTTATATATTTTTAATTGTGAATGATATATACTCCTATTTATTTTGTGCATGAAAAAATCCCGGTATTTTATTTTCCCCTTTTTTTTGGGGGGGGGGGTTGAATAATGGAATAATAATTCTCTTTCTCTGTGATAAGATGGAGATCATCATCTATTTGCTCAGGGTTTGTCTCTCTATGCGATGCCTGCAGGGTACTGATGCTCGCCAAAGGAACCGCCATCCAGAAATCCTTCCTTGCTCCCTTATTTACCCTGCAAGCCCCCGCCAGCATCCTCTCATGGATCAGGTGACCTTCTCCATCTCCCATCAAGCCCCCAACAATATTAGGGACATTATTATTATTATTGATTAATAACCTCCCCTCCTGGTATTTATGTATGTATTAATTAGTTAATTATTCGAGCCCATTTTGGGAATTTTAGAGAAAAGGGCCTCCGGCTTTGACTCATTTGCAAAAGGTTGTGTTCTCAGAGGTGACTATGGAATTTCCGCCGCCTTCATCGCCCTCCTCGTTCGTCTCTTCTACTACATTCCAGGTGGGTCTACCAGTAATTTCTTCTTCCTCTTCTTCTTCTTCTTCTTCTTCTTCTTTCTCTCCTGCGTATTAAAGTCCGCGTCTTCTCTGGACTAACAGCCGAGCTGGATCTTCCCTTCTTGACGGCGCTGCTCGTTATCGTCACTCCTTACCAAGCAGCAGGCCTGAGGTAAGAAACCCATTTATGGAGATGAATGCCACAATGTGCCCACTTCATCCCTCTCTCTCTATCTCTTCATCCTGATGATTTTTTTGAATAAAACCCATATAAAACCCAAAATATGCGCATATCTCTCTCTCTCTCTCTCTAGATAGGATATATACCTGTAGGATGATGGGCTTGTTCCTCTTCGTCCTGATGATTTACTTTTTTTGGAATAAAACCCATAAAGAACCCACAACGAGCCCAGCTTCTCTCTCTCTATCTATCTCTATCTCTAGCTAGGATGGTATGCTTCAGTTTTCTTAGTCCTGTAGGTTTTTTTTTTGCTTTTGGTGACGAAACCATGAGCAGGGGGACTCAGATCGGAGCGGTGATCTCGCTAGTGATCGCGGGATATCTAGCCTTCCAGCACTTCTCGAGGGCCGGAACCTTCCAGAAGGCCTTCGATCAAGGGTCCATCGTCGCCACGCTGGCAATCGTCTTCATCACCGCCGTCCCCTTCACGGGCCTCTTCTAATGCTCCTCCCCGCTGTACGTCCACCAAATAATAAGGTTACCTCTTCCTATCAAACTACCGATCTGAGTCTCCTGATGGACGATCCTTCTCCAACGATCCATCAGATCGACGGTCGGGATCGAAAGTTGCCGGGTACCCCACCAATTCCCCTAGGTAGGTAGGGATACGATCATCTGCAGGTAAAGTTACCACCTCTGCCAAAAGGAAAATAGACATCCGAAAGAATCGCATCTATTCTTCTCCTTAGAAGCGGGAGCATTTCGCTTCTAAGGAGACGCTGCACGTAGAACACAGATGGATGTAGAGAAAGAGAGAGAGAGAGAGAGAGAGAGAGAGGGTTCAACCTGTGGAAGCAGCTGACTTACAAACGGGGCAGGCGTTCTTGTGGAGGAGCCACTGCCTTATGCACAGCATGTGGTAGCAGTGGCCGCAGGGCAGCTTCCCCAGCTCGTCGCCAGCTTCGTATTCCTCCTGGGAAAAAAAAACACGGATGAGATTATTATTAGAGAAAGACCAGGCGGGGGGTAATTGGAGAAGGAGAGGTGGCAGGGACATGGGGTCCCACCTGGCAGATGCTGCAGGTCTTCTCCACTGCCCTGTGGTTGGGCCCCACCGGGGGGCCGCCGAAGACCGACTGCCTCGTTTTCCTCAGGCACTGGAAGATCTCTTCCTCCCTCAGTCCGGTGCTCACATAGCCGATCTTGTCTCCCAGCTCCAGCAGTTCCTGTGGGTAGGTTGGTTAGTGAGAGGAGAGAGAGAGAAAGAGAGAGAGAAAGAGAGAGTGAGGACCTCGTAGGACATGTTATCCACGTCGAGCCGGAGGTCCTGGTACTGATCGTAGATGTCCATGCCGCCCAGCAGCAGCCTGCTCTGGAGCATCATGATCTGCAGAGGGGGTAGAAGAAGTCAACGCAGGGGAATCGGATGCCACAGGAAAAGGTCAAACTGTTAAGAGAGAGAGAACCCATTGCCGTCTTGTTGTTATTTTAAGGATATTTCAAGAGTAAACAAGTGGGTGTGGTCATTAAATCTACTCTGGAGCATCAGGGAAGTCAGATTTCACAGCAAATGCCCAAACTGTTGCTGGAGAGAGGGAGAGAGAGAGTCAACCCATTGCCGACTTGTTTTAAGGATATTTCAAGAGGAAACAAATTGGTGTGGTCATTAAATCTACTCTGGAGCATCATGATTCTGCATGAATAGAAGTTAACTTATGGAGGCGGGTAAGAGACGCTGGTGACAACAGGGATCCAGGTTTTGGAATAGAGAGAGAGAGAGAGAGAGAGAGAGAGAGAGAGAGAGAGAGAGAGAGAGAGAGAGGTTCGCTCCCCATTGTCAACTGGCTGTTTAAGGGGATTATTTCAAAAAAAAAATGTAAACCGCCTGAATTGCATTCTCTCTGAAGGATTTTGAGGAGATAATCAGACTCTAAGCTCACTTGCCTGTCTTTAGCACGAACATTCTTCAGTTCTATGCCAGGATCCTCCAGCTACTACCCACTTAGGGAATACCCTTTCCCCCACCTTAGCCTCTCTCTCTCTCTCTCTCTCTCTCTCTGTAGGGAGAGGATGTTATCCTTCCTATCACAGGTTATTTCTTGGGATGAAGTTGACCATGGAAAGCGACCATCTTGCAGACTTACACACACGTATATGATCCATCGACCACTCAGATAAATCCCACGCCCCCTAGCGTCTGCTATAAAAGACATCAAAAGAGGGTCGCTTCCTCTGAAGACGAGGTTGATTGACGTTTCAAATAGTTCGAATTAAGCAGCCCCTTTGACTTGAAGCATTGCCCAAAAATTGGGGATGCTTCCATAAATGGGTCACTCGTGGTGTGGGTTATCTGAGGCTTTTACAAGAGCGTGATGAGTTTCTTCCTCCATTCCCCAAAGAAGCAAGAAAGAAGAGATAATTATGGATGAGGTGGGTGTTTATTCAAGGTAATTCAGGTACAATTTTAAAATATGGACGATTTTTTTTCTAAGGGTGTTTATCATGAGAAAATCCTAAGGGTGAACAAAACTGCATGTTCTTCTGATAACACACGTAAGTGAAATTGGATGCGAAGGATTTAGATTCGATGAATCAAACGCTGCTCATCTATTTTGGAAAATTTAGCCACCACAGCTCCGAAAAAAGGGATCGTAAATGATCATAAAGATGTTCTAATCCTGAAAGCCCGATAGGTAGAAAACAAAGACAAACAAGAAGCAAATGACAAAACTTCGCAGAAAAAATAATAAATAATATTTCAGCATCTAGTTCCTGAAATGCTGGTATCCAGAGGAGCTAAATGCCAACCACAGAGACAGGAGAGGTGTACCTCCTCGAGGCCCCCATGAGGGATACGGCAGTTTGGGAGACGGCGGCGATGTCCCGACGGCATCTGATCAGATCGAAAATTTGGCAACTCGTCGGTGGAATCGGGAAGAGAATTTAGGAACGAGGAGAGCTGTTCCAGCCTTCGTCCTCCTCGCCTCTCGATGCAAGTCCTCTGCAACTAAATGCGATCAAGCGAAGCAAAAAGGAAAGACGATCCATCCTAATCCTTCCTCACAGGAAAGCATCATAGCCTCGGATCCCTATACGCACCTCTCTTGCGATCCTATCTCCATCGGCGGCTCTCCCGCCTCTGCTCCCCGCCGGAGGCAACATCGGAGGCTGCTGAGACACGACGCAATCGACTGAATCGTCAGCGGAGGCGGCGAAGGCGACCCCCGGGGCGCACCAGAGTTCGGTTCCCCCCGCCGAGTTTCTCCTCGGATGCGCGGAGGAAGGATGCCGCTGCCGGTCCCTCGCCTTCTTCCACGGCGCCTTGATTTTCTTCCTCCGGCAGCTCGCCGGCTTAGCCTGCCAATCGGCGGACGACCGCACTACGGCGGCGGCAGACGACGGTGCGTAGGCCTGCGCCGCCGCAGCCGATGAGCATCCCAGCCCGCGGAGGAGAGCAGCCGATGCGAAGCCGTCCTTCCTCGCCGGAGGCGGAATCAGCAGGGGGCGGTCCTGGCCGGCGTAGCCGCTCTCCCTCGGCTGCCGGAGAAGTCGACGGAGCCGGCGAGTCCCCCCTCCCCCGCCGCCCTCCTCCGCTGCCTCCGCCATCGCTACTCCTCGCCTTTCGAGCCCATCTCTCCACCACCCCATAAAGTATACTACGATGAAGGGATGTTGATACATAACCTCCCTAAAAGTAAACAATAACATTTGTACTCGGAAAGTATTTTATAATTTGATATATAATCATTTGAACCACGCTCGTTCACCGACTGCTGTCACTCTACGATAAAGCAAAGTTGATACATAAAACCTCCCCTAAAAGTAAACTATATCAGCTTTACCTAAAAATATTTTATAATTATATATATACGCATTTCAACCACGCACGTTCACCACCGACTGCAATCACCATGCCCAGTACTACGATAAAGGAAACAATAACAAAGTTATCCTGAATTGTTTTATAATTAGATATATAATGATTTCAACGGCGCACGTTCTCCACCGACTGCTATAATTACTTATATGCCCAGTTCCAAGAACCACAGACAGGTGTTTTTCTTCAGTAATTTTTTTTTTATCTCGGTAAAATATGAAATAAATACTTAAGAATGGGGTTTAGTTAGAGGAAACGTATGTGGCGTCACTATCGATAGCGACAGCCAGTTTTCGCGCTCAGAAGCAGACGCGTGCGCCGTCGCCGTCGTCGTCGGTGACAGTGACATGGGCCCACCAGTTCAATCGCTGGCCCACAAGATTTGAGATCGATTAATAATTTGTGGGGTCCACATCTTGTCGTCTCTCGGCTATCATGCGCCGCGTCGGACGCGATCCTATCACACTTGGAATTAAATGAAATAATGAAAATAAAACCCATTTTTTGCGAATAAAATAAGTAAATAACCCGCAAAATCCAGCTGCTTATCACGCCAAAAGTGTTCCAAAAATCCGGGTTTCGGGCCGATCCAGCCGATCCAGCCGGCCCGAGTTGAAGGGGCTGGTCCAGTGCATAGCCTATAAAGAAGCCAAATTGTGGACCTACTCTTTAAATTTCGAAATACCGCCCTCAAAGGAGGTCGGGAATAAATGTACCATAAATTAGAGGAGTTTTTGGAAATCTTACAGACAAGCAAGTCTGCATTATTTAATTATTTATTTATCTTATCTGCATTTTTTTAATAATATCAGTCGCCAAGGCTGACGTTACGTCGTACCTTCTAGACTTTCGGGGGCGCCACCCGCTTTTACGACGTTGATTTTTACCTTGAAATTTTGTGAATATTTTTTTATTTGAATGATCGATTATAATTTTATTATGTATTTATGGCGGAAAAATAAGCAGGAATCGGGCCAATTTGTATTGTCCCACACAGCCCAATACGAGCCGAATCGTCAAAAATATTACCCTATAAATCTAGAGAGGGAAAGACGAGAGAGAGAGAGAGAGAGAGAGAGAGAGAGAGACCTTCGAAATCTTTATTTAATTTATATTATTGTATCATCCAAAATAGACTGGATAGCCTGAACTACTCTCTCTCTTTCTCTCTCTCTCTCTCTCTCTCTCTCTCTCTCTCTCTTTGTGCCCAAAGGGGGAGTTGTGGCGATAGATTCATCTTCTATTCTACTTGGCATTCCCGTTTCAGGTTTAATTCATCCTTGACTTCTCATTTGTATTGTTCTTGTCATCTCGGTGTTCTGTAGGGAAATGAATTTCGGCATGGGATGATTGGGATTCTTGATTCCATCCTCTATGGATGATTATTTTACTGGAATTTTTTCCATTGAATTTTGTGGATTAAACTGATGTCTAACATGTGATAACTCCTTGGTGCAGTGAAGATGTTTAATATGTGAAATTATTTTATGTGGTTAGGGATCCGATTAGTGGGTGGGTTTGAAGTATTGACTCTGGAAGAAAATGTTAGTGATGTTTAATGTGATTGAACATTAAACATTTAGTAAATTTTTCATCAGACACGCAAAAAATGAATTGTTATTATAGTTCAAGATAAACCATCAAACTCAAATTTATTGAATATGCCCATAAAAATTATTTATGAGAGATGTTGGTGAATGACTAAATCATCATTCTAAAATTATAATAATGGCCATAGTGTGAACAAGCATTGACATCTTATTGTTGACCTTAGGACTAGAATCTTTTGCTTTTTCATTTAGCTTAGCTTTCATTTCTTTTATGCTGATGTCTTCAGGCAAAAATGTATTCATCCCTTTTTTCCTACCTATGTAGAGGGTTGTGATTAATCGTTACTCACAAAACTTTGAAATACTAATAATACAATTGTTTGATCTATGTTCATAGTTGCGATGTAGGAGTCAACACCTTCTTCAAACTATCTTATCTAGTTTACATCTGCATAGTTTAAACTCTTTAATTGCCAATTGTGAACTTTTGAGGTTCCTAGGGTTTGTGTAAGCAAAGTTGTGAAATGAATAAGGTATGCTCATGGCTATTTGATAATTATTCTCCATATTTTTTTAACTTGTGAAAAAAATAATTCAACTTCATTGACATGTGAACACACACACATGCATTAATTAGGGCTTAGCATGCATGTTACTTCAATTCCAACATAATTCTTGACTTGTTGGAGACTTCTATGTGTGTGTCTCTACTACTATTTGGAAACAAATGCCCACGTTATGTTTTGAATCATAGTGGGTAGTTTCCCATAACTTATAGGCCATCCCACCTAATAGCTTTGAAGCTATTTATGTTGATTTGGATGATTCTATATTAAATTTATTTACAATCTTTATTCTCAATGCTCTACTAATGTTGATACAACTTCTCTATGGCATTTTTTAGTTTTTGGTTATATCAACCAAGTTTTGATAGGTTTCGAGATCTAATGATATCCCATGTAGCCCCCTTGAAGAGTAAAAATTTCAAATTTATCATACAACTATGTTATTATATTCTTTTTGTTTATTTTTCTGAGATGCATCTCTAAAACCTTATCCTTTATTGCTTAAAATACTTCAAAATTTCTTTGTCATCTTTGTCTAACTCTTCTTCCTCTATGTTCAGAACACAATTGAAACTTAATTGAATACTAGCTAAAGCATTTCTATGATGCATGTGATATGTTGATGTGTGTTCTCATTTATCATCATTTAATAATTTTTTCTAAGATTTTATGGAGCCATTTCCCTGATTTTTGTCAAGTCCTTCACAATTGTCCAATCATGTTTGTGGGAAGTTAATTCATAATTTAATCTCTGTCTTTTAATTTACTGGTATATCAAAGATGTATTGTCATGTGGGTGTTACTCTTGAATGCTTGAAATTGTACTTTTTTATTTCAGCAGCCACTCTTAGGAGTTGTAACTTTTAAAGATTTTTTGTAGACAGACCTTTACTTATTCGCATGATGAAAATTTAATATTTACTTTTATACGATGATTTTTCATATGTGGTGCAAATTCTATTTTATGAGTGCTTGGGTACTTGGGTACTTGGGTACTTGGGTACCTGGGTACCTGGGTACCTAGGTTGTAGAGAAATCTCATGAGACAAGAATGATGCACAAAAGTAAATTTGATAGACACCCATTGATATTTTTTATGTACCTCGAACAAATGATATTTTTTAAAAAACATTGTACCAGACATTGATACTTTTATGTCAATATCAAATTTTTATTTTTTCTAATTTCTACTTATCTTAAATATTGTCTTGTTATATCGTTGAGGATTTATTTTATGTGATTGGACATAAATCAAAATCCATAATTCATCCCCTCATTTTTTTCTATATTTTTCTGATTGTTTTTATCAAGCAATTTTTAATCTCTTATGCTTAGCCTTCTTGCTTAGGAATCTGAGGACACTAGAGAAATGATTTTCACTTTTCTATCAAAATGTTTCACATGGAATAATTTCATGTCATGTTTGTGATTGTATGCCATTGGATTTTGTTGAGTTCAAGAAATTTCTCTCTTACCCATCTTGGGAAATGAGACAACTCTAATTATTGATCTTGTCTTTGGTCTCATACTATTTCATTTGTTGTTGCTTTGCTTGTTTGATGGTTTTGAGTCAATATCAAGTGAAAAACTATACTCAACATAGACAACAAGGATACATTCACCCTAAAGCCTATGGTGAAGGAACACAGACTATTACCCAAGACTAAGTAAATGTTATTCATGACCTCTAAAATCAGGTGCTATAACAAGATAGTTGAGCCTTTGAGATCCTGCCCAGAGACTCAACTTGAGGCCATAGGTTGTCTCATAGAGTGTGCATCACTGCTTTTGTATCAAACATAGAATGCTTTTATATCAAATTATTTAAAGTAGAATGTTCATATGGTTAATAGATTGGAAATCTTATTTACCATGAGATTATGATCAATAAAAATATATAAAGGTAGCTATCCTATGATCTCTCATGCAACTATAGTAAGAAAATATATTAAATAAATAAATGAAATTGAGAAAGTGAAGAAGATATACTAAAAGTCTTAACCTCCGTTAGATGATGGGTTGATCGTTGACCACATGAGTTGACCTTTGACTATTGAACGTTGACGTGGGTGTTGACAGTTGACTGGGTGGCCTGGTGCGCACCAGGCGGTCCAGAGTGGCTCAGACTGGCGGGACAGTCTGTGTGAACCAGGACTTACGGTTGTGGTTCGGACCCAATTGGCGGGACCTGGGCGGACTAGACGGTCGGGCACGGTTTTGGACTGGTTGGACGAACCGGTTGGTTCGGGTCTGTTCCGATCGGCGAACTGAGTGGTTCAGGCTACTGAGCAAGCTGGGCCCGGCGGAAATGGGCTGATCGAACTGGGAAGGTATGGGTCCACAAACCGGAGGGGTTAAACCCTTAACATAGAGAGAGGAGACAGTGAATCGGGGGCGGCGAAGGCGGAACAGGCGAAGGGCGGAAGGCAGGGCTGGAGGTGGCGGCAACGGCGGACGGCGACGAGGTCGACAGCGTAGGTGACAACGGGGCAGGTGACGGCAGCGGGCGACAGGGATGGCGAGAGGCGAGTTGTGGCAATAGCTAAGGCGTTGACGACGAGATATAAGCCGGCGGCTGAGAGAGGGAAGGCTGCAGAGGTGGGAGACGGGGAGATGCAAGCCGGCAGCTGAGAGAGGGAAGATTGGAGAAGTGGAAGAAGAGGGGAGAAGAGGCTTCAGACAGGGAGCGGCGGGCTCCTCCGGCCAACCCAAGCCGGGGCGACGGGATCAAAAGATCAGGTAAGGAATGCCTGCAATCAGAGGTTTTCAGGCCAATTTATAGGCCTCAAATAGTTCTTTTTTAAGAAAATAAAAACGAATTATTGCTGTAAACTATTGTTAATCTTCGGTTGGTGATGTTATATCAGGCACTTTTGGCCAGCAATCTGCTTACTCTCTTCTACGGATCCCGCTATATTCCTTCTGCCGATGGATTAAACTTGGCGCGGTTAAACTGTCGCTGCCCATCTGCTGAGATCAAATGGCGGATCTCCAGACGGAGGAAGAGGACGACTGGGTGGTGGTCAAGAAGCAGAGAATCGTCATCCTAGTTCCGCCGCCATCTCCGGCGCAGGACAAGATCAGCATCCCCAGATCAAAAGAACAGCGAAACAATCCCCAGATGAAGAATGAGAATTCTTCCCCAAATGAGCCACCACCCCATCATCGCCGCCGGAGACCGGCGGCGGCCCCCATCGTCTCCGGCGCCGGCGGCGGCTTCTGGGGGGCCCGGCGGCGGCCGCTTGTCGGCCCAATTCAGGTTATGAACCAGAGAATGAAGGCAGTAAATCTGGAGAGGAGGCTGGAGAGACTCGGAGGGCTGAAGAGGTATCTGGAGTCGCTAAGCCTGAGTCGGTTCGTGCGACTGATTGAGAAGGAGCAGCTGGACAAGTTCCAGCTGGTTGGTCTCACCATGGGGAAGCTCAAGGAGATGGGCGCCGACGCAGTTGGCCCCAGGAGGAAGCTACTGCACGCCATCGAATGCCTCTGCCAGCACCCCCATTTGTAGGTGATGGCACCGGTACTCTCTCTCTCGCTCTCTCTCTCTCTCTCACACACACACACATATCCTCTGATTCTTGAGCAGTTCACCTTCGCTTAGGCTAGGAGTGAGAGACGATCATCGACCCGGAAGATTGTTACACACCTTGAGTACGAACCAAGAGGTGCTCTTCTGAATTTTTTCAAGAAATCAACTAGAAGGAAAGAGACTCCTCCCATCTACCAGCAGTTTCTCCTCTTTTATCTTGCTACGCTTTAGAGAGGCCCATTTTGAAGGCCGCCGATGCATATCCCAACATCGCTTATGTATTTTAAATTGTTTTGAAAATCAATAGCTGATGAGGTTTTCTGACTAGTCCCAATGGCATTTCATTATGGGCATCAAGTGGTTAGCACAAAATGATGGGCTCTCTCTCTCTCTCTCTCTCTTCATATCCTCTGATTCTTGAGCTGATGAGAACCTTGAACCTATAAAAAGCAAGCTTTGATGACTTATGAAATGTCCTGTAGAGCTGACGGAGAAGCAATGGGCATGAGAACAGCGTAAATCTTGATGAGTATGCTTAATCACTAGTGAGCTTGAGACATTGAAGCATGGGAACTTGAGCTTGTAAATTCCCTGAAGCCTAAGTGATCTCCACATATAAGGGGCCTCTTAGTAGATTGAAAAACACAACTATTGATTGGAAAATGCTATGCCTATATTTACTTGTACACGAGTATTTTTTTCATCCTATTCTAATTGCTGTTTCAATCAATACAATTATTGTGGTTCTACAAGTTTCAACTTGTAAGTTATAGAAGTTGACTTGAGTTGGAGGGGCTGACCTGTATATTCTTCACTTCTCTTTTACACAATAAAAGAGCCTTTCAAGAGCCAGCACTTATGATATACATTTTTGCTACTTATAAAAAGCATTATTTTATGAATGGTTTTCTCCCTAACATTAGTAGATCAACTCTCATATAAAAATTGTCATTTCCATTAAATTTTAATTTCATTGCCTAAAATTATGCAAACTATCCATTCAACTTTCCACCATAAATTAGAAGACACAATTGCCAAAATTAGACTATTGGGTTTCATGTTGACTTTTAACTAGAATTATGTATTTTACTACAAAGTATGAGTGGATTCCTTGTGGAGGAAATCCTTTTGAATGGATGATTAGACTTGATCTGTCATTGAATCTATCTTATTCTACCATTCTTATGACCAAAGTGTATCAAATAATCTTTTTCAAGGCTCTCATATGACATCAGTTGGTTTAGTAGATATCTTAGAAAGTTTCAATGCATCTTGAAATAGCTAAAGTGAACAGTTCAACTTGTAACAATCACTCTCAGGTCTCCCCTTATCTTTTTATGCTTCTTTTAATATATTTTCTTTGTTTTATTCCCTCACAGTTAGCAATTCATTGCCTTATCATCAATTGCTAGCTGAAAGGTAAATGAAGATCGTGTGGTTCTTCACCTGAAATGAGTTTCTCCTCAATATAAAGATTCTACGAGAAGACCCAAGTGAAAATTAATCTTCAAGATATATAAGGTAGTGACATTTTTCCTCTACCACTTTCATTTGGATACAGTTTCTATATATATTTTTTAAAATTAGCACCCTAAAGAAATGAAGGATAAAATGGATTGAAAATTCGCAGAAAAATGCAACAGTTGGCAGAAAAAATCTGCAGACAAAATAAAAGGGCGGATATGAAACCATATACAGCCAGGAGTTTGAAACATTATAGTCAGTAGGTAGTAAGGGATGGCTGCATTAAGAAGCAATATTGAAATGAGAGCATCCGTTTCTTGTTGGTAGAGTCCGTCCAGCTCTAATGATTCCTACTTCATCAAAGTCAATGTGCTAATTTGTAAGCATTTTAAATCACATTGTTGTGTGCTTTAATGGTTCTCATTCTACTTCAAAAAATAAATTTCATTGTGTTATTACCAATATCAACACACTCTACCATTCAACTTCTTATGATTATTTATTTTCATGCGTTCTTAATGTTAGAATCAGAGCAGCAATTCCACAAGCAGACCCTCAGAAAAACCTTCATGGGGGAGTAAATGTATCTCTACATTCTTCCATCTCATAGGAAACACCCTATTAAGGAGCCCATTGGACCTTTAGAGTAAGGCCCATTACTTATAGACCTGAGGTTCTCCTACTATAACAATGTCTGATATGAGACTAACCATGTGGAGAACTCCTCTCCCTTATTTTTCTTTCCACATGATACACCACTTAAGTTAACAAAAATGTCTTGAATTGAATTAGTTTTTACTATATGAGTGAAGCCATACTCTTCACCAAATAAATTATAGAGATGAGATATCAAGGTGCCTCCTTTACATGCATGTCATGACTTGTGTCATTCAACTTTTTCTAATGACAAAGACATCTTAGAAATGACCACTAGTTTCAAGCGAATGTGTCTTTGATTCCTATTAATTTTATTAATTTAAAGGATGATGACTATGGCTACCACCACCATCATTACTAGTTCAAGTTTTAATTCTAGGAAGCGAACTCCAACTCATCATGGCACCTCATTAGATATTTAAACAAAACTTATTTAAAGTTGCCCCCATAATTTGTCATTTTTATCGTTCAAGGGTTATGTATGTGTAACTTAAAACTTTTCATTTCATAATTTTGTGGATGTGAGGGCAATCATTTTGCAAACCTAGAATTTAATTTTCAAAAGTTTTTACATTCATTTTAAATTTAAATTATTTTAAAGCTCAATTTTTTGAAACATGAAAGAATACTTGTGTCTTAACATATAAATATATATATATATTAAAAAATATTAACGAATATTACAAATGTTTTTGAAAAAACTATTGACCGCAATTTGAATAAAAAATTCAAATAGATACATAGGTTCCGAATGGTACTACCTGTGATATTACTAATCAATCAATCTCTTTTCCAGGTATTATATGAAGGTTTTTCGTTTCAATCCTTGTGAATCCTAGGGGCCAACTTCATTTAATTTTTTCTCGCATGGAGGAAGCTTTTTTCTCTGTTGGTCGATGAAATAGAGTTATATATCTAAGTTAGTTCCGCTTTAATTTTAAAAATTCAAATAATTGGGGTCATATTATAGCAGTAAATGATTAAATGCATCAACTTCAAATGCTTTTGGATATTAAACAATACTGTTTATTTTTACCTTATTAAATTTATGTTTATCTTCATGGATCACTCCTCTTTTCGTCCAGGGCAGAGGCCCCGTCCTAGGCTTCTGCGATGGGCTTGTTCAGTGTCTCCAGCCATTCATCCATAGTTGTCCTTGGCACCGTGAAATTGTCATCTTGCGGCCGGCAGCGACGGTGCTGCGGAGAGGACGGCAGACTTCTGCTCGAGGTCAAGAGCTCCATCGTCTATCCACACAGCGCTGCCATCTCGAGCTGGAGCCTTGTGGAGGCAAGTCTTTCCTTCGTGGTGGCCGGCTTCCGCCGTCCTCGTTCTGCGTTTAGTCCCATGGTTCCGTGTCGTTCCATTGCATCCTTAGCTTGTTTTCATTTACGTGAATCTGCGGACCGATGTGGTCGGCAGTGGTATTACCCACACTAAGCACGAGATCTGGCTTTCGAACCTGGACCTGCTGGTGGCCCGGGATCACACCCCCACCGTGTACGTCTACTCGCACGACGGCGGCCAGGACTTCTTCGTTGGCGAGGTTGTCAAGACCTCCTTGAGCAAGGCCCTGGCCACCTTCTACCCATTCGCAGGTAGGCTGAGGGTTGGCGGCGACGGTCGGCTCGCGGTCGACTGCACTGGAGACGGCGCCCTCTTCGTCGAGGCCATCTCGGAGTTCACCCTCGCCGAGTTCTGAGACTTCGGCCCATCAGACGAGAACCCGAGGTTGCTCGTTCCCACTGCGAGCTCCAACGACCCGCCATTGTTCCTCATTCAGGTTCTCTCTCCATCAACTCCTCTCACTAGGGGGATGAATAAACAAACTGTTTAGGAGTTTGTGATGCGTTGAACTTAGTACAGGTAACGGCGTTCAAATGTGGTGGAGTCTGCGTGGGGGCCGCTGTGCATCACAATCTGGCCGACGGCGTCGCCGCCCTCCACTTCATCAATTCCTGGGCTGATCTCACCCGGGGGACTCAGGCGGCAGTCCTCCCCTTCCTCGACCGCACTCTCCTCCGCGCCCGTCAGCCCCCTTTCCGTCATCTCCGACCACATCGAGTACAACCAGACCGCCGGGGGGAAAAGACCCACCGCCAACTCCGTGAAGCCGCCCTTCACATCCACCATTATTCAAACTCTCCAAAGACCAGATAGCCATCCTCAAACGCAGCGGGGGCGGCCCGAGCTGTCTCAGCACCTTCAGGGCAGCTGTGGCCCACGTATGGCGCTGCGCCTGCAAGGCGCAACGGCTGGCGGGCGGCCAGCAGACTCGGCTTTACATGACTGCCGACGCTCGCTCCCGCGTGAGGCCCCCGCTGTCGCAGGGCTACCTCGGCAACGCCATCTTCCGGTGCTCGGCCGTGGCTTCGGCGGGAGAGATTATCTCGGGGGCGCTGGCGACGGCCCGGTTGGACGATGAGTACGTGAGGTCCCTGATCGACTTCTTGGAGGTGAAGGAGGACGTAAGGGGGCTGGCCAAAGGGTCGTGGGTGATGCCGGCGACGGACGTGTGGGTCATCAGCTGGCAGGGCCTTCGGATCTACGACGCCGAGTTCGGGTGGGGGAGGCCGACTTTCATGGGGCGAGCTCGCCTGCAGTTCAGGGGCCTCGTCTACATCTCACCCAACCCCCTCGACGATGGGGGCCTCACCATCGCCATGGCTCTGGAGCCGGAGACCATGCCGCGATTCGAGGAGATCTTCTACGGCGACATCGTTCGCATGGAGTAGATCGAGAGGTCTACTGCAGGAGTCAGATGGGTCCTTTCTTTGTTCACTGTCTCCAGCTATCCATCCTCAGAAAAATTCAGAGCACACTAACCGCCGTCGTCCTCGGCGTCCATCCGCCGCCGGAGAGACGGGCGACGGATCATTCAACGCAAACGTGATTCACCACGACAATTTCAGGCGAACTCGCCAATAAATAACACCTACTAACCATGGCCGTCAAGCCAGGGCTTCTACGGGAGACCGGGACCGGTCGTCTCTTTGTATCGCTGTCCATCGCATTTGTTATATAACAGTTGGAGACTGTCAGTACCCAGAGTTTAAAGCAATAAACAATGCCGACGGACAGCAGGCCATGTAACTGAGCACCGTCGGCTACAAGAGTTAGGGAAGCCGAGCACTCAATCGATTTATTTGATGTCTCTCTCTCTCTCTCTCTCTCTCTCTCTCTCGCTCTCTCAATGTACAAATACAAAAGTGCTGTTTCCGGAATGGATGCTTCCCTTCTCTGTACCGAACCTAGAGATCCACGGGTCCACGTGAATCCTGAAAAGACAAATAGATAGATAGAGAGAGAGAGAGAGAGAGAGAGAGAGAGAGAGAGAGAGAGAGAGAGAGAGAGAGAGAGAGAGAGAGAGAGAGAGAGAGAGAGAGAGATGGAGATGGAGGGAACTTCAGCTGAGGACACAGCGCTGCGTTCACTTCATGGAAGAGTGGCCATCGTCACCGGAGGCGCCGGAGCCATCGGTGGCGCGGTGAGCCGTCACCTCGCTTCGCTGGGGGCCAAGGTGGTCGTCAACTACTTTGGTGACTCTTTCGATGCCGACCGCCTCGTGGCCGCCGTCAACGACGAGTTCTCATGCTGTCAACCCCCGCGGGCTATCGCGGTGCAGGCTAATGTAACTGACGAGACCCAGGTGAAGGCGCTCTTCGATGCGGCCGAGCTCGCCTTCGGTCCAGAAGGGATACACATCGTCGTGACCTGTGCTGGAGTCAACGACCCTTACAAGAGTCCGCTGGCGGAGTTGACCCCGGAACACTGGGATCAGATGTTCCTGGTGAACGCCAAGGGGACCTTCCTCTGCTGCCGGGAGGCAGCGAGGCGTCTCGTCCGTGGGGGCGGCGGCCGGATAATAACCATATCTTCGTCCACCGTTGACTCCCTCCGGCCTGGCTATGGGGCCTACGCAGCATCGAAGGCAGCTGTGGAGGTGTTGACCAAGATCTTGTCAAGGGAGCTCGCCGGGACGGGGATCACGGCCAACGCCGTCTCCCCCGGCCCCATCGTCACGCCCATGTTCTTCGAGAACAAGTCGGAAGAGGAGGTCAGAAAACGAGTGGCCGACTGCCCGCTGGGTCGGCTCGGATACCCGGAGGACGTTGCTCGTCTCGTAGGGTACTTGGTCAGCGTCGCCGGGGAGTTCGTGAATGGGCAATCCATCCGAATCAATGGCGGGTACATCTGAGTTGGAGATTATTCGCTGCTCTTTCGTCACCCGTAATATTAAATAAGAGATCATTACACTTTTTTGTCGGAAGGTTCATTCAATGGGCTTCCTGTGCTTACCATGAAAGAAAGGTACGGAAATTACAGGTTTGATGTGCCGTCATTCATGTTGTTTGGCAATATCATAAAGGTTTATGCGTTTTTTGTTTCTAACGTTATTATCCGATTATTCATAATGAATTCTGCTGGCCCCAGTTCTTCTGAGCTCGAGTTTAATAGCATTCTTATTATTGCCGCCATATGGCGAAGTTTTGCCTGTTAATGATGGGTGCCAAACAGATTTATATTTATTAAAGTCATTTGCCTGTCTTGCCTTTCTTCCTGCACGCTGCCATCCACTGCTAAACCATGGCACCATGGCGATGATATTTTGGTGTTATGAATGAATATTCTTTGTAGAAATTCACTTTTTCTTATTGCCCAATGCTTCTATGCAACAATGGTAGCATCTCTCACGAATCCCTGCTGAATTCTATCCATTGAGTAAATGTTCATAAAAAACTACGCTTGAACATAATAAGTGCATTTTTATGCTCGTGATGTTTTGTAATGTGTATATTGTAAATGACTCCACACTCATACTCTTCAAGCTAGAGGTTAGTTAAAAAGAGGTTTACTTCTTTATAATCAATTAGTTATGAAAGCTTATGCTTTTTTTTTTTTAACATGTTACTAGTTAAGTCTTTTTAATGTGCTAACCATGTGGTTACATATTGATGTGCATTGATCGTTGTAGGTTAAATGATGTGCTAACCAATTTCAACTCTTAAAAGATATCTATGTAAGATTATGTGAGTCTAAGTCGAATCCTCATGGATCATTTGATTTATTTTCATTGCAAATTTCATATTCTAAAAAGGTAATTAATTCATGAGATTATCAAATAAAGGTATCTAATACAAGTTATTTGTTTTCTTAATAAATAATATATATTTTAAATTAAATTAAATAAAAATAAAAGCTAGGGCTTTAAAAAGATGAATCTCTATTGTCTCTCACAAGTCGATGATGCCATGCCAATCCACCAAGGCTGTGAAGAGACTCCTTTGTGCTGTAGGAAGAGAGAATAAACAGAGGAGAGAGAAGAGATGAGCGATAGGAGAGAGAGGAGATGGGGAGAGCACTGCGATGGGAGAAGAGGGAGGAGAGAGAGACGACAAGACAAATAGAGTTTGACTGCTAAAAGATGACCCGAGAGAGAGAGAGAGAGAGAGAGAGAGAGAGAGAGAGAGAGAGAGAGAGAGAGAGAGAGAGAGAGAGAGAGAGAGAGAGATAGGAAGAGATTCAATAAATTAAAAAAATAAAAAATTGCAATTGAGAGAGAGTTCTCATTCGTAGAAGGGAGTTATGCTGCCAGGAGAAATCGGCAGTGAAAAAGGAGGAAAAAATCAATAAAAAACACAAAAGCCTAATAAAATTCGAAGATGAGGGAGAAAATAAGACGTGGAAAAATAAAAATGTTGAAAAAGACAGGGAAAAGGTCGGAGGAGAGAGAAATTCGCCAACATAAGAGTTTCCACCGCCAGGAGAGAAATTGCCAAAAGAGTCAGTGTCTCCGGCAAATGAAAAAAGAAACATAATGACAACTCGATTAAAGGCAATAAAAAAGGAGTAAGGAAGAGATTGGATGGAAAATTGAGGGAGAATATAATTCAAAAAATGATAAAATTTACAAAAAATTACTCACCTCAAAGAGAACTTTTCACTGCTGCGTGAAAAGTCACAATTTCAAGTGAATAAAAATGCAAAGGGAGAATAATACAGATAAAGAGAGAAAAACTTACCAAGAAAGGAGAAAACTCATAAGTGGCAGAGAATGCCTGTGCGAGAGAGAAAGAGAAAAGTTAAGAATGGAATGGGAGATTGGAGAACAATAAAACAACTACATGAAACTTTAGAATATTGGAAAACTAAGAAGAACAAAGAGGAAGTGGGAGAAACGGAAAAGAATTCTGGAAATTTAAGAAAAATGAAGAATTGATGCTTGTCATTCAAGAAGAGAGAAGGAAAGGGAGAGTGAAAAAGATACAAAAACTAAAAACTCATCGAATCTAACATATTGAGGAAAATGTGAGGAATGATTTCAGACTTGTAACATATGAAAAGTTTAAAAGAGAATAGAGGAATGCAAAGAGAAAGATAGAGTGCTTGGAAAAGAGAAGGGAGAAAAGAAAAGGTGTAAGAAGAGGGGGGAAGAAGATTATTCCATAGAGAAGAGGCACATGTGATCCTTATATAAAATATTGGTATATAGAGGTGGATGTGATGATTTAGGGCTAACTCATGAGTGGATAGAGACTAAATTTTCTGTCTTTTTAGCCAAAGTTTCTTTTTTATCTTGAATACATATAAAAAATAATTAAGCACTTAAAATTACAACTATAAAATTTTAAATTATATTGATATCAATTATAAAATTCATATTTTCATATTATTTATTCATTAAATAATGAAAAGAATGCACACTTTCATCTTATTTTACTTTAAAACATGAAATAATCATATATCAAACTTACTTCTAAAGAAGCAGCTTGTCAATTTTAAACACAAATTGAACAAACTAAAAAGGCTCAAGTAAAGTTGAAAATACATGAACAAACTTAGAAGGCTAGCATGAACCACAATAATTACACTTCAAAACTTGTGAACATTAGATAGAGAGATTCTATGACCCATAAAATAAGTATAAGGAAGAGTAGCAATGAGCTTCCACAATGGTCCTCTTGGAGTATTTTTTAGTATCTACCTTAATAAAAGTCTTGCTTTATTTATAGTAAGGAGCATCTTGTCTACATTGATGATATAAAGGAGATAGTTAAACTTGTTATTATGTAATGATTTATATTTTTATATATATTATCTCAGTGAGTATTTTAATTAAATTTTTATTCTTTAGAATCTAGGGTCTTGATATTGGAGTTTTGGTTGGTGTAACTAATTTTGCATTTCAGTGATTTTTTTTTCACAATTGATGTTGACAAGTTTTTGACATTATGAATTATCATTTTTTTATGGTTTATTTGAGTTTTATCAAATGGGATGCCCCTATCAAATCTTGGTTATTAATTATAAGTCTGGTCAATAATGTTGATTATCTGGTTCTCCTAAGTAGTGCACATGTTCCACTAAATGATAGAAATATCTCTAAACTGAAATATATATCATGCATTACATTTCAGTCACTAAACTTTGAATTTCCCAGGTTTTATTTTTCAACATCTTTCCAAGTATGGGTAGACCTTATAGCCACAAGAGTAACTTTTGTAGGGCACAAACCTCAAACTACCATCAACTTGTAGGTGTCATTATTTTGAGACAAATGATGATAGAACTATCACTATCTTGAAATTAAACTATCACCAATAGGCATGTGACCACTTATTGAGAAGTCAAGTATGTAATTAAAATATTTATTATGGATTTTACAAGATTACTAAATTTATAATCTCATATAGTGGAAAAATGGTCTAAATTTATAATTTAATGTATTTTTATCTGACAGAATCTATTTCGAATATAGGTTGTTACCAATCAATGGAAACCACATGTCAAATTTTGGAGTACATGAATAATTATGATTTTTATCATAATCACATCTACAGTTTTCTATGTTTTTCAAGACCCAAGTGCAGGCTCTTAACATATGTTTAATTAGTCCTTGAGTTGAGACAACAAAAATGGGGACCCCACCATAATTAGGGCACCCTCTGATAATGTTTTATTTTTCATATTCACAATAAGGTAGCAATAATATAAATGTCTCATTATTCTCATGAAAATAAAATAGATTTGGTGAAAATGTGATTTATAAACTTTTATTATTATTGACAATTTTTCATAATTTTTCTAAGTCAAATTAGGAACAAACATGTTGTCATACATTGAACATATTTGTCAATCTTTGAAGGAAACATAATTCGGGCATTAAAATGAAAACCTGAAAACATAAAATAAAAGTATTAATTCTATTTTGTTTCTTATCCCAACCCATTTTATGTGAGTTTTATTACATTTTTCAAGGCTGAAAAGTTTTGAGAAGAATTATATGAATATCATGATCAAGAAAACAACCCATTTTCGTTAGCTCCTCCTAACTCTATGAGAAGAACTACTCAAGCACAAAAAGAGGCTTCATTCATGTCGCAAAAAACCCATTTGAAGATCTTTATCCATGTCGACAAAAAGTCTATTAAGAGAGAGTTTCTAGAGGAATCAAAAGAGCATAAGGATCCACTAAAATAGGATGTGATTATGGAGTGGGTAGTTGGAATGCTAATGTCATCAAGACACAGCCCTTGACAGCAACAGAAGGGAAGAAATGATGGGGAGAAAGGTGGCTGGTTGGTGGATGGACCTAAGGCAAGAAAGAAAGCAAGGGAGGAGGAGCAAGGAGGATCTCAAAACTAGCTAACTACATTCAATCGAGCTTTTTTTAATTTTAATTTTATTATTATGTTATTTCATTTATTTTCTGTTCTTTAGGTGACAAACCTTGATAAGAAAGAATCATTTCTTTAATTTATTTAATCAATTTTTTTTGTTCTTCTCATTTTCTTGGGTGACAAACAAGGAAAGGAGATAGTTTGAACTTTCGTTCCAAGTTTTCATCATTACGAATTTAGTTAAATTATAATTGTAATTACTTGCACTCTATTTTCTTGTCCTTGGGTGATAGACAAGGGAGTGAAAAAAAATTATATTAAAAAAATTAAGATTTAATTAAGATTTAATATTTTTGTCAAAAACTTTCTCAAGACTTTTCTACATGACAAACAACTGAGTTCGATTTTAATTTTAGAATTTATTTTAGTTTATTCTTGATTTACAATCAATAAATTTTTGCAGTTCATTTATTTTTATTTTATATATTCACTTTTAAATATTTCAAGACATTCTTCGCATCAATATAACTTATTCTATTGATAATTGTATTTCTCATCTTTTTGTGTCACAATTTCTAAACTATTTTCTCTATTCATGATTTAATCATCTCACCATTAAAACCCTCTTTCTTCTTATCTAAAGATTTTAAGAGAAATAAATATACAAAATTAATTGGTAAAAGAGGCTAGTAAGTAATGAAGAGAAGGTTTCATCACTTATCTCTTCCTATTTAATTTTTATTCTTTTATTTTAAATCATCTTCCTTGCTAGAAACTAGAAATCTAATAAAATTATTTTCACCATCCTTGAGGTTTGGCCTAAACTTACACTAATACTAAAAAAACTTTAAATGGTTAAATAATAATTATCTTAAATTTTCATGCATTTAAACACGATGAATAATCCATGATCACCCAAAAAAAAAAATTTACACAAGAACTAAAAGGGCACACATAAAGGAGAACTGAAAGTGATGAAAATTTTCACCCTTCTTGTCATCTTTTGATTCAACTCAACCAAGCATAATCTACCTTAAGTGATAGGTTACTAAGAATCTTCTTCATTCAAACATTGATGAATCAGCAAGGAGGAATCATTATTGATAACTCAAGTAGATCTGTAACTTGTTTTTTCTTGTTTGGTTTCTTAAAATATTATTCATATATTTACTTATTTTTTGAGCATGTTTTAATAGTATTTGCTAAGATAACAATACCAAATTTACAGTGAATGTTTCTATAAAAGAACTAGTTGAAAACCTCAGTACGTTGTAGCTTTACTACCTTGTCAAAAAACTTACAATTTTTAGATGTTGATCAAGCATTATAGTAGTGAAATTATGATTCTTATGATTCTTTTTATTTGTGTTTATGAATGATTATCATTTCTTGATATCACAACTGCTTGATATTTCTTTCCTCCATCCTAATATGTATATGAGGAATATGATTCGTAACCTTGATGGAAAGTTTGTTATTATTGATTTTGGTAATCCTGATCTTCTAATCTGTAAGCTTGAAATATTTTGATGTGTTGTTATCTTTTGACATGTTGAGATATTTTGATGTGTCATAATCTTTTGATGTGCAAGGCCAAGTTCTTTTGATTTTACCTAATCTTTTAATATATCAAGTTTCTCGAGGTAGATACACCTGCCATATGAGGTCTACTATGATGTTAACAATTTATAACATGTAATGTATGACTATTGATATTTTGCTGTGTCATCTCAAGTAGTTAACTTTGTCACTTGTTATTATATGATGTCATGTGCCATCTTGATTTACACTCATCTCACTTTGATCTTGTCTCATATAATTTTAGTGTGCCACTTAATTTTCTCTTGTTTTTGTATGTCACTTGCCTAGTTATTTGTTTGCAACATGTAATGTCAACTTTGGCTTTGACATTACCACATGTCACTAGCCATTGCCATGTCTTATATCGATTTTGACTCTTCTCATGTTAATTTTGTGTCAAATCATTGTCATGTGCCACTTTGAAATCAAGTGTCTAGATGCAACATCTTAGTCAACAATTTACCCTTCTCTCTTTGTAGTAAAAAATTTCCTTCTCTTATTCTGGTCTAAAATGACTTGCTTTCATATAGTTTGGCTTGGCATTTTGCATATATGGCTTTTGATGCCTAATTTCTTCATTAAAGGTCTTAACATCATATTTAAGGAGAAAATATTAAATATAAATATTTATATCTTGATTTTGATATTATTATATTTCAGCATACTTTATGACAAATTTTCATCCTAAATTTGTGTGACCCATGTGATAATGTCAAAACCATTTAAGCTAACATTTATCCCCTCCTCAAGTAGTATTAGCAATAGAAATATGTTTGGGTGAATAATTGACATCATACTAATTTATTAAAATTATTATACTCATTTCATCTTTGAATTTTTATCTATTGATATATCCTCAAAATAATTTCAGTAACGCCAATAACTAATAGAAACCAGTTGATGATGACTTTATTCATAAATGCTCTACTTCAAAAATCCCTCTCTTCTTGTTGTTAGTACAATCATTAATCCAACGGGAAGTACATCAACACATTTCCTTGAAGATCCTACATTATTGAGCCATGGCCTTAATATCTCAACTATGACAACTCATTGATAGAATTTTTTAGAAGTGCTGAGGATGGCCACCAATGAAACTCAAAAGATGAATCAAAGGTCTAATTAAAAGATCAATTTCATAAAAATGTAGGAATGAATCACCTTGATATCTCATGAAAATAGGGAGTTGGAGGCCAGATTAATGCCAAATGTATCCCATAGTATGCATAATTATTGCCAAGGTTTTCAGTCTAAACTCTAACAAAGAAAACCTCATAATTTGAAAATCCTCAAACAATGTAAAGAATGATCCACGAAATCCTACAAAAACTTGTCAAGCTACCCAGCGACAAGGCATCCCTTATGCTGTAGAAATCAAGTAACTTACAATCCATTGTCTACCAAAAAGTACTCTTAAAAAATTTATTTCTAATGCACATGTTGATGAGCCTCACCATGAAAGTTATTCTACATGTATATCCAATTTTCAAGAAATCTAAATATTTTCAAGATATTTGTAGAATGGGAAAAAATTCTTGATGTAATTGTGTGATGTAAATGCTTGAAAGATAAGCCTGGCGCTGCTATTGACATAACAACCGGTACACCATAGGTTGGCCCAACCTGCTTGTTTCGCACTGGCTGTTGGTTGCTGAGCTCCCTGGAGGTAATAGCAAGAAAGTGAAGAATGAACAATCCTCCAAGATGGAATCTGACTCAAGCGAGTGAGTGAAAGGTGTGGCAAGAAAGATTGATCTTTGCTTAAATATCAGAATTAACTTATCATGGGCCCTTTCAATCAAATTTAAGAACCCCTTCTCCATCATATCCATAACTAGGATCCCCTAATGAATCCCATATATCCAAACCTCATGGCATTATCTACATGTCAAGGGACCATCTCAGTTGGAAATTTCAATTTCCCACCTCCACACGACTGTGGCTGTCAATTCTCTCCATCATGGTTTTCTTTTTTCTTACATCATAGAAACATAAATAGGATCTAAAATATTCAACCATACCCATGAAGTTGAAAATAATACCAAAAAATATTCTTAATGTGCTTATTAATTTTTTGATCATCCTCTTTTTTTTTGGAAGTCACATATTCTTTTGTAATTGTAGGCAGTCAACGAACATTTTAAGAATGGAAATATCAAGAAATTAGCTCCCAAGACCAGGAAATTGCATTTTTCTTTCGAGATGTTCATGGTAGATGATGAGGTTATTATCTGCATATTTATGTTGCGGTTATTTTGCAATTTGATTTACTTAGGTGAGTTATATGCCATCAATTATCAAATAAGTGTTTAATAATCCATGGTAGCCAAAGTTTTGAGCCTGCTATAAGGTCTTGATCCAACATTTATTTTTGACAAAACATAAGAGTAGACATCATGTACTAGTTTGATAACCAATTAGAACTAAAATAGATTTTCTCCAAGTACATGAACTCAGATGACTGAACAAGTCACATGAGGCCTGGTTACAAATAAACACTATTGAAGTCACTTTAACTTATTCCACAAAAATAGTCAAGTAGCTAAACCCAACCCACTTATTCCCATTGTTATCAAGATGAAATTTAAATTAACCCCATGATAACTTACTTAATCACATGGAGGACATGTCATTAATTTAAAAGTTTATAACTTTGGTTCTGAAACCAAGATGAGGTTAACTTTTATAATTTTATCCAATTATGGAAACTGACAATAGTCTTTGTACACATGGTCAAGATCCAATGAAAAAAGTCACTTATGAAATTTTTTGACCTTCATTTATAATTGAATTAGACTACTAATAATTTACTGGATGGGTATCTAAGCACCGAAATTCTCTATTCATTTACCAAAAAAAGGTAAAATTAAAATGGGTAGCCATTTCATTTTAGTTGAGTCAAAGTACCACACCTCAAGCCACAATACATGAGACTTTTTTTTTTTTAGGTTAACCGTATTATTTTTTTAATTTTTTTGTGGTGTATTTTTATATATTTTTAGTAATATTCGAATATAAATATGACGGACCATTCAATTAAATAAAAATTTAAAATAAATAAATAAAAATAAACGGACGATAGACGTCGCTGGACCATACTATCATAAGTTTCTCCGGAGTTGTATTTTACAGACCCAGCAACGCGTCACCTTTTACAGGCGTTGCCGTTGGCGACTTATCTTCTTCCCTCCGCTTAAGAAGATATTTTGCACGGAGAATTCTCCTTGCGCTCAGGGGAGGAACAGGAGGGAGAGAAACGAGGAGACATGGCTTATGGAGCTCTCTTTGCGTGCCGAACACCCTGCCCTGCTCCTCCTACCCGCAGTGGTAGCCACGGTAGCAGCCATAGCTCACTCCTTGAGTGTGACCGCAGCAAACTCCGCGGGCAGCAGACGTCGACGAGAGGCTTGAGGAAAGTTTCGGGTTTCAGCGTCAGAGCCTCGGGAAGTAAGGAGGAGGTTCTCAGAGAATTTAACAACAGGAGGGCTCTCAAGGTGGGCTTATCCGACTTTCCGCTTGTTTTTTTCATTGCGTTTCATGAGTTTCGTTCGCCATTTACATGTCCACGGCCATTTTTACGTGTTGTTTCTGCTGTTCCTAATGGCGTGCTAAACATTAAAAATGGTCATTCTAGAGGAAGAAAAGGGTAAGATATTGATATATAGAACTCGGTTTCTCTATGAGCATGCGTCTGAGAGTAACCATGCACGCTACTGCGTTTGAAGCCTACTGACCCCCCATTTGGGTGCATTTGGATACCATTTATCGCCATCGTGGTCTTCCAATGCTCAATCTTCTTCTTTTGTATCGCTAAAGGATAACCAGTTGATGGTGCTCGGTCTGAAGTTAACAATATCGCTAAGTTCAGGATATTATTTTAAATGTTCATACATAGTGGTTGGCGAATAAATGCTGCAAGATGATAACTTGCGTCTGTCAGAACATCACTGTTTATGCGTCTTAGTGGCAGTTTGTAGGCTGAAGAGGGTTTCGTCATGAGCCATAATTATGGAGCCCAAACTTTGAATGATCAAATGGGTGAGGAGTTCTCACGCAGTATGGAGCCTGCAAAAAACTCAAATTCCATTAATTGGATCAGTTCATCAGTTTTTTCTGTCACTTTGGGTCAATCCAATTGTCATGTATTGACACCCTATTTTTTTTGGTTTAATTAGTGTAATGTCCATGTCAGTAGCAATAATTCTTGGAAGTTCGCGCTGCATCCTTCTCTGCTCTTCATACAAATAGTGAAGCACAGTTACATCTTTATTATTGTTAAATTGAGATCACATTCGTATCTTTCTTCCTTCACATCGAAAATAATTCAGGGTTCATTCTTACCATCGAGAACTCATGATGTTGGCTTGTAGATTTTTCTAGCACATGAAATTTGGATTTTGGTGTCCATGGATGTATCGTGTTTTGTTTGTTTTGTAAACATGGCCATGCTACTTTCCTAGTTTGATCTGAAAATTCAATGGTATCTTGTATATGAGTACCAGACTCCTGTATATCAATGCGTTATTTTTTTCTGATAGAATATAATCAGTTGTTTGTCTTGGATTTCGTCTATGTTATAATATAATTTTCCCTGATTACTGGCGATATCATGTTCTTCTACTGATATTGGTGGCCCATTTCATTGACAGATAATATCTGGACTGCTGAACTTTGACAGAGACAATGTTGCTTCTGTGGTTACTGCTGCTGACAAGGTTGTCTTTTTTTCCCTGCAAGTAAAACTGGTCATAATTTTTATCTTGAGATACCATCTTTATGTTACGATCGTCTATGTCTGATGTTAAGAGTCGTCTGCACTGTAAACTTCAACTGTGAAAAACCGAGTTTATCTGAGAATGATGTTGACTCCGTTGAATTTTCATATCGGTCATATGAAAAATCGGCTTTATTTTTCTGATTCATGATTTTATATTGGTTTTAAAATGAATATTTCACTGTGGAGTATATTTTTTTCCATGGCTTTGCTTCATATAACTGCCTTTCCGGATCACACCTATTATTAATGAATAATGCAGGGTGGAGCCACACATGTTGACATAGCATGCGAGCCAGAGCTAGTAAAGCTTGCTGTCAGCCTGACTTCTCTTCCGGTATGCACCTTAGCTTGCGTACTTTTGCATGGAAAGAAATAAAACAATAGAGTTCTTTCATCATTTTCTCGTTGCTTCATTTAGCTCATACAATTTGCGTCTTGACTGCATGATATGATGCATCATGATTTCGACCATCATGCCAACCAATGCATCATGATATGCATTTGCATGAAGAATTTTTACTTTGCAACCATCTCGCATCTGTCTCTGTGTGTGGCAGTCTAATATGGGCATTGAGTATGTCTGTCTACTTGTGAGGAATTCCCAATGCAACTCCAAGCATACAGGAGTTATATTTCGTTTTTCTGTAGTTGGTTGGCCCTACAGGTTTCTAATGATTGGCCATTCAATGATCCGTGTTTCCCAGGTTTCCAATGACAAATCAAGGGGTTTTTCATGTTAGTTGAGAGATTTGAGTTAAAACAATGGACGAGTTAGGAACATGCCCCATAACTGCATCATTTTCCACTAGTCTCTGCATATGAATTGGTTGCCATACATTATTATTTCACTTTGCTTTACATTATCAATATTTATCATGTTCTGAAGAGTTTCTGGCTTTCCAGCCCGTTTCATGGCAGAATCAATGAGTCAGGTCTGCTATGATGAGCATTCTTTTTAGTCACTGTGGGTGGGGTCTCCCATTTACAGAGAAAATGCTGAATAGGCTGACAAAAGCGTTGACCGACGTTGCTGGTAAATAAGGCTTTAAAAAGAAAAAGTATGGACTCCCAGTTGACGCAGCTGGCGCTTCCAGGAGACCCATAAGAATACTAAAATTGATTCATATGCATTGTCCCAGTTGAGACGGGCATGAGCTCCATTTCATCTGCTCAGAGAATGCCTATGTTTACTGAAGGCGCCTTTGATGTGTCACATAATGTCATTACATGGCGGCGGGCATGAGCATGTATTTTGTGATTCATCTAAGCAGAAGGATACCTCCGATGACCTCATATCGCTTTTTGAGATGCTCATTTTTTCTCTGACAAAATATAATTGCCTATTTTGCCTTTGATTGATTGAGTTCTTTAGAGAGAGGTGTTACTGTTGATGTTCCCTGGCAGGACTTCCATTGGGTTTTTTTTTGGTTATTCTCTCATATTTAGTATTTTTTTTCTTTTTTATTTGGATTTTTGAGCGCCCATATCACTATTTTAATTCTCATTTATAGATTATGAGCTCATTTCTCCCTTGTTTTGCCCTCCTCGAGGTATGTGTTTCCTCAGTAGATCCGGCTGCCTTCATCCCTGCTGTTGAAGCGGGTGCTCAAATGGTAAGGGTCACCAGCTCACGAACCAATCAGTGTTTGCTTGCTTCCTTTCTGCGCCTCTTAGCATTATGCACTGATCCTTTCATCGGTCTTTGATCATGGTGCAGATAGAGATCGGAAACTATGACTCCTTCTATGAGATGGGAAAGCAGTTCTCTCCCGAGGAGGTAGCTATACAAATATATTGCTGCATGCATCTCCATTCTTTAATCGAATAAATGCAAAGTTTAGCTGTTTTCATCTTAGTAGACTTTTATAGGTTGATTGATGGCCTGTTATAATCCTGAGACCCTTATAGTGATCCTTCCCACACAAATAAAGCATGCTCTGTCCTTTGACTTCCTCAGAGAGGAGAAGAATCACGGCGTTGACCTTTCCTGATAGCTGGTCTACTCACCCAGGTTCTTGTCTCGGGGAAGATGACCACTTGCTCAATTTTCTTCATATTAAAGCATGGTCATGGCTTGAGTTGATGGGCTCTCTCACCACAGCAAGCCATTTCCGAAAGTAAAACGATTCAGGGCTATATCTGATGATGCGACTACTGGTCTTGGAGGATAGCTGATGGCCATATCTTCCTGGAAGTTGATCCATATTCTCTCTGCCAGCCATCTTCCTGCCTTCTTGGTTCAGCGTGTTCTACCCAACCATGTATCAGGCACATAAACGTTTTAGACCTCATAAGAGGTGTGATAGATTAAAGGAAAAAAAAAAGGAAGAAGCAAAATCTGTGTTAAATGTCGGTCAGTTTGACCCCACTGAGGACTAAATTGCTGATGTTCATGCTGCGTTGACTTCATTTGGAGAGTACCCATAAGCAGTAGAAACCGTTCTTATCGATTTTAGCTTACATTATCTTGTGACCCTTTCCAGATACTCGAGCTTACAAAGCACACGAGGAGGATTCTTCCCAACGTTACACTTTCTGTGACCGTGCCTCATATTCTGAGTCTTCCAGACCAGGTATATGTCAACGGGTTTACTTTGTCGAGATGAAATCATAGCTTTCTTTATTTATTTGTCTTTTTTGACCGAGCTGCGAAGAACAATACCATGGCTGACATGTGTATGATAATAGGTAAGGTTGGCAGAGTTGCTGGAACAAGAAGGAGCCGACATTATCCAAACTGAAGGAGGAAAATCTTCGAATCCCTCAAAACCCGGTGTTCTTGGTTTGATTGAGAAGGTATTTTGCTTGAATGTGTTTCAGTTTGACCAAGCCCTCATCTCTAACAAGTAGTTTTAATTTTTAAAAACAATAAAATAAAATATTCAAATATGCAACTTAGGTTAATATGCAAAATTCTGTTATGAAATCCTGCCCACTGGGCTAGAATATTTCAATTTTATATTTTCTTAAATTATAATCGATCATCTTGCATCAACACAGGCAACTCCAACACTTGCTGCTGCATATTCAATATCCCGTGCTGTCAGCATCCCTGTCATGTGTTCATCTGGGCTCAGCACTGTTACTGCACCCATGGCCTTGACTGCAGGAGCAGCTGGAGTGGTATGCTCCGCCATTTTTATTTTTTTTATCATTGAATTTTTATTTTTCTACTCTGGAAAGAAAAAAAAAAGTCTTCCATCACCTGCTTGCTCATTGCAAAAATCAAGTCTCAGGGGTCATTCTGTTTAATACCCGAATATTTTTTTCTTCTGGAAGTGTCATATAAATAAATAAAAATGGAACATGGTAGGCTGGAGAAAAACTGGCAGTGATTTTTCTTTTTTTTTTCTTTTTTTTGGGTAACTCCCTTTTCTACATTTTCCCTGAATTGGAGTGGATCAACTTGGATGAGCAGGGAGTTGGATCGGCAGTGAACAAGCTCAATGACGTGATTGCAATGATTGCAGAGGTCAAAAGCCTTTCAGATTCATTGAGAATCTCAGCTACTCGCACAGAAGATGCTACTAAGGTTGCCCACTCATAAGAGTCTGAAGTCCCATCTCTCACCTTAGATGGCAGATTCTCCATGCTATGTTCATGAGCAGTATGTTCCTATATTTGGCTTCTCTTCTCCTCCGCTGCTGAGCCAATCCAGTTAGGATGGAAGAATCAGTGTTTTTTTTAGTTTTTTGTTGGTTTCTAAAAATAGCTACGAAAGCATTCCCCGGGTAACTTCTCAGGCTTTTTTCTTATTGAGCTGAATGTGTGTGATATTTTTTCTATGAATGTCTGAACACTTTCTATGCGTTCACATACAAAGATTATAAACATTTTTACTATATTAAGCTACTGTGAAACCCCTGACAAAGAGTAGCAGGCCAACGATTTTCCAACAATTTTAAACGCATTAAATAACTTTCTATCATACCTATAAAATTAATTAAGCACTAAATTATGAGTTTTAAGTCTTTCTCTTTGGGATTTTATCTATAACCTATGTCCCAAGATAACATAACGCCTGATTTTAAGTTCATGTGGTTTACAGAAGAATGATGATATGTTCTATGTTTTTAACTTAATTGTGCATTTATGGTGCGTTTACTTGATCCAAATATGATTCATTCGGGACAATGGGCATGAATATGCAAGGGTTCATGAATCCAACGGGGTATTAATCAAACAGTAAGGTTGCTACTCGATGCCTCTTCTTCTGACTCACCTAGAACTCTTGTCTATTCAGCGCATGCCTCTTTTGACAACTTGGCCATGCTCAGTTCAATCTAAATTATTAAAAGTTGCTACAGGATGTGATATTATGGACGACAAAGAAGATTGGATCGGGCGGATCTGGATGAGACATGCGTGATTTGATCAGGAACTGAAATGAATTGGTCAAGGGATTTAGCTCACACAACTTTCTGAGATAAAAAATGGAAATAAAAAAGAAAAATCCAACTTTTAGTGGGTAGTTCTAATATAAAATCATAACGATAGAATCACTGTTATGCATAAAACTTCCAAGTAGAGCAATGGAAGAAGTCATATAAGATATTCACAGTGTGTATTACAATGGCAAGTCAACGATATCCAAATTAGTCAGGAGGGGAAATGTGTGGCACATCCTCCTTAATTCTTTCTTCCCATATAATTTATGACTGAGGAATGCCAAGATAGATCTATTAATGGACATGAGCGGCGAGCTCACACCTACACATCCAAGAAAACACAAAGTACATCAAGGGCTAGCCGAAATTGTCAAAAGCATTAGCTTCACCAAGATATATTACTCACACGGTAGGCAATAATAATATATTTCGAGAAATTATTTAAGATATCAGGGTTTAATATAAATATTTCAATAGGTAATTGGACATGGATCTATATTCACCAATGGAAATTGTCCATTTCCCAAAATGAGGAAGTGACCATTCACCACACGCATAGCCCCTCTGGCCAGAGTTGAGTTTTCATTAATCAAAATAATAATTAGCCTATCATCTAGGTCTTAAAAGAATAAGACTTCCAGTATGCAACTTAGGGTGGTCCAGCTCCTTTCTAGAGGTTCCAGTGTCCCTCAGTCGAAGTCCAGATACATAAGACTACATTTGTGAGTAGCATGGCAGTTTATTTAGCTAGGGAATGTGAAGAAAGTAAGTTTGGTAAAATCACTCAGTACAACAATTTTCTATATATTTTTATTTAATATGACCTATTTTGGCATGCATTTTGATTGCTTTCCTCATTCATTGAACTTCTTTGAGTATGATCGAAAACAAAAGCAACATATGACGCACATTACCTTTAATCAGTGAAAGTACACGATCATCATACTCAGCAAGCAGATATATAATCATATAATTAACAACTTTAATGATGATACCTGCATGTGCAAAAGTTTTTGCATAATTTTGAGATAACTCTACCAGCAGCCATCCGAATCTCATCCCAAACTTCATCAGGGTTTAAAGCCAGACAAGGTAAATACTGCAATACGTAGTCTGCATAGAACAACAAAAGAAATTTATGTTATTAAAATGGCAATGAAATGAGCAACCGTCAACAAAGGAAAAGGGCATTTCAAATGGCAACTCTGGTGACATAGCAGCAAAGAATCAACTCAAATAGGGAAGTCGACTAATTACAGCCCTAGAGGTCAAAATTAGAAAATATGCAAAACTATTAGGTATTAGCTCATCCCCGGCGAGGTCAGTGATTCGTTGAAGCACCTGCCAACACTTTGAGTGGTACTCCTCGAGACTACTGCAGTGAGCAAGGAATCACTGACCTCTCTGCTAGAAAGGAAGTATTTTCGCAAGGATAACTCCATTGACTTGCACTATGAGAAATCATGGCCAAAGGGAGTGCAAATATTACCTTGACTGCAAGCATCAGCAGTAAGGAAAATGATTCCCCTCCCATTTACCAAACGCATCAATGCTCCATTCAGTTGGGACTGTTACATTTAAACCAACAGTATAGGATGATGGAATCAAGAAAAGTAGTTTCTAAGCTGGAAAACAGTGAGCAGTTTCAATGTTTCAGTTTTAACGAACAGCCTGGCACAAAGAAACTATGGAGTTGCAAAATTTCATTAAATAATAAAAAAATGTAAGTCTTTTAATAATTACAAGAGGTAACGACTCTCAGGGATGACACTTGAAGGGGGTTCTGTCACACAAAGTCTCAATCGAGTAGATTACATCCGATCTCATTGTTTTCAACGAAAAATTATTGAGCGCATGGTCTACAGGATTACAGGTCTATTGGCTCATAGAGAGACTAATAATTTTCAAAAGAGTGATTTGTTGAAATCCCTGCCAACATTTACAGTGGTACGCCTTGAAACCTGAAAGCAAGTACTTTTTCCAGAGGACACCGAGTGTCTACTTGGTGATTAGGAGAAATAGAAAGCGTCAAGAGAAACTGGTTACAGCGAGGGTATCCACATTGTTTTGTAAAGGATATACAACATCCTTTAAAAGCACAGCAGCCAGTGGATACCTAGGATCCTTGAATTAAAAGGAACAGTCCTTTCATGATAGAATAATCTCCTTCCTCTTTTTGAACTGCAAAACGCATGGCCTTGGACAACATAGTTTTATGCAACATTGAATATACCTATTTGTTTCATGAGAGATCATTGACATTTTACTCACCAGTGGCAGGTTGGCATCATTTCCTATTGGTATACCTTAAGGGCATTAAAACAAGCACTCATTTCTTCAAAAGAACGAACACTTAAAAAAAATTCTCATATATATTGACGGCATGAGCAGCCAATCATTTCAATTAGTGACGTATGTGATTAAGGGAGTCTTTCCTTAGCTTTACCAAGCTGAAGTAGATCTTTGATGTGGAGAAACGATTCCTTGGACGTTTTAAAGCCGGAGGTCCTAGATTTTTTTATCCTATGATAGCTGAGACAGTTTTGATTTGATTAGAAAAAAAATACAAAAAAATCCAATTAGAACAATTATAGTTATACCATATTAATATTATATATTATTATAATATAATTTTATTAGCCCTATAGCGGATCCATTCTAAGAAAAAAGATAAGGATAAAACTATTTAATCTATTTAAGCAGCCTATGAGCCCACTATTCCAGAACTCTAGTAGAGTGGCATCGTTATATATATTTTTTCATGTGTCCTTCACATAACATCCAAGTTCAAATGGGAAAGCCTAAAACGCAGCAGTTATCTGGACCTTGTCATAATAAAGGGAACGGGTATTGAGCCAAAAACCTGAAGAAACTGTCTTTGCAGTTCACTGGGTTTTTACCTTGCAACTACACAGCCCACTCCTTATTGAATGCTTGCCTAATTAGATATAGATAATTAACAAACAAATGCAGCGAATATTTACCTCTTTTACTCCCCGTAATGGTGATCCTTTCAGTCCAAACGCAAAAACCGGCATCTTTTCAAGGCAAGGCTCCTACACAAATTATAAAAAATGCATTATACGTGATTTCAATAGTCCTCCACTGTCCTATTGGAAAACCTCAATTATTGCACTAATACTGCTATTGAATCATACTTTCCTAATTTACGTTCCTGTCGGTAAAGGTTGCGCACAAAACAAAGCATGTCATGGAAATATATTTAATGGCAACAAGTGAGCTCAGCAAACTAATGAGATTGACTTAGACAAAATATGAACGAGTGTGCTTCTTTAACTGCTACTCTGACACTTCCAAGAAGACATCAAAAATGTTTCTCTTACTTAAAGGGCCACCAAATTAAGTATAGTTATAAAGATTGTGATGATGTATTGCACATGGAGGTGCTTATATTTGAACTTGTCACAGTCTTCTTGAACATCCTTAGATAACATTTGTTAGAGACGAAACTGAGTTGATATACTACGTATAAATTCACAGATTATGAATTCCATTAGTATTAAGTAAAACTAGGTTCCACCTAAAGTTCACATTGATACCGTTTCTGCAGGAACTCATGAACATTATACTAAAATGGGTGAAAACGACCAAGAAAATGGAGATTATCCTTCAAAAACAGATTTTCTAATGGATCCAAGCCTGCTTCAAACACTTCAACTTATGAATAATAGAGCTCTATGATTTGGGACATCGAAGAGATTTTTCTCGACTGTTAATCCTAGTATGCTTTGCACCATTTTCTAACATGTATAGTCTCAAAGAATAACCGGGTCATTTCCTCATCTAAGAAACCAGATTTCGGACATTCCTTGCTATTCGGAAATAAAGCGATTCAAGTCTTCTATTGTACCAAAGGAAGTACAACCAGTGAGAAGCACTAAAATTGATTTTAGTAAGAAACAGAAAATTATCTAAAGGAGATAAAAGCATGTCCTTTAGAAAGGAAATATTTGAACACAGAGATACCTTAAATCTTCTGTCAGCAGAAAGTTTAGTGGCCAAAGTTTCCACAAATTCTTCACAACTGATGTTCATTGACATATGCTTTGGAGGATCAGGTGACTTAGCCAGTGTTTCAAGGATAGCATCAAGTTCAGATTTGTCGACTCCAATCATCACTAGGCGAGATTTTGGTGCAGATTCCCAGTGTCCACTGCTAATAGCTTCTACTCTTTTAACACCACTCCACTGGAAAATATACTGCCGTTCTCTATAAGAGGGAAAAAAATATATCATTGTCCCTTTGTCAATCTACTCTCAAACGTAAAATTTTGCATACAATATTTTCAGTGAACTACTGGATCTAAGATCAACATGAGTAAGGATTGTACGGGGGGAAACACAGAAGATGAGATTGTTGTTTCATAAAAGCAATCCAAGAGTTTCCTCTTGACAAAAATGAACTGCTGAACCATTTCTTATGAAAATAAATAAAATCAGTTATGCAAATTCGGAATAATAAAAAAAAAAAATCTACCTATCCTCAGCAAACCATAGAACTCCTTTAGCCCTTAGAAGGCCACTTGACTTATTCATCATCAGCAGAGATGATGATTGAAAAAGTGATAATGACATAGGAATCTCATTTTTAAAAGTAACAGACGAGAAGGGACCCCCATGAGACAAACCTGAGACAAAAAGTAAAAATCATGATGAAGAATACTCTCAATAGACAGTAGAATACCAGTATTCAAAAAGGCAGCTAATGAAATGAAATGCCAATGATGAGATATCTAACATTGAAGGTTCTCAATAAATGGCATTGCTCATCTAATATTACTGGTTCGGAATAAATGGCAATGATGAGGCATCCAAATGACCCTTATTTAGACTCAAGTCTTCTGGCCAGGCATTAACCATCCCCAGAGGACATTGAAGATGAACCAGGCTTTCAGAGAAAATCCACGATATCCAAAGTGTAGGCTCTGATTCCATCCATTGGATCATGGTTCAAGTTTTCTGTCCATGCAATAAATACAAGGTAACCATGTTTTTCATGTCCAGGTGACCTATATACCTCCAGAGATTGTCGTCCACAAAACTGTCCAAAAAGCAAATAACCTATTTAAAATCTTAATATATATATATATATGTATTATTGTGATAGAACAGCTATCCAATGTCACTGCAATTGTCTACGTCCTACCATTATGTTCTGAAATTTTCTAGTCAGGTAGTAAATTAGAGAAAAGACATTCCACGCAGGAAGAATAAGTAGCAGAAGCCTATTAACGTGAACTAGCAAACCAACCATAATATATACCATAAAATTTATTTAATGGGCCATGTTTTATCAGAATTCCATGATTACTTCAACAAAACTGATTTTATGATATTCCAGTAAAGTTGGATTAAGCTCGTGTCAAAACCATCTAAACTTGGAGAACTATTGGGATCTATCCTCAAAATTATGTGTTTTGGCTTCTTCTTCCGCGAATGGAATAATGATAGGTACAGGTATCTCATTGATTCTACATCATAAAACTCCTCCTTTATGCATATCTTTCAAAAAGCTGACGGAAAGGGTCGAATTTTCCTCCTATTTTCCATTTAACCTGTCTAAGCACTTGCCAGAGTCAAGGGACCATCCTTAGCCCTTTCTTTCAGATACCTTTCTTAGGATCTTTACTTTTTCTTCCCCACCTCCACTATGATCCATTCTCCAAATTCCATTCACAAAACCCGCAGTTACAACTTTTTCAGTGTTAAAGAGTCTGTGTTCCATATTCAACTTTTTCAATGAAAATTCTCGTGCCTTCTTTCTCCAGCTTTGTCCAGTTAGTGAGCCATGGACATGAATACAGCTGCAATTACATGTATACGCCTCAGGAAAAATCTTATGAACTATAAACCCATGAATCTATCAGAATTCAGCCAAGATAGTTCAAACCTGAACATTTTTTAATCATTAGCTTTATTTGACACAGTGATCAGCAAGGGAAAGTGACCCTGCAATTTATCTTGGAATCGTTTTTAACTTCTCCCAAAAGAAACCATCAATGCCACTCAACAGGAACTGAAATTTTGTCAAAATTTTACTTTGACGTGGTTTTCCTGAAAATTGGTCCAGGTGCATTTTCTATTGGAAAAATTCATCTCCTAAAATCCACTCTTATTGGTTGGAAAAAAGGCCAATTCCCTTTTCCAATTGCTTTCATCATATTCTCCTCCAGGGTAATCAGATGCAAAATTCCAAGTTGAACCATCTTAGATGGTTTGACTTCCAATCCCAGAGGCAAGAGACTCTGGGTTTGACTTCCATTTTTGTTTCCAAGTTGAACCATCACGGAATCTCAACTTTATTCACCTCTTTAACCTCTACTCCCACCATTTTCCCTTTCCTACTCCAAATAACCCCAAAACCTCATCTTAGATGGTATGAAAAAGTGAGGAAACGAAAATTAGGGGACATAAACTCATCAAACAGAGGTATGCATTTCTCGCTGGCGAACTAGCTTCTCTTTTGATCTACTCCAGAATCTCCCTCTTGCCTCTCTGACTCTACTCTACAGGGTGAGGGATCACAGTCGCATACACAGCTATAGAGTAAAACTTCTCAGAGGTAGCTACAGGAGTGTCCTCCCTTCTGCAATTTAAACGTTTACCCTCCTCTTCGGCCACCAGAGTCTCATCTTCTGCCATAGCTGACTCTGCCAACAAATTAGGGTTTCATCCCCTCATTGGAAGCAAAAAGGATTAAACTGGATGTACTCGATAAAACAAAATGGGCCGAATTGCTTGCATCAACCCAATAAAATTCAGTCCCAACTGGTCATTAATTCCAGATTCAGAATAACTTCGCAGCAACCCACCATTATCAAGAATAGTGATCATTGTCCTGTTTCTACACACACAATCATCATAGCTTCTTCCATCAAGTGTCCTCCAAGCCAACCTCTCCCTGACTCCAATGACTCACTTGGCTCATGCAAACATCTATCTTCCTACTTACTAATTTGGTAACTCCTGCCACAAGTTTCTTTTTCTATTCCTTCTTGTTCATTGTTGCATTTCTCTACTTCCTCTGTAGGTCAACCAGCAACAACCTCTGGCTGGAAAATGTAAATTAAGTGACCTCACATGTAGTACACCTCATATAGTCATCTTCATTTTAATAAAGTGAGTGTGATAAACCATAATTGAAAAAATATATATATTGTGACTTGTTGCTCACCAGCAAACAGAAAAATGCAATAAATCCATTCACTGACTTGCCAGAAATGAGACTTTATTAACAACATAAAATAATAAGATGATTTTACCAGTTTGCAGGTCTTCTGAAGTTCCTTGCCGTGATTCTGGATGCTTATCTGCGTTGACCACAGACGAAATACCTACAGATGCATTTCCACGTGCATCTTCCTGGAAAGTTGTCTTAGACAAAGATTCATGGGAAAGAAAAGGTATATCTGCAGTGTATTCCTTGCTTCTGCTCAATGATTCTGTTTTACTGCAATCAATTACAAGTTCTAACGGAACTCTACAAAACTGGGTGCGTATTATCTTTGCACCTCCGGTTAGAGCTTCCAGGGTGTCTTCTGCATCAGAGATCTGACTAAGTGTAGCCAAGTCACATCTAAAATGTATAAAAGAAGATAGGATTAACATAAAACAGCACACTTTTGTCCACAAACTCGAATTATGGAAAGAGACAATAAATTTTATCAATAGAATAATCTACTGATAAATGTGGGAAATGTGCACTGAACACAAATAATTCAAAAGCACCTCCAGGAATTAACAACACGCAGGTTTATATAATTTAGATATGTCATGTCGCATGTAACTAAAAATAAATCCCCAGACAATCTCTGAACTACAAGTGCAAATGTAAACTGATAAAGTGAATAGCAAAACATTCACAGAAGTCTGAACTACCAAGATGGACAAAGACAAATGCATAAAACCAAATCTTAAAGCAAAGGGCATGGAAACGAGAAAATAAAATACTAATAGATAAGTTTTTCTATTTGACCTTTCCTAGACAAACAGCCCTTCATCTTCAATTTAAGACAGAAGCACTTTGTTTCGACCAAGGTACACCATATAGAAGCAATTAATAGCCAAAGATGCTTATTGAATTTAATACAACACAAAACATGTAAAATAACATTCTTCTAGAACGTCATTTGGTAATAACAGGATCCAGTTTATTTTTTCATTTGGTTCTTCCTAGTTGAAACATTGTTTTTCTCATGTTCAAACCAGGATCTTCACGCCAACTGAAGTCAATGTTCGTTCAACATTTCTGACAAAAGAATATCCTTCGTCAGGTGTATGTTAACAATGACATAGGATGAATTAGGAATGTGACTAATATATTCATCGAATATATGAGAACCAATTTTAATCCGAGTAAGGACAAAGGGAGTTTCTTCATAGATTTGTTCTACATTCCAAACAGTTCTCCTTCTCCTCTCTTATCACTGTTAGTTCCATCTTTCTGATAAAGAAGCACTCTCATTCTCCTTCTCCTATCTTCTCACGGTTAGTTATATCTTTCTGGTTTGTGATTTTTCTCAAGCTTTGTTAGTTGAGGCCACAGCACGTCTTAAATAAGAAAGTTCATGGCATGTAAAAACAACACGGAAACGAAAAGAACCATCAATTGATTCATACTAAGCCCAATTGTGGGCAAGCAAAACCTGTGAAATTTAAGGGGAAGCTCCAGGATGTGGTCATGTTCGCAAGGATAAAGTGTTTACTTTTACCGCTGGACAACCAATGCCAATTGAGAGGTTGTCACTGCCTGGCCTCTCTTTGCCTTAAACCTGTTGCTATTTCAGTACAAGCAGAACCTGCAGCCCCCATGAACAGCTTTATGGAGACGGCTCTCAAATCTTCTCTTTGTTTTTTCCTCCTTCACAAGAGAGTCCGTCCTGTCATTAGCCCATGAAGAGCGAACTTTTAATCTTCTTCTTTAGGACGAAACAATCCTGTATATCATGACTTATGATCCGGTGGTATCTGCAATACTTGCGATCATCAGTCTTATTGGCCTAATTATGCCTTTTGCTTTATTGATATTCAATAAACTTGAATTCTAGAAGTCCGTCGCAAAACTCCGTTTCCATCGAGAATTGAATGGGGTTTTCCCGTATTTCGACCGGAGAATCTAACAGAGACATTACTCATGAGATAAGGAGGAGACCTATGGTTCTTAGGATGTTCTTGACATCAGGTTGAGGCGGCAACCAAGGCAGTGATAAAGAGAAAAAAATCATCAAACTCTATGAAAAACTATTCTTCTTATAACCTTACAATGATAACTTCAACAACAGCTTTTATCAAATAGTTAGCTTAACATTTTATGATAGAATTTTACTATTATAGAAAGAATAGCAAGAAAGTTAGGTTCAGCTCATTGTGCCTGACTAATAAAGTCTTTAATTTGTCCCAGCTGGCAAGTCAACTCTTTCTATATGGCATGCTCTGTCAGTAAGGTCTTTAAGTTAGCCAGTTCTATAAACTAGAATCCAACTTGTCAAGATCTTTAGTAACGAACTTATTCCTTCATCAGAAGATTAAAAAGTGAAATTTCCAAGGAACACCGTAAAAGTCCTGAAAATTCTTTCTCCAAGAATCTCAATTTAAACAAAAAGATAAAGACTGACAAGATTGTAAGAAACTCACCACATTTTTTCTTGTCTTAGACAAAATTAACTTTTGCCTCTGATTTTTCCACATTCTTGATGGCATAAGCTTTTTTTTCACTTATAATTTAAAAAATAGGGTAGTCATCCAGAGGTTCTTCGCCTAATCTACACAAGACTGTGATACATCTCTACACACTTACCTAAGAAGGAGGAAGGCCCTAGTCCAGCTGGAGGTGAGATTTTAGGGGGCTCCTAACTGATGAGCGGAATAATAAGAACCTCCTAGAGAAGGCGCAGGCGTTACCTCTGAATAAAAAGGGTATAAATAAAGGAAAGGGGGAGGGGATAAGACACTTTTGGAGAATCAATTCGACTCCTTGGGAAGTCAAGAGGAAGCCTACTATTAACCTAGATCTAAGGCAATTGTATTCGATTTCATCTAATCTATCTCTTCCTTCATCTTTCTACTTCACATTTTGTTCTTGTTGTTGTTTTTTTATATTCAATAAACTTCAATTTCTGTAAGGAAATTGGGACCCTATCAGACTGCCAACTCAATTTCTTTCCACTCTAACATCCCATCATCAGGTCTGAAATAGATAGGCTTCACTGCGACCTCCTTTGATTTTTCAGAAATTCCCTACTCTATTTCCCTAGTCCTGAATTGGGGTAACATGACTATCCTCCTTTTCTGCTGCAGCTCCCCTGTAGCCAGCAAGATGGATGTTTCAGTGTGCCAGGGAATAATACAATGACCATTGAAATTCATCAGCATGATAAGAATAGATGAAACGACCTATGGAAATCAATAAATCTAAATTTTCACAAAAGAAGGAAAAATAAATCATTACACTATCTTCCAGCACAATTCTGACTTTAGACAGTTGACACAAGTAAATCATAGAAGCATGTCATGAATTTTACATAAGACAAGAGGATGCCAGGATAAGTAACGTACTTGTTCAGTAATATAAGATCCACATGTTGCAATTGTTTCTTTGCAATGTCCATCTTTATGACGGTGTCTAGTGACTCAGCATCCACAACTGCAACAGTCATATCTAGATGTATCCCCACCTCCTCCAGCGTTGTCAAAAAACTATCTGGCCTTGCCAGCCCAGAGGTCTAGGAAAATAATTTTCTGTTTAGAACATAAAGGAAAAATAATACTGATGCATGGAGAATCGGAGTATGACGCACAGGAAATCTCAAAAATTGTAATTAGCCCATTTGTTCATCCATATTGTTTATAACATTGATACTTCACTCTTCCAATGCAGTTCTAAGCTTTAGACATCTACATTTCAGACACAAACTCAAAATTTTAAATATGGATTATTAGCAACTAGAAATTCTAAATATTTTCTTACAGAGAATATCCATTGGCTATTTGATGCCAGCAACGCAAACACAATGTATGAATAGGATTCAACGAATCCCGCTTACACTATTCCACATTAAACCCGCCATACCATGATGGATAAAAAATGCAGAGAAGACGTTTTAATCGAATACATAATAGAAGTAACAAAAAAATAAGAGCAAATGAACGCAATAACCATTACAGTAACAGTTGAAGTTGATCGCATATGTATTACATTCAAACTATAGTAACATACGAAAGTTCAGACGATAACATTGTAACGATTTGCACTAAATCCTTCACAGTACAGGTCTTAATAGCAAAATGAGAGGAAATTGAAGGCAAGAGAAAGACCTCGATGAGCAGGCAATCGAAATTTTGCTTGCTGTCAACGATCCCCCGCAGAACTTCCCTGAAGGACCCCATCACGTCGCGGCTTCCGCAACCTTCACAAACAAACTCCACGGATGAGGGAAAAGAAAGAAACACACTCTTCAGTTCCACGAGAATTGAACGAAAGTAGCCTCACCGAGGGTGAAAGAGACAGAAGGGAGATTGAAAGCCTTGTTGAGGCGATCGGAATCGAGGAGAATGGAATCGACGTCAAAGTCGGCGAATTCGTTGACGAGTACCGCAAGGCGGAGGTCCCCGCGGTGGCGGAGGAGGTGGCGGAGGAGGGTGGTCTTGCCGCTGCCCAGGAACCCGGTGACCAGGGTGCAGCCCATCCTTGCCACTCCGCCCAACCCCACCCTCCTGTTGAACAGCCTGTTCTCGAAGGCCATGCTCATCTCGTTGCCCTCCATGGCCACCCCGAGCTTCAGTGGCCACACCTCGCTGCTGCTCTGGGTTTCAGGTAGAGAGAGAGAGAGAGAAACAGAGCCACTGCCGCCGGCCGTTAAAAGCCCTGTAGCTCCTCAAATAAACAAATAAATAATTAAGTATACGAATAATTTCCACTTTATATTTTATTTTATGATAAGAATCCGGTGATTTTTCTTAATTTTTGAAAATAATACAGGAAATGTTCTCAATCTGTATAATAGGATCCTGTAAAGCCTTCTCCTTTAGGAGAAAAGAGTATCAATAGGAGCGAGATAGAGAGAGAGAGAGAGAGAGAGAGAGAGAGAGAGGGAGGGAGGGGGGGCGTGTATAAATACTACTCTATTTTAGGGCAAGAAATGAAAAATTATAAAACTTGGATAAATGTGAAATATAATCATCATTAACAATGTTATGGAATTATTGGGTTTTTTAGCCTCAATCACTGGCTACAATATGTGTTTTTAGTGATTCTTGGTCAATTCATCAAAGTTTTACAAATAACTTTCCTTGGACCCCATAATCCAACAAATTTCATGAAAAAAAAATTAATGCTAATATAAAACGTTATTTCTCCATGAGGAATGTGTCTTACAGAATTTGATGGTAAGAAATATGAAAAACTTATCGGATTGTTGTTAAAACCTACTACTTTCTTGGGTTTATGTGAAATCTAGTGTATTAGCAGTTTTTAAAAAATATATATTTAATCAGGAAAAAATTGCATTTGTTTGAAATTATTTTTCAAATCCTGTGAATTTTTGTAATGTTCTCATGTAAAACATGAAATTTTTATACATAAAAAGGAAACATTATTTCTCCAAGAAAATTATTGGTATATGTTTTACACAATTTGATTCGTTAAAAATATCAGAGATTATTGGTATTGTTATCGAAATCTACTGCTTTCTTCAGTTTAAGTGAAATGGAATGTTCTAGTAGAATGGTCTACGTCATAAATCCTATTTAAAGCTTTGTTTTATAAAATATTTTTAATCAGGAATTTTTTTGTTCAATTTTTTTTGCAAATATTATGAAAAACAGTTCTCGAGTAAAATGTGAATTTTGTATACATAAAAGGAAACATTAATTCTTCATGAAAACATGTGTTTCACACAATTTGATCGTTAAAATTATCAAAAAATGCTTGGTATTTTCGTCAAAACCTACTACTTTTGTGGGTTTATGTGAAATCTAATGTATTAGTAGAACAGTTCATGGCATAAATCCTCTTTCAAGGACTTTTTTACAAATATTTTTAATCATGAAAAGCTATATTTGTTCAAGAGTATTTTTATAAATACGGTGAATTTTAGTAATGGTCTTAGGTTAAATGATTTTTTGCAGTTCTGAGAATTTTGAGCGCTCATTGACGGGTGTCACTTTGGTATTTTTGTCAACATACCCTTGTATGTATGGTAAAATGACTGATCCACACCATGGATCTCGTAAATTGTTTGGAAAAGTTGAAGCGGTTCTTAACCGGAGTGTCGTTTTGTACTCTGGAATGAATATTTTGGATATTTGTTGTTAATTAGCAAGTATGTAACAAATCTTGGGTGTTTGGGAAAGCTCGAAATGCCACTTTCCTCTTGAACGTCCGGCTCGCCCAAAACCCAGCGGCAAGGTAGAGAGAGAGAGAGAGAGAGAGAGAGAGAGAGAGAGAGAGAGAGAGAGAGAGAGATAGCTCGCCCACCTATAAAAGCAGCGCCCTCTTTCCTGGTTATCCCTCCTCCTCTCCAAAGTTCTCATCGCCGCCGCCTGCGCCGCCGCCGCCGTCGCCACCGCCTCATTCTCTGCCGCTCCATCCGTTCCGTCCGATTCTGCGACATGGCTGGCAATGATCCCGAGCACAGAGAGGAGGAGGAGGCTCCCGCCACCGCCGAAGACGAGGACACTGGGGCTCAGGTCGCCCCTATCGTCCGCCTCGAGGAGGTGGCAGTCACGACCGGAGAGGAAGAGGAGGATGTTCTCCTTGAGCTGTTAGTTGCTCTCCTCTTTTTTACAATCTGTTCTCCTAGTCCGCTCCTAGGTTTTTTTTTCTTTTTCTGCGATTTCTCGTCTTCTCCGGGACCGCTTTCTGTGGGCGTATTTCAGTGCTTGTTTGATGGCGTCGATCGTATCGAATTGTTTCTGCAGGAAATCGAAGCTTTACCGGTTCGATAAGGATGGGAACCAGTGGAAGGAAAGGGGAACGGGCACGGTGAAGCTTCTTAGGCATAAGGAGACGCTCAAGGTCCGGCTGGTCATGCGGCAAGCCAAGACACTTAAGATCTGCGCAAACCATCTTGGTTAGGGTTTTCCATCCAGCTGATTTGAAGAACTTTTTTTTCACCAGTTTATTGTTTCTGTTCACTTTAAATTATATTCTTTTGGAGGATACCTTGTTCTTCTCTGATTTTGCTCACTTTTTTTTTGGTCTCCGCTTCAGTTCTCCCATCAATTAGAATGCAGGAGCACGCGGGGAGTGATAAGTCATGCGTGTGGCATGCCACAGACTTCTCCGATGGGGAACTGAAGGATGAAATGTTTTGCATTCGTTTCGGATCTGTTGAGAGTGAGTGCCCTCTGGATTCTGCTGATACGTTCTATTTGAGTTTCATTCCTATCTAAATGGCGATCTTATTCTAGCTTGTTAGTTTCTTGCTCCGATATCTTTTCTAAGTCATCGTCTTCCAATCATTTTTAGCCTTGTTTCGATTTTCCGTTTAGCCAAACTCAAGTTTTACCTCGGGATTAGTCTGTGCTGTTAGTTTTGTTCACACTGCTGTTTGGAATGTGTTGAATTTACCTCATGATTTCTCGGTTAATCACCGTTGGCACATTTTAATTCACGTATTTTCTTGATTGTTGTTTTTTGATGTCTTCTAGACTTCATAGTGTGTTTGTTACTGTGAAAATTAAAACCTCTTTTGGTGCAAGTGGCGCACTTCTCCTTCTTTCGCATTGGTGAGGTTGGAACTATTTATTACATTGATGGCTGTCATGCAATATTGTTCACCAGTCTTGTCTATGACATCAATTTTATTTCCTGCTGTAGTTTTCAATCCCAAATCTGGATCCATGTTTTATGCTCTTGCTCTAGAATGCCAATCTTATTACTCTTTGTGCTCAGTGGAGTAGATCCACAGTCTCTAGCCATCCAGGAAACACGCCACTTATGTTTTTCATGTTGATATCTATCTTTCTCGCTTTGATCCGGTATTAATGTTCATCACTTCTTTGCATGATGAACCCAGAAATTACAAGCCATGTTGATAATTAGAAGTGTGTTTATCTGATTACAAGGCATGTGAAGCATGAAATTTCAGATCTGAACCCAGAAAAATATGATGCCATTATTGACTCATGTTTGAAAATTTGCTTTTGCGCTACTAATTCCCTTTTTTTTCCTCTCTTGCAAAATGAACGTATAAGGGGTAAAATGTAAATTCCTTTACAATAATTGAATTTTTGGTGCTTGATATTTTTGATAGCTGCGTCAGGCTATCACATAAGGAGTGTTAATACCACAAGTTGAAAGCAATAATTCTTAAAAAAATCTTAACTTTACTTAGATATATTTATGAGGCGGCTACTTGCCAATTATGTGCACTTTTGGATTATATTGTACGAATCATAAGTGCACCTCAATTCTACACACGTAACCCATAAAGAGAATCTAGAATATTGTAAACACTGTAATTTCTCCTCATGATCATTACACGCAGGATCACCTATTTATTTTGAATGATTCCTGCAACTTTCATATCACAATGGAACTATGTAGACTTCTTTCTGGGAAATTTCTGTACAACTGCATCAACATTAGGGGAGGAATCATGTAAAACCTTTGTGCTGTTTTGCTAGATTCCCGCTTTAAGCCATCGCAACCCTCTTTAGAATCGGATACACAATGAGCTTCCGTTCATATCTCTTTTGCTTATATAATAATGGTGTGCCCACCCAGACTGCAAGAAGTTCATGGAGAAGGTGGAGGAGATTGCCGAGTCCCAAGAAGAAAAGGAAGAGAAGGACGGCGGGGGAGAGGCCACAAGTGCCGCTGGGCTCCTGGAGAAGCTGACTGTCAAGGAGGCCCAATCTGAGGAGAAACCCGCTGAGGGAGCATCAGGCAAGAAGGAAGAGGAGAAACCTGAGACAGAAAAGAAGGCAGAGTAGCCCCCTCCCATCTCATCAGGTAGTGTTCTCTCTCTCGCTCTCTCTCTCTCTTTCTCTCTCTAAATTCCTCGGTGGTTATAATTTGTTGTGTCGATTTTGGAGGGGTTCCCTTCAAGGGCTTGCACTGTGACTTATGAAAACCTTCTCTCGGTTGTGCCATGTGGGTTAGTTTTATGGACCGGTGGTGGTTTGGTTCGTATGAGTTTATTCAATTGCCATGTCAGTCAGTTCTTGCCATTTATCATCAGATTAAGAAGATATTGGGGGGAGATTCTTGGACTTATACCATCAGAAACTTACTTGGATTTGATGATTTTGGAGAGATGAAAGTGGTAGGTCTCGTTGGTGACACACAACCACCGGGTCAAGAGCCATCCCAAACCTTTTATAGATCTTTTGAGGAAGGCAGAGTAGGAGGAAGGGGTTGACCAACAGAACCCTTGAGCGGGGGTTGACCTCCGATGCAGTTCCTGTGGGAGTCTACTGATCCTGATTTGACTTTCAGAGCCCTAGGCGATAAATCATGCAGAAGGCAATAAATATCCTCAGGCAAGAATACCCCAGGCTCCTACGACCATTGGACTAACTAACTGAAATGCTTCCTCTCCATCTTTGCTTAGACTCCTTCCATTGATGAAATCCCTGCAGATGAGTCTCTGTGTGAAGTGTCAATTTAGAAGGGCTATCATGGGTTTCAAACAACTCATTACATGCTCAAAAAAAAAGAAAAAAAGAAAAAAAAGCTGGGCTAATTTCTGTTGACAAGGAACGAGATAAAGTCAACTAGTGGGAACACCAGTTGCGATGCATCATATCCCTAGTAATTCTTGTTAGTCATCCACCCGCTCCCCTGGCTCCCCACCTTCTTGGAAGGATGGCTTCTGACTTTCTCTCTCTAGGGGTTGACTCTCAAGGTAGGGAATATTAATTAGAAGTAGCATAGCACCAAGACGGTGGTAAAAAAAGAAAAAGGAAAGAATAAAACCCTAGAACATCTTCAGAAATGGCGATCAAGAGAAGAGAAAAAAATTGGTAAATAACTCTGAAGTATCTTCTTATTTCGTTCCTCCTTCCTCGCGGCCTGGCCGCCCTGTAATTACAATTCCCTTCTTCCCTCCCCTCGTCCTGTATTGGCCTACTCTCTCTCTCCCTCTCTGCTCTGCTCTGCTCTGCTGCCCATCTCAGTGGCTCTGGAAAAGCCCGCTCGGGGCGGCCCGGGAGAGGAAAAAAAATGGATTTCTGTTCGGAGGGGAGAGAGAGAGAGAGAGAGAGAGGAGTCAGAAGCCAAAGCCATTGCCTGAAAAATCTGCCTCCTCGCCGCTGCTGAGGGACTCCAAGACCTCGCTGTCCTCATCCTCACCTTCTGTCACGATCTCGAGGATCCCCTGCGCCCCACCAAAGGCCACGCCATCGATGTTGAAGTCGTTGTCGTCGTCAAGCTCGTCCCCGCTGTCGATGTCGTCTTCATCGTCGTTGCTCAAGTCCTCGGCATCGCTGATCCCGTCTACGTCTAGATCCGCCCCGAGAATCGAGTCCACATCAGCCTCGGAGTCCTCGTCTTCGTCGTCATCCTCTTCATCAGAATCGACCACGTCGTCGGGGTCCGAGTCGTCGTCCGTCGGCCGCCGCCTCCCGATCTCGTAGAGCCGCGCGGAGGAGAACATCTCCTCGTGGTCGTCCATGGCGACCACGGCGATGATGGAGTCCGTCGGCTCCGTGGCCAGGTCGAGGACGCACCGATCCACCGGAACCGTCGCGATGTCGGCGTAATTGACCGCGTCGATCGTCCGGAACGCCGGAAAGAGCGGGTGCCGGACCCGGCGCGTCTGCACCGCCGACGCAAGATCCTCGAGATTCCGCCGGAGGATTGCGTAGATGATGTCCCCGCTGGCGTTGAACGTGATCACCGTCTGGTCGAGCGACATCACGCTCCGGAGGAGCCTGAACTTTCTCAGATCCCAAACCTCCGAGTTTATGATTACCTGCAAGAAGCAATTCCGGCATGAGATTAAGGTTGCAGGTCTTCGGCAAGGCCATCCGATGGATCTGCACAGGGAGAAGGATGACCTCGTTCCCAGAAGGATGGAAGCCGCCGCCGCCGTAGTCGGTGAATTGGTCGAAGCGATGAACAGGGCGGGAGACCCGCCGGTCCCACAAGACCCCATTCCACAGCAGCATCGTGTCCAAGGGGTTGAAGTGTATGAGAGACTGCATGTGCCCTCGAACCTGGCCCGAAGAGCCGCTCGTGCCATCAGAGAGCTTGACGATGAGGTCGCATGTCTGGACGTCGTAGAGGAGAACCTCCCGCCGCGTGGCCTCCGTGGAGAGCGCCGCGAACATTGCCCCAGAGTGGCTGAACTGCGCCGCTTTGCACCCTTCGAATGAATGCAGTGGCACCGACAGAGAAGCCGCGTCCCACAGCCTCACGTCGTAGGTCCCCGACGAGAGGACGAGGAGGCTCTCCCCACTGAAGGCCGACTGGACCAGCGTGACCGGGGACTGGTGGCAAGACTGGTTCTCTAGCACATTACCGTTGTCCGAATTGAAGATCTTGAGCTCCCCGGAGTGGCTCCCCGTGGCGATCCGGGAAGCGTCGCCGAGGAAGGTGACGCAGGTGAGGAGGGCGGCGTCGTCCCTGCAGTTGCGGAGCGGCCGGAATCTGCTGTAGACGAACTGGCGGTCCCTCCGGTGGCCGTGGCTCCCGCCGTACTGCTTCTTGAACTCCCGGGTGCTCATCCTCGCCGTCACATTTGCTGGCGCGTCGAGGCTGCGGCTCGGCTCCGGGCACAGATGTGGTTGCAGGAGGGAGAGCGGCGGCAGCGTGGTTATCGGTGCCGGGCATTGCCGATGCTGGTGCTTCAGGTACTGCACCACCAGTGAATCGAGGGTCACCCTTTCGAAAACTCCACCGACCTGCGGATCCTGAACAATAGCGCTGTGCGGGGTTGTAGGTCCTCCCAGGAATGATCTCTCGGGGCCGTCGGGCAGTAGATCGTTCTGGTCGAGCTGCTCTCTCGGCGTGCCGCCAAATGAAGCCGCAGCAGCAGCAGCAGCTGATCCAAGGGAATCCGGCAGGAGATAGCTTCTGCGGGCAGAGTTGGGTGTCCGGAAAGCCGCCGATTGAGGTGCAGAGTCTGGTGTAAAGATCTTCTTTGCGGGTGTGCCGACGCCGCCGGCAGCATCCTTGCTGTCCATCAGCTTCCGCTTCATGGGCAAGAGTATAGGAGTTCTGTACTGAGCTTCCGCGTCGGCATCTGGTAAGCAGCCAAGCCCGGAAGGGGTTCTCAAAGCACAGGACACCTTGGCAGCCGATGGCGGCGGATTGGGCGGGCCCTGGGTCTTCCCCTGAGAGATACTGGACGAGAACTGCAGTTGTTTCTTCTTACAGGAGGCCGAAGAAGAGGGGTCATGCTTGCTGCTAGCCTCCTCGTCTCGCGATCCTGCCTGCGACGGTTCAGAGAGAAACCCCAGTGGGGCGCGCCCAGCAGGCCACTGGAGCTCTGTCGAATGTGCGTCTTGGACGCAGGCTTGATGGAGAAGCTGTGGTGCAGCCAGATAAGGCAGAGGGACCAGCTGAGCTTCCTTCTGTAGTAAAGCAGCAGTAGCTGTTAAGCCCGAAGCCTGGAGATGTTCGTGTATGAGAAGCAGCAGCTCCCTGGGATCCAAAGAAGAGAGACATATATATTTTTCAATATATATAAATAGTAAGAGCCAGTTGGCAACCTGAGGGAATAAATAGTAAAAATATGAGTGAGATTAACCTGGAATGGTAGGTGATTGGAGTGGCTGCAGCTATCGCTGCTCTCTCAATGCGCCGTAAGGTAGGAGCAGCAGCATCAGTGGCTGCCAATGTGCATGCCCGCCCAGAGTTTGTTACTATCTGCGGATTAAAAAAAGGTTTTAAAATAAATAAATAAAATCTGAATCTGTTGGACGACCTGCAGCTTTAAAAAGAAAAAAGAATGATAAAAGAGCGATGATTCACAAGTGTCATACTAGTACGCACTTCCTGCTAAGGGCAGATAAATAATGAAACTTCTACATTTACAAGCAAGAGAGAGAGAGAGAGAGAGAGATGACTGGGATTCAAGTGAAAATCATGAGAGCAAATATATTTCCATAATACCATGGTACTACTTACTGAAATAAGCTCGATGGCCACTTGGGCCAGCTCGGTCTGCCACCTGCCCTGTTCAGTTCCATAGGACTGGCCACCACCATGGTCACGTATAAGTTCAGACAGCTTTTTCCCGACCTGAGGCCAACAATCCAACATGCACCGCACATGAGAATGACGATCGAACACCATACCCAATACTGATTCGCGGCCAAAAACAGTAATCTGAAACCGTCTTAAGAACAGAAAAAGAGCGAGCACTTGCCTGCAGCTGCGTCAGTATGTGGGCAATCGTTTCATCTCTGGCTAAACCAAGCAAGACTCGGCAAGAAAGTGCGCGAAGACAGTCCAAAGTTGCAGGCGGGGTGATCATCCGAGGATGGAGAAGATGTAGAAGAACCTTGATGCCATTGTTGGCACGAACAGACTCCCTTGCCTGGCGATAACCTTGTTCTAGCTGGGCAGCAAGACCGGCACAACCAGCCCCGGAGCCTAAGGATATCCTCCGATCTCCGACTACACCAGAGGTAATGCTTGACAACACTATGCCTGAACTAGAGCTTGGAAATGATGAAACAAGTGGTGCCGAACTGCTGCGCTCCACAAGAGCAGCCTCTTGAACGGTCTGAACGGGCAAGGGAGCTGTTCGGTCTGAGACAGATCTTTCGTAATACCTCTCCATGTTCTCAGCACCAGCAGCATTTAGCATATAAGCAAGGGCAGACTGCTGACCTTGCGCAGGAGGTTTGTTGCTGATTGAAGGGGGAGGACAAACGAGATTAACAAGTACATTCAATGCTTGTTGAATAACCTGCATTTGGAAAAATTGCATCTATTTTTTAGCAATTCATCAATGCATTAATTAGAGCAGTCTCACTCAAACTCAAGAGATTAAATACCTCGGGATCAACACCTCCTGCACTATTTATTGCATCCAAAATGACCGCCATGCCTACACGATCATTACTCAAAGTGGCATTTACGATCATCTTCCGGCTGTATGGGAACAATGTTACAATATGAAGAACGCCCAGTGCATATTGTGCCAAGTCATGCAAATATCGTTCGGCAGGTGGTGCCTGAGACACAGAATCAAGTAGGAAAGATCAAATCAAATAAATATCATCTTCTGAAAGAGAAGGGACGACTAATGCTGAAAAGAGAAGCAAGGTAAAAGTGATGCCCATACATGACATAATTCCAGCATAATGATATGGCCATTATAGAATAAAAAGTAGTCCACAGGTGGCCACCGAGTTCGCACAAACGCAGCTCCAAGCTTCCTATCCCGCTGAATCTGGAGAAACACTGCATCCATAGCCTCATTGCTGATGTCAAGAGGCTTATATGCAGATCTTGCGCTTGAACTATGTCGAGGTAAACTCCGACTACTTTTGTTAGGACGAAGGGAATCTACAAGCAAAAGTAGATGGGCCCTATAATACTGGCGTAGAGCAACGCATGTTTGATATGCTATCTGCTTTTCCAGAGAAGTGAGAACATCTGCAGGTGATCGATCATTCCGAAGCGTTGTTGCATTAGGCAGGTTTGGCGCTGCAGAACTGCCACCTGATCTCACCGATGCTGTGCCATGAAGAAGATTCAACATCTTTTGCAATCCCTCCTGAGCATCAAATGAATCCAGCACTGCGCGGAAAACAAATGCAGCTGCAAAAAAAATTGCAGCATTTTTTCTAGCTTGATCCTGGGAGCAGCTAAGAAGCTGAAGTGCTAACTCGACCACTTGATTAACAATGTCAGACGGAAGAGCACATACACGCTCCATTATTCCCTGCAGTTAAATTTTGTTTTATTAGAAAACTATGAAACATATCATGAAAATTTTGAAGTAAAACGTAAAACTTAAGGCACAAAGCTGTCAAGCATTTCCGCTAGCGATCTCTCTACCATTACCTGAAGGGTTCCAATGGTAAATAAGCATGATGAAAGGCCAAAAAATGTCTGAGAAACCCTCTGAATAGAAAGGAGTTTCTGAATACCACCCCGATCAATGAATACAGCTGCAAACTTTCTATGAGCAGCTAAGGTACAAATTAGTTTCAATACTTCAGGAAGTAGTACCAAGACCTGAGGAGAGCTTTTATTCTTGAAACACCGCTGCAATAATGCAAGACAGACATCAACACCTTTCTCATGCAGGACGGGGCCCAAAGCTTCAACGTACTCCCCTAAAATCTCAAGACATTGAATAGAGTATTTTTCCCTCAACTCTGCGAGTGGTTCATCATCCAAAATACAGAATTCTTCTGACTCATCCTTTTCAAGTTCCACAGCCTCACAAGTCGGCGGTTCCTCATTGGAATTGCCGGAACTGCATCAAAGAGATAATAAAATGACACTAAAACACAAAATCTAGAAAGAAAAAAGGTATACAGATATCTACACTTGAAAAGGCTTACGCTTGAGCTTGTCTGGACATATCCGTAGCTATTGCAGCATCTACAACAGTTGATGCTGCCTTAGAAGCAGCTAGAACAGCAGCTTCTTCATCGTTTGTACTCTTCCAAGCCTAGAGACACAGAAAAGTAAGAACAATTGCAACCACAGCCCCAATGAAAGTTAAACAGCTTAAAATTTTACCTCCAAAGCAGAAGTCTTGACAAGCTCAGCAGCAGCATCTCCTGCAGCTTTGACTGCCTCTGGTGGTGCATTAGCGACTCTAGCCTCAGCTTCAGCAGCCTGGGTTGCTTTCTTTACTAAGTCGGAGATATCTCTTGATCCAATAGTACATTCCCTGAAACGATCGTCACTGTCATCTCCATTTCCAAAACAATCAGTGTCCAATCGATGCATCGAGTTTTTGATATCCGGTGATGTTTTTGCATCCTCATTTTTCAGGAAGTTCCTGTCCCTAACACCCCGGCCCCGTCCCACTCTAGATTCACTACTGGGGGAAGTCAATTGTTCAGTATCTAAGCTTCCTTCGTTTATCCTTCCTTTTCCTCTAGCTCTCATCAGTCCTCGGTTCATCCTTCGCCTTGACAAATCATTCTCGTCACAATCTTCATCACGAGAGGATCTGCTTGGACCATGTCTTTCATTTCCCCTTGATCTTCCATCAAATACATCTCGACTGCACCATTTTTCCTCTATCTGTTCAACATCTCCCTCGGCCAATTGAAACATGCCAGCAATTTCAGATGGTGAGTCACCTAGATCAGGTCTCAAATTCTCTGGACTGTCCGCCCAACACTCTTCTCCTTCTGTCATCCTAATCGCATTGCTTCGATCCCGCTCTCTCTCAGCACTTTGGTCACCTGATGATATCTCATCGCCTATTCGCAATGGCTCTGAGCGAGTGGCATCAGTCACTGGGCGCAATCTTCTTCTATTTTCTTCCCTGCATCTCAGAGAGGCACCTGACGCATGCTTGTTCTCTGATGGGAAAGTGGCATCCTTCTGACTAGCATTGACCTCTCCGATGACATGCATTCGAAGATAACGCATAAGTTTTGCTGACAGGCCAGATGTCAATACGTCTTCTACCAATTGACCACCACTGGAAAGAGCATTGACAAAGCTGTAAATAATAAGAAAAAATAGCAACAAAAAATCGAGTGTAAATCATCTAGGGACTGTACCCAGTAAGACAAATGACAAGAAGTCCGGTGGAATATGTCTTCAGCATCTCAGAATCTGTGGGCTTGTTCTGCCCTAATTCGCTCTTCCAATTGCATTGATCACCAGAAGCACAAGCAATATCCTCCATTACCCAACTTTTAATATTCTCCAGAACATCGTCATCAAAAACAGGGGGATACTAGGATGATGACCAAACGCAGGCATGTAAAAAACTTGAAGTCAGCAAATATGTAATACGAATGCAATAAAATAGCATATGAAAGAGAGAACAACGTGAGCACCAACCATCCACGTTGAGGAGCAGCTAAGAATTAATCTCGCAGTGGCTGCACGAACACTGACAGAGTATCTATTTTCTGATAGGAATTTAGACGAGACTAAATCGTAGAAGTCATCATTATCCTGAATACAGAAAATGAGGAACAAGCGAGGTGATCAATTTCCCAGACACAAAACTAAAAAAGTTATCATGGATAGTCCATATTAGCATGATATAACACTTAACATCATGAGAGAAAAAAACAACGCAAATACCAAAGCACCTGAATCAAATTTCCCAGTCTTCCAATGACATGAGACGCACGCCCATTGTTGAAAGATGAACTTCCAGACTCTTGCATATATCTAAATTTAAGAAAAACCAAGTGGAAATAATAAAAATTCTTTCAAAATAGAAATAACCAGAACTATTTCAACTAACACGAAATGAAATACAGTATCAAATAAAGACGATTTCACCAGCCTCTTCAGAAATCTATCCCTCGTTCTTTCCAGATTAACAAGTTAAATATACCTCCAGATGATGTATCCAACGTTTTTTCTACGGTAATAAAGGCCACCTTCAAAGAAAGCACCCAATTTCATCAAACTGTGGTCTAGGATGAAAGTGGAGTGGGGAGATAACCCCGAATGCTTACGTCCATATTTTTTCCAATTGGATTTTTTTTTTTACCGTTCTTCTTTGCGCCACGCAGAATAAGCAACAGGTAAATATACCTTGACATTAACCGGAATTTTTTCACAAAACCCCGAGCCGTAAAGCACGTTCTCGCATTCCAAGAATTATCAGCCTCGGAGGACATATGAAGAAAACACGAGTATAAACGCAACCTTATATGCCGCAAAGTGACACTATCCACTACACAGATACAACAACAAAAAAAAAAAACAACAACACAAAAAAAAATAACGAAAAAACATTGGAAAAAAATCGTTACATGATGCTCAAAATACCAATGAAGGAAACATCCGACTCCGAATAACTTAATAGAGACAAACTAAAAACAATCCGTCGACGAACGGGCGAGGGAGGAGTAACCTGGTCTCCTGGGTTTCCAGCATGGTGGCAAGCGCATGGATATGTCTGGGATTAGGGTTCGCCCGGGCGTCCATGATCTTCGACACAAGCCTCTGCGCCCTGCCCACCAGGGCCTCGTCCCCATCGCCGCCCTCTATCCTCCCCTCCTGCGACTCCTCCCGCGTTGCCTCCGCCGCCGTCGTTACCGGCGCCTCTCCCGCAGAATCCGTCCCCACATCCATGGAACCCGTCCACAGAGCTTCCCTCCCTTCCCTCTGCTGCTGCTGTCGATTCTCCGCCCTCGCGAGAGCAGAACGGAGGAGAAAGAGCGGAGTGAGAAAATGCCCTCGCCTCTTATATTTCTTGCTAGAGAGAGAAATAAAGGGTGAAAATCTTTGCCTCCAGAACTCCCCCTGCTCGAAGGAACATCTCAACTAGCCAACACCATCGACCTGTCCGGCTTAGAATGGTTAATCAGACTTGTCCCGGTGGAGTCAGGTCAGAAGACGCATCGATGATCCGCGAGACAACCCAACGCGCAGGAGGTGCTCTCGAAGCTGCAAGCTTGTTGGATTCAATAATAATAGCTATAATACCCCTCAAAACCTAATTAATGGCGTTCGTACCCCTCCCCCGCACTGTACCGACATTAGCGTGTCGATGGGCGGGCTAAAAACCTCCGATGGCCAGGTTTTTTAAAAAAGATGCTATATAAAAAAGCCCGGCCCGGACAAGCCCGGGCCGATCCGGCCCGGCCCAGGCATAATTCCTTTAGAGGGAAACCCATTGCTGGGCTTCATTTGACCAAGTAGACCCCGGGGCTGCAGCCCATCTAACCCAACTACAAGGATGGTCTGGTGCTCTCAAGGGCCTCCCCCAGTGGTCGGTCACCCTACTTAGTCGTTTGCTGCAAAAATGCTGGTGCACATTTTGTCCCACATGTATATCTATACTGAATGATTTCTAGATCAATAAGATAGTCATCAAATCATGGCCTAACCTTGTATGAGTTATCTCTTGATGGGTTTATTTATATTATGTTTCTTGTGTGATATTTATTAGTATTTATATCTATTGAATATAGCAACACTTGCCTAATTAGTAATATGGATGAGTGATAATCATCTTTTTATGTGATAAATCATCCCAATTGGAAGATAAGCCTAGAAAGTTAGGTCCAGGTCAGTCATATAAAATAAATAAAATATGTAATGTTAGTAAATTTACACTTTGAGTTTATAAAGCACAAGCTACATCAATCTACAAAGAATGATTTCAACAACCCTTAAGTTAGTAAGGATCAAATGACATTTCTTAGATTCAAGAGTTTGTTAAATCCACAAACAAATGAAAATCTCAAAAACATATATAATCGTTCTTCTCTCTAAGGTTACAACATGTTAGCCTCCAAATAGGTCAAAGCCTATTGTTACTATCCTTAAATGTGGATTAGTTAATAATATAAATATAATTAATATTAACATAATTAAAAACCATATTTATAGAAAAACAAGTTTAGATCGGCTACTTGAACTCTATGCTTTTGTTTTGAGCCTTTTGATATTTTTAATCCTCATTTTTACATATTCAGTTCGCTTTGGTCACTACTTTTTACGTCATAAATGTTGTGATATGAAAAAAAACTCCTCGAGTATATCTCTTTCAAATTATTATTTGAAGACCATAAGAAACGGATGATGGAGAACTTTACTAAGATTGCCAATTTAGGTATATTTTTATCTTGACTTCCAAACTTGGAAGAAATTAGATGATCCAGCCCTCTAATCCTAGAAGCTTCCCATGGGCTCACAAAGCAGTCATTTCGAAGGTTCAAGCCATGTTTGCTCAAACATTTCCATTAGAGCACTGAACATATGCCAAAATATAGGTGAAACTTGCATGGAATAGAGGGTTCTACCAGTGCTCTGAGGGGGTGTCTAAGTCATGCTTTCAATAGAGGTGGCGCCCCAAGATGGAAGATGCATTTTGTTGTAGGGGGAGGAATTTTAGGGATGATAGGGAAAAATTTTTCTTCAGCTTTCAAGATCAATCTTAGTAAACTTTGGACATTGGGTGCACAAGCCCATACCAAAATGGGTTGCAACTTCATAGAACTATGAGTATCCCAAACAACTGACATTCATCATTTCCTCAAACTATTAAGGATTGGGTCTCGTCATTTTAGTTTGAAATGGGTTAGTAATAATGATTGAAATTACTTGTCTTTCAAAGTCATCATTGTGCCCTAATAACTTCTTATGTGATCAAATTCATATTTTTTTGGATTATTTTTTAATTTAGATTTTTCTATGACTTTTTGTCACTTTGAAAAATACATGTGAAATTGAATACAAATTTGTAATTCATAAGTCAAAAATATCAAGGAATATTTCCCTAAGAAAATTCATGGTAAAGTTCCAACAACATTAAATGAATATAAAATCTCCTTTTATCATTTATAATCCATATGAGTTTACTAGTGATAAATTATAAAGTATAAATTATGGATACTTATACATTCTTGATGTACTGGATGTACTATCACCATTAGCATCAACCTAGTACTAGATCATATGAGCTGAGTATCAATTTAATCATAGTTTGAATGGTTGGCCTGTCTAGGAATCTCCAAATCTGCAGATACTTTTGCCCCCAAAAAGGTTTTGTTGCTGCTTACATCCTTCCTCATCTTTGTTCAAATTGGTTGCTACTGTGCAACAATTTAAGACTAATAATATCTCCTAATTTCATTTACTTGATTTTTGGTTCTATGCTGTAGGGTATATTTTTTACCTAAATGTTTCTATCAAAAATGAGAATAACCTCTGCCATTTAACTTGTTTTGAATTATTGCATACAATTCAGTCACAAAATATCATATTTATTACAAAGGAGACACAAAGCCGGCTCGGTGCATGAAAAATAAATATCATTAGTTAATAATTATTTAGGTCATAAAAATAATTAAATTATTTTCACACCAACTTAAGCACGCATATTAGTATTTTCTATGGTTTGATAATCTATTTTTTTTCATTGTTTGATGTTTAAAAGGTACTATGCCAATACTAGTATGCTAAAAAAAGATGTACACAAGACAGATCTTCAAGGGCATGAAGAAGGGCATTAATGGGGAAAATAAGCTTTTTCGAGAGATCTTACTAAATATTTACTAACTGTACGAGAGCACCTATAAACGTGTATAACTAAAAAGAAGTTGTGGAACGGACGAGACACGCAAGTCTTTGGGAACTGTGTCGCGATAACAGAGGGGCAACATCGATCCGTGCCAAGTTAGCAACGACTGGCCAGTGGCCTGCCCCGGGATGAATATGCTCCTCTCTCTCTCTCTCTCTCTCTCCTCCCTGCGGGAAAGGTGGCCTTTCTACTACAAAGTCAACTCCAGAACCTCTAAATTCTTATTTCCGTTAAGGAACTGGAGATTTTTAGATCTCTATTCCCTCTCTCCCTCTCTTCTTGGGGATTGCACCCTACAGACACATGACGTGCCGTTGCAGCTACTTATGGCTGACCTCCTCGGAAGCAGAGAATGTGGCAACAGATGGAAAGAATATCCAACGGAAATTGTCAAAGAATGCACTATCGAGCCAGTACCCATAAAAAATACACACAAAAATGAGAGAGAGAGAGAGAGAGAGAGATGGAGGTCGGGGGGGCGGGGGGGTTAGATCCCACGTTTCATCTCTCCACTTCCTTCCCTTTCATCATCTTCTTCTTCCTCCTACGCGTAATCTTCAAACCCTAGGAAGCATATCACAGTGAGCTGAAGTCGGGATCGTTCACACACACGAACGATGGTCTTCCACGGAATCTATCTACAGGTTCTCGAGACTCACCGACCGATCCGAGCCCGTCTCCTTCCTCTCGACGGGGTGCAGTTGCAGATCCAGCGATCCTCTCCCTCCTTCCTGTTCCTGTTCCTGCTCCTGTTCATGTTCCTGTTTCTGTTCAGACGATCCTCAGCGAAGGGACTCGGAGCTCCCAGCGTCTCCGTCAATGGTGCAGCGGGTTCGGCCCTGTGGGCACCAGCCTCTTCTCCACGCCGTAGCGGGGGTCGATCTCGTGGCCATCGCTGGAGTCGCTCTGCCGGTGCCGGAGAGGACGGTGGTGGTGGTGGTGGTGGTGGTGGTGGAGGGCTCGCCGGAGCTGGTCGGGTCGTATCGTCAGCATCTTCCGGTGGGCGGCGATGGAGGAGCTCAGTTCGCTGCCGGAGCGGTGCAGGTGGCTCCACCCGTGCAGCAGGAGCAGCAGCAGGAAGGCGACCCACAGGAGGAGAGCCCCCACAAGGTTCCTCCTCATGGCCATGGACGAGGAGTCCCACCCCTCTCTCTTTCTCTTCTCTCTCTCTCTCTCTCTCTCTCTCTCTCTCCCTCTCTCTCTTTCTCTTTCTCTCTTTCTCTCTCTTATTAGGAGAGATCTGGAGGCTTGACAGGTTGGGGGGTCGGGATGGAAATAAGATATGAGGGCGAAGGAGGGGGGTTGCTTGCAGGGGACTTCATCTCTCCTCCGCTGTGGAGGTGGTCTCTGATTTCTATTGGTGGGAAAGGGAGCATTTTGGGGCTCTTTTACGCGGTGCAGGGGGCAGCCCCTCCGCATTGCCCGTGCGTAAGTCAAGTCCACGTGGTTGCTGATGGGTCTTCCTACTACCTCTCTCTCTCTCTCTCTCTATCTCTCTCTCTTCTTTCTCTATATCCTTTCTCTCTCTTCCTTGACGTTGACGCGATAAGGCATGGAGGAAAATGGGTGCCATAACCTTAGGGGATTGCTGGAACGGCAAGGCTTTACTGCGTTTCTTCGTGGAACAACTGCACCTGGTTCAGTCAGCGGCTTCCATACATGCAAAGAGAGAGATAGCTAGATAGATAGATGGATATAGAGAGAGAGAGAGAGAGAGAGAGAGAGAGAGAGAGAGAGAGAGAGAGAGAGAGAGAGAGAGAGAGAGAGAGAGAGAGAGAGAGAGAGAGATCGATCTTCGGTGCTTTTGACCGATCTCCGGAAGGGCTCCTCAAGTTTCTGACCAGTCCACGCATGGAGACGAGCACCTCGTGGCCCCCTCTCTCTCCACTGTATACACACACACACTCTCTCTCTACTTTGTCGCTCTAAGTTTGCATGCATATAAAAGTGGGTAGACGGGTCATAGTTCACAGTCGCGTAAGCGACATTTTTGGGAAGACCTTGGGAATCGCAGCCTTCTTCCCTCCCTCGTACCTTGTGATGTTCCGTCTTCTATCTCCTCCTGTTCATCGCCCCCAACTACCCCCCAAATAAAAATCACACCTTTTATCGCCCTTAAAACTCCATCTCCTTCGTCATTTCCATTTCGGGAAAGAGAAGACTCCATCACCTTCGTCATTTTCTGAACTGGGCCCCGCAACGAACTCAAACTACAACCATATGAGTGATCTGACTGCAGTTTTTCCACCCAGATTGAATCGTGATCGTCTGATCCGACGAGGCATCGTCGATCATGACGGTGAAATCTAATCTATGGATCGATCTCCTTAAATGTTTTCGGGATGCGGCCACGTGCCCCGATCAGTCAACGGGATCCCCTTGATCCGTGATTTCCAGCCGCCTGATTGAACGATAGATTGCTTCTATGATGTAAAAAATGGGCTGTCCAATAATCAGGCCCAATAATATCATGGATTGGGCCGTCCACATTTTTTCACAAAATTTAGAGAAAATAAATCTGGGCCGTCAGTTTTCTTTTAATATTTCCACAAATAGTAATTAGTGGGAATACATTGGTTGTGTCGCTGTTTACGGGTTGACGGATCCACCTTTTCGAATCGTTCGGGTAAGAATCCGAACCGATACGCCATCTTCCCTCTTTTCCTCTTCTCTTCTCTTCTCTTCTCCTCCCTCGGGGGTTTTGGTTCCCCTGGGGTTTCTCTTGGGCGTGTAGGGGGAGAAGGGGAGGAGGGTGATCCTCCGGATGGAGTCGCCCATGGCGGAGGCGCTGAGGGTCTCGGACGCTGATCTTCTGGTGTACGTCCACCCTTCCAACGCCAACAGGATTCAGAAAGCACTGTGTCGTCAGCTCAGCGTCGCCCTCTTCGCGTGAGTCTCTTCCAATTTCCTCCTCCTCGTCATGCTGTTACTTGCATCGCGGGCGTCTGCGGGAGAATGAAGGATGTATGTAATCTTGGCGTTTTCTGGGGAGGAATGAGATTGGCGACGATAGCTCCTTCGGTTAGGACAGATAACGCGGAACCCCGCTGCTGTTCCTTTCACGTTGGGGTCTCGTTGTGAGAAAATGTGCCTTTTTGTGTTGCTATGTTTGTAGAACAGAACGAAACTTCACGAATCCGTGGGAAGCAATGGAGGACGAGCTTGACGAGTTCGTGCTGATTAATTCTTTTGTCACCTTCGTGGGGACTGTCGCCACGATTTATACAGAAAGGATACTATTGCTTGAAAATTCAAGCAGGTCATGTGATTCTGATGCCAGCTCCAATGCAATTCAGCACGATAGGCTTGTTTCTTTGATATAGGTCAGTGGTGACGACAATATTGTACTTGCCACTTCCATAGAGGGCGAAATTGACGCAATTTCAAGCGACTGCAAATGAAACAGAGTTCATCATAGTCTGAAAGCTATAATCTATGGGGTTGAACCTCTTCATGTTTTATCAATTGATTGCCTGTTGAAACCATTGCGTCTACCTTTGGACTTTCGATGATCTCCATTAACATTTAAGAAAATGGATGTTCAGTAGAGGAAGAATAATTGACCTTACTGGAAATCAAACAAAATGAATTAGCATGTAATATTAAAAGTTTAAGGTAGACCATTATCAAAATACTATGATATTGTTTACGAATAAATTTTGAAAATGTGGATGATGATAATTATGGTGTCTGTTTATTGACTAGGGGATAAGAAAAGTGATCATGAAAAATGGAAGGTCACGGCTGTATTCCATTGTTTTTTGTGTTAATTCGTTCAGATGGTATAGCACTTAAATGTTTTTCTGGCTTAGTTGCAGATTAGCTTTGTGAAGTTATCTCACAAACTTGGTAACCTATTGCTTCTATTCAGTTGTCGTTCTCTTTTATCTAAAAAATAATTTTAAATTGATACATAGTCATCAATATGATACCCTGAGGCCAGGGCTCATGTTTTCTATGACTGAAGTTCCAACGGATTTACAATTGACATCTGTACTTTGATCGATTGTCTAAGAGTTTTTTCTAAAGGGCTACTTCAAAATTATGTTGTCTGCTGATGAGCGGAGTTCATAACCGATGTTGCCCACCAAATCAAAGTTGCTTGTCTAAAGAAGAGACATCTTATAAATCATTGTTCCTATTAAATAAGGATTTCTTTACCTTATCATTCAACACTGATAGAGAGCACTGAATCCCTAGGATTTTTCTGCGCTGCCATGTGATGTTGTGGTAGGAGAGAGCTTCGAGGTTTATCTCTCTACCTAGGGAGAGATCACCAAGTTAGAGGAGACAAATCTCGGATAGACTTTTTGTGTCCTGATGTTTGAAGGTAAAGCTTTCTGTTCTAGCCCTAAAATATCAAACATCCATGCTCCTTTAAATTTGATATCTAGATTCCATGGCCACTGATCTTAGTCCAGTGCCATTTTTGGCCTGTCGAATTACTTGTATTTTGGCCACTTCGTGTGTTAATTGATGCTTCAGTGAGATCTTATGAGTTATTCTCCTCATTTTGATGATTTATGGCATTTCATAGCCCTGAAATGAGCATAGTTGCAAGAAGAGTGAAGCCGAAATCAAATGCTTGCTAGAACATCTTTGAAAATACCAACATGTGGATGGAAAAATCATTTCTCCAACTCCAGTTATCCTCTCCGAGGACAACCGTGAATGAGTTGCCCCCAAAAGATCTTCCTCGCTGCATATAAGGGGATATAAAATGTGTTTGGAATCAGGGAGATGGGTCATGGCACTGGATGTAGCTGCTGGCAATCAGCCCTTTGAGATGGATAGAGCAGTTGTAACTCTACCCACATCCAAATTTGGCTGATTGATACTGACTCGCATGACTTTGAGCTACAAGGGAATTGAGTCCGAGTTGGATTGATACTAGTCAACCTAACTCAGTTTTAAAGTCTGTTGAGCCAGTAATAGGGCCGACTCCCAAGTGGTAGTCCTTTCATTCATTTAGCTAATGAGGCACCATGTTCATGCTATTTTCTGCTAATGCAATTCTAAAATCTAGTATGATTTTGGGTTTTTACTGTAACTGAACAGTGAAGCTCCGTTCACACATTTAGGAATGCTGAAGAATGTTTATTTTGTAAGCTTACTGGAATACTAAAATACTTTTTTTTTTTCAGGTTTAATGAAACTTTCGATGGTGTGTTGTTGGCTTATTCCTTTGGTCTTCCAAGTAAAACTGCAAGGATTCTTCCAGGACTCATACCATATCTTTGTGTGAACGTGAAAGCAAAACTGTTGTTATTTTCTCCGAGACAGGATATGCTATTAGGTAATTCTGATTCTTTCAAATTGTTACCTAATTTTGAATTGATTGATTTGTATAACTGAATACTATAGCAATAAATTTGTTATTTCCATTTGTATCTTATTTTACAATCTAGTTGTGCAGTCACGGAAGCCCAGAGTATTAGAGTACCAAATATTTAACAGTTTTAAACCCCAACATATGGCGCTTAATTCTTTGGATAGCTTAGCTCATTCCTAGATGCTGTAGCCCAGCATAACTTATCATGAGGACTGAACTGAACCATATGAAAGTTTAACGAACCAGGTTGCATTTTCTTAACTTGGTAAAATCTAGTGAACCATCTAGTCAATGCATAAATAGACCGAGTTGGGCCTAACCCTTATTTGGGTGCAGCCTGTGCTCTGAGGAGGTCCAACCTGTAATCTTGGAATGTTAGCAATAATCCTCCGAGGTCGCACTCCTGAGATTCATGATTCTCAGGATCACTGAGGCCATTCGTACTAGGCTAGTCTTCCAAGCTATTGTTGGTCCAACATAAAGCTGCTCACATGGGGGCGGTGCAGGTGGGGGCCCTGTCTCTTGTACCGAAGGTCAGTAAAACATTTCATCCTAATCCAATGTCCATCCTAGTAGAACTGCTAAAAAGGTTTGGTCCTTAAAAAAAACTTCTATGCTTTGCTAATCAATGCCTAATTTGTCATGTTCTTCACTTGCCAGTTAATAATTCAACACAACATTTTCTACAGGTTTCGAGTTCCAACTATGCTTGGATCTAGGAGCCCAAAGATCCCATTCTTCTTCTTCTTCTTCTTCTTCTTCTTCTTATTTTATGTTGTAAATAATGTTTTGTGCTCTTCAAAAATTGCATTGCGAATAGTTTTTTTTTAATATCTAGTTTGATATTATTTCTGAATAATTGCGTATTTTTATGATTTTAACATTTTTTTTTGCCAACTATTTACATATAACATTTTTACAAAATAGTGTTGCTTAGTTTCATCATCTTGTTTCCTAGGCGTAATGTCATATACTCGACTATGTTGATTTCTTGGACAACCTCGCCTTGGTGATGGCCTCTTTTTCTTTCATGAAATTGATATTCTGCGTATTTTTAATTTTTTTTCAATCTGAGTCTTAAGTTTATTGAACCCTGTCAATGCTGGTACATGTTTCCATGTCAATTCAAAAACTTAAGACATGAAGAAAAGGAAAATTTAGTGCCTTAAACTATCCTTTGATCATGTGGATTCTAAGTATTCTCCAATTTGTTACTTTCAGAAGGGAAGGTGGTTAAGCTGAACAAGGAAACTATTTATGTGGTTGTACTAGGGTTTTGTGCTGCAGCCATCACATCAGAAAATATTCGTGAAGAGTTTAGATATAAAATTGTGAGTTGACAGCTGTAACTTGAAAGATTTTCTGGTTAAATATGCTATGTAAAGAGCTCTGCTATATACAGTATCACTTTATATCATCAACTGCACTCATTTAGTGGTTTATCAATATTTTTACAGAAGGGTGGACATGGGATGTTTTCCAGCACTGCTCACAAACGTCATGTTATTAAACCAGGAACTATACTACGATTTCTTGTCAAAAGGTGTGATTCATAATTTGTGAAATGCCTTTTGCTCGTTAATGACATTACCTCAAAACCTCTGGGTTAAAGTGTCTGTTTCTCGTTACTCTGCGATTCAAATCATTCATTAGCGTTTAGTTTATAAATGTTGATTAAGGTCACTGATATTCTTGTTCTCCTAAATTCTATAAATGAATACTTTTGGATGTCGAATCATTTAATGCTTATCAGATGTACTAATTGGCATTTGTCTTACGATTACTAGTCTAAAGAAGATCTTATGTGCAAGCTTTTTCGAAATCGTTTGAGCAGCACTCTGAAAACATTTTTACCAATACTAATTTTGGTTATTATACGACTTACCATGCAGCTAAGTTCAGTATTTTCTTTCATGACTTCTCTGTATAGATTTTCCTATGTTATGGTTCTATTGCCTATATGTTGTTTGGTTTTCGGAGTCATGCTTTACTGGGATTGTATTATCAATTTCCTTGAGTTACACTCTGTCTACCATCACTTTAAAAAAAATCACCTTAGGGAAAAGCTCTTTATGCTCATTCAATAAGTTTTATGGCCTGTGTGTCACCTTAATGAGCATTTCTCTCCAATGATTTTTGATTATAAAACGGAGATTGGATTGGTAGCCAGAGTGGTTGGATCTTAGATGTGTGGAGGTGAACGATCTAACACATAAAGAAATAGTTTTGATTAAAGAAGGAAATAGAAGGGTTTGCCAGATTAGTTGCTGCTCAGACTTGTGAAGATGTATCTGAGGTGACACGTAAGGTGTTTATGGAGCTGTCCAAGGGTTATTCTCCGTGATGTACTTTATCAAAGAGTATGCTTAACCTGGGAACTAATTGGAGACTCTTGACTTGACTATAGGTAATGCATCCAGTCCAAAAGAGGAATCTGTTATATCCTAGTAAAAAAATGATTTCCTTTTTTCTGTCAGATCGTTGCTCTGGAGATGTTGTTATACCATACCCGTGTAGAACGTGTCGGGTTCATGATTCAGGTCTTCTTTGGGGGCATATAAAACCAGAGATGGGTGCTTTTTAGAAGCTTCGCTGTTGTGGAAATGATTGCTATGTGCAAAAGGTTTCAGTATCTAGGAGACAAATGGTCTCTATCATCTCTGTGAAAGATTTTACAGGAGGTTTCGATGTGGACATATATGATCTGAATAAGGAGAGGAAGATTGATTTTTTCATTTCATGTATATATGGACTTCGGTATGCCAGTAGGCTGCATAAATTAGGTTTGTGGCCCTAGAGCTTAAATAGCAGGTCTGATACCCTGTCAAAGTTAGTTGGGGATATCTAACTCATAACTAAGTGTCAATAAACGGAGTGGACAGATCTATTTTAAAACTCAGTTTTACTTAAAATGGGATTTTTTCTAATAAACTTTGATCAAGGTATGTGCGACCCTTCATCTTTTTGCGAAGTTATACTGTCTTTTTCCCGGGATGCATCTGAGAATCGCATGACTATTATCGAGCTCATAATCTTTTTTACTTTGGCTCAACATGAGGGAACCTGCACCATTTTCAGGGACGGCCATCTCTATTATTTTTGTTGGAGGCTTCACCTCAAGATTCCCCACACCACAGTACCTATTTTTCTGATATTTTCAAACTCTGAATCAGATTCTCTCTCTGGCACGGGATGGTGAAGTGAAACGATTGACTTGGAGGATCTATAGCCCTTGATCACTTTAGTCATTCATTGGGGATATAAATCTTATGGCAGAGATTCATTCATTGGGTTTTCTAAATTCCTATTTCCGAGGAACTGCGCCCGCCCTAAAAATGTTTGCAGCCAGTTGTAAAATGTTTCTGAAAACCTGCACTGCTCCTTTAATGACAAGCACGTCAATTCTCTTACAAATCACCATTATATTTTATTGGCAACTCTAATGCTCATCCGTGTTCGAGAGATGGAATGGAATCTCCTTTAGCTTACATGGTTTGTATTGCATGCTTTCTCATTTCCCCTATAGTAACCTTTCTCATTTCCATGGTTTGTATTGTATGCTTCATGCTCCATCTCGACACGTATCGATCAATAAGGATGTGCTGTTTCTGAGCAGCTCCGCTCATACTTAATTGGAAACTCAGAGGAAAATGTCTCACCGCTTGTAGTTCTTGATATCATCTAGTTCTTCCTATTTATGATGTCCTGGTTCAATTTCTTAACTGAAATTATCAATGTCCATCTCCCGATCTCCTGCTTCCTTGCCAGTTTCACGAGGAACTTGGAAGGTATGTTTGGTTTTCTGGAAAGGATTATAAATGGAAAAATAATAGCTGTTGGAACTAATTATTTTATTCCGTGACATACAACAAATCTTTCATGTGGTTTCCTTCCTGCAAAACCTGTTGCGTGGACTCCTGTCCCTACTAGAAGGACACTTTCTAGTCGTCATTTGACCTCCATGTTAGATGACTTCTGAAATCAGGCTTGAGTGGTATTATGCGGTTATGGAAGGCGTTGCTCTGGTAAAAGGCAAGATGATTCATGTTGCTTGCTACACGGGCAGGCATCACTATGAACGTCATGATTCATCGCCCAATTCCGTGGTTGTTATTCATCATTTTCCTCGTTCACTGAACAACATTGTTTCCATCAGTTATTTCTGTTTAATCTGATGGCCAGTTTTGAGGGAGTAGTGCGCCAGATACATTGATAATAATTAGTAGATGGCATTGCTTATGCGGTCAATGATCAATTAAAACCTCACACTGAGGAGTTTGGAGTTGATTCCTTGGTTCTGTCTATGATCTCTTTTGCACATGACGATATTATTTTTGTTGCCAGTTTTGACGAAGAAATACTCCACATATCTGGTTCATTAATCCCAGCACACACTGGTTGCCTTCGCTGGTTATCCAAGCATGGCACAGCCGAAGACTCAGAGTTTGATGGGTGCGTCATGTTTCCATCTCAAGTAGAGATTTTTGTGCATGATTTCTCAGTTCAGACTTAATCTTTTAAACTTGAACGATGTCGGGAGGATGCTAACAGAAGCTCCATGGGGAACATTGTTCTGGCTCGCTACTATCCCAAGATAGAAACTCCCGACTCTTTTTTGAAGAAGTATTTATTTCTGTTTTTGTTTGAAACTATCGACAGGAGTGAGAAGTCTTGCAGAGGGGATGGAGATATTAGCAGGGACGAAGGCAATGGGCTGCTTAATGAATGTGATGCTACTGCTCTGCGAAGTAAGTCCAGAAGAACCACTTAAGCCCCAAAAAGGAAATGCCCCCCCTGCAGCTCATCACTGTTCTTTCACTGTTGCGTGGCTGCAGCATCTGCATGATTCTTTCACCAAATTTCGGATTAGTCCTTGGAGTCCCCTTTCTCTCATCTCACTTTTGATGTTCGTCTAGAGATTTATACTCGAATGGCAGTCTGATGGGCAATTTTGGGCTCTGTATGGAGACTCTCCGCTCATCTGTTTATGCCTTTTAGACATTGTTGAGCTCTCCTCTGTTTAAATTTCACCCAAGTTTGGGATTTGATTTTGATCAGGTCAGAGAGATTTTCTTCTATTTTTTTCCTTCTCTGTCTGCCTAGTCTATATGGGCGTCTCTTCCATTCAATTCAAATCATCCGTATATTATCCAAGTGAATAGAAAAAAATATAATGTTTTGACTTTTTCTTGTAATGTTTTTGGATATGCTGTGTACGATGCAGTCGTAAATGGGAACTCGGTCAGGATTTTTGGCTGGCCAAGATCTATTTATTGTATAAGGGTAAATTTTAGGAGGCTTTTAAGCTATTTTATTGTCCAAATAAAGATAGAGATGTAGTGTTAATATGATGGTAGTCAACAGAGAGAATCTAACTAGGCTGTTGTCCGGGTTCTCTAGTCGTCTAGCGAGCCGGCTCGTCTTCCTTCCCACGCCTTGCAAATCTTAGAAAAATGGTATCAAGTGGGGAGAGAGAGAGAGAAAGAGAGAGAGAGAGAGAGAGATGGGAACTAGCAGGGATTTCAGAAGAAGATTGTGCTCATCTAGAGTACCTGTGAGTTACAAGGTGTAACGTTTTCAGAGCCAACTGAGGTCCTTTGAGCATGGCGCCCTCTACAAAGAAAAAAGAAATCTCATAACTCTTCGCTGGCACCTCATAATGTAATGCATGAACATTTGAAGCCATTATTACCTTCACAAGATCCCTATCGTTGACTCTTCAAGAGCATCCATGCGCATGGAATCCATAGAATGGCTGATGTGGGGGTACTTCATGTATGTTCCTTGGCTTCTTTTATTGGCATGGTTGGTCTTTCAGATTTCACGTAGATTCTTCTAATAATTAGGACGAACAATTATCTATTATCTATTATCATATCTATGCTGCCTCAATTTTTTGTTCTGAAGTAACACCATCTCTCTTTATTGAAAATTATAAAATTAATCATTATTTTGAACTCATTCAGCTTCAATCATCTCTTAACCATATACTAGCTACTATATGGTTATAAAAAAATGAGTTATGTATCAGAAAAAATCGATGCTCGTCATCCACTCCAACCTTAACGATTATGGATCTTTTAAGCCGAATTATTCCATATGTTCATCCACAATTCATGAATGAAAACTGTATTATCACTCACTTATCTTAAAATTTATTGGCGAGAAATTGTGGCACGCAAAAGGTTATTGAACTACAGGTCTAAAAAGCTTTAAAAAGTTTGTTGGTCGTTTCAAAATTCATTAACATCTTTTAACACAGATAATAATGCTACTGATGCCTCGGTAAAAAAATAAATAACAAATTTGCCCTTCTATGATCCTTGAAAACAATACTATGCCAACTCAATTACGATGAACATCAATGCAACTTCTGACAGATAGAAGGAATAAATGTATTTATTACATTAAGTCAACCAGGATAAGGATTCGCATTAGGAAATAAAGTCAAACGTGAGCTTAAAAAGAATAAAAAATGTTCAACATCTTTCAAGATAGATAATAATGGCAGTGATGCATCAGTTAACAGATAAATAACACATCTGCCTCAATAAGATGGTTGAAAACAATTTAGTGGGAACCAATTTACGTTGAAAATCAATGCAACTTCTTAAAGTTACAAGTAATAAACGTATTTGTTAGATCAAGTCAACCGGCTGAGGATTAGTACTACAAAATAAAAGTCAAATGGGAGCTTTAAAAAAATTAATAACATCAATTTAGGCGTATTGATGTTCCCAGGGTAGGAGGAAGAAGATTGCGTACGAGTTGAAGACGATATAAAGCATTGACATTATGCCTTTATTGCGGGTCAAACGCGTGTAATCAGTTACATATAATGTAAACATAACACCTGCAATAACTGCGATGTTTACTTAGAGTGCTGAGAATCTCATATCGTGTGGCAGCACTCAACGGATGGGATTGACGAGAGAACCAAGTGGTCTGGAAGACAAAGCGGAAATATAATAGATACAAAATCATACTACTACTTTACTAAGGTATTAATGATTTGTAGTACCCTCCGAAAACGGACGGGTTCTCTTCATCGGGACTATGTACTGAGAACTTGGAGCTTGTTTTCGTTTAGCACAGTTGTTCGACAAACTCTTTGCCTCTGTCCATCACTCACGACGTCAATTTGTCCCCACTCTCTTCCTCTCTTCACCTTCGAGAGAGGTTTCTAAGGGTCTGGCCAAGAGGATGTCGGCACTGGGTCTGACCATTTTTCAGGGCCTTGTGAAGTATGTCCTTCCTACGCACAGGTTGGGCTTCACAAGGCCGAGGGCTAGCATGGCAAATCGGCATGCTAGCCCTATTTAGCCTTGTTGAAGTTCCTAGCGATAAAAACAATCATTTTTCCCTCCCTAGAAGTTCATTTCGAGTTGGCTCTGTCATCTTTGATCTGAAGCCCACATCGAGCATAAAAAGACAACTCTTAAGCCTAGTTTCTAGAAAATATCTCGGAGAGCGAGAGCGAGAGAGAGAGAGAGAACAACCTCACCAATCAGTTTAAGGCGGTTCTTAGTCTCTTGTGCTCATCCAATTCACTAGGCCCCTTCCCACTCCAACCGCCTACCTCTGTGTCACTCTCGTCTGGACAAGAAATGCCCACAGCTTAATAAAAGCTGACGTGTACCTCCTGGCAGGTCTCCCACCCTTTTCCATCAGGCACATGCTGTTATGCGGTCCACCCGCCTGTGCCCAATAAGTCAAAGTCACCTTTCGGAGCTGGCGGCTTCCTCCCACCTTCGGAGACGTCACCCTCGCCCAGTTTTCGGCGTTGCTCAGAATACATAACAAACTTGAATTTTCAAAGAGGGATGAATTTTATAAGGGTGTGTGGGGGGGGGGGAGTCGTTAGCCGCGGTATTTGCCCATTTGGAAGTGATACGGACTGATTGCTTCCCGCTGCTTACGGTCTCTCCGCATATGCTTGACGAATTAATTGCCTTGTCGCTGTTTCGACCTGCCAAAGCTGGACCACCCCTTGTCAACTGCGTCTTCGTCAAGGAAATCTCATCTACTTTCTTACTCAATGGAAAGGGTCCTCTACGGCACATTTATAAACTAACATGCCCATCTAATAATATGACGAGGTAACTTAGGATATATCAGACTAAACATACACATAAATCTATGTTGTTATATATACATGAATCAAAATTTTATACGAACTAAACTCTTTGTACATAGTCTTATCGAGAGTTTAGTTAGTCTTAGAATAAAAAGAAATACAGATGGGTTCGTCGAAGTAAAGACATGCGAGACACCTGAGAAGGAATGCCGGTCTAAGACGTCGTTTGGATACAATTCTTTATGGAACGCAAAATGATACACACAGGGACTTTTTCAATGTGAACTGCCCTCGTTCAGCACACGCAGCAGTGCTTCGGTGACGTCGCTGCACACTACCATCGGAGCCGTAGCTCCGCCGCACACGACCCCGCCACCTCCCGCCGTCCGCAAAGGACCGCCATCCCGTCTCCCACCAAACCCTCTACTTTCAACGCGGTTCCTACTGGCTCGCGGTCGTCTCCGCGCTCATAAATTACAAAAGCACTGCACGCGGTACTTTGACCAAGGGATCGTTCTAAAGTACGTCATTATTCGAGTATAATGTAGAATAATATTATTTTTGACATTGTTTTCTTCAACTTAATAAAAATATGAAAGAAATAACTGGAACTTCTAAGCTTGATTATAAGCGCTACTGATCGTAACCAGACGGACCAAACCTTTACCTACACGATTGAGACTCGAGGAACCACAAGATTTGATGAAGCCAGATCGAAGATACTGGATCTCCGGGGCGGTTTGGATTGCATGGCCCTCGTTTAATCGACACGACCCGTCTCCCCAACTTGCTCCTTTTAGTTTACAAACATGCGAACAAATCGTTCGTACTTGCATACATATTTTAACCTAAATTCAAAATGCCGTACCTGAAAATCAGGGATGCTTTGTTGGCGAGTCAAACGAGCCTTTAAGAGGGTGGGGAGGCGTTTTGGGCGGAGGGTGCAGGCGATCACGCTAATGAGAACATAGAGACCACGTGGAATCAGATTCATTCGAAGATATGGTCGAGAGATGATGATCCCATCCAGAGGAGTTTTTATATACGAGCTTACAGATGATCCCGACCTTGCCTTCCCCAGGTTACTCTTCTGTTTTCTGTATTCTATTCTGGTCGGTGGTTCGTCACATGTGCACTCAGAGAGCTTGCTTGTACTAGAATAATGGCGTATTATCGGGGGTGGAAGGAGGGGAGGGAGGGAAAGGGAAGAGTGCGGCAATTCTTCTCTATTCTGATCATTGAGGCGGGAGAACCATGTAGGACCAAGTGGTGACGTAGGAAGTAGATGGGGGAGAGCTGGAGGGAGTGGCGGCTATCTTCCGTTAGGGATTAAAAGATTCAGCTCGCCACGTGTTCTACGATCCAAAATAAGAGGCACCCCGGCCCCCACCCACTCGCCCTTCTCATCCACTGACCTGTTGCCTGAATGGTGAGAAGGAAGAAGACCTCGCGGGAGGGAAGGAGGCAATGACAGCTCACCCGCATGTTGGAAATTAAACCAGCAATAAATTATGTGTCGGAGTTCTCGGTGGCGAATATATGAGAAAGGCGCCAGATAGATGTAATCTATAGTCGTCTTTAGCTTGATCTTTCTATCATTTTCTGGGCCATCGGAGCCGTGCAGCATAGGCCTCAGATGGATTTAATGGGAGGAGGGAGAAGAAGGTGAGTGAGAACTACCGAGTCTTTCGGAGGTCATAGAGCCATGATGTTCCTTCCGAGATCGAGGATGGGGACCCTACATGACCAGGTACAGACTCGTGCCCCCAAGCGGGCTCCACGCCCTCTTACTTTATTCCTACCGTCTCCCATCTGCCAACCCCCTTTTCCTGAGAGAGAACAGCGAGTCCCGTTTCTCCTTAGCCTTCCCCCTCCCTCTCTCTCCCTCTCTTATCTGTGAAGAGGGAAATCCGGGGGAAGAAAACCAGAGTACGGGGGGCACATCCGGTGGTGACGGTCCCCCCCCCCCCCACACCGTCAGCCATGGAAGCTATCGACAGAGACGCCACATAGAAACCGCCCTCCAAAACCGAGGCCTGGAGATGCAGCCACTTGCATCCACACCCTCTTGTCCTGATCCCGCCGCCCCGCCCACCGTTGGGGCACGAGGAAGTCCCTTTCCGGCGACCCGTTCAGCACGGGGTCGGAGAGTGGTCCGTCTGTCCGTCTGTCCGTACGCAACCTCCTACTCTGTTGCTCTCGTGGGCAGCTTAAAAGAGGGATTTTTATGTACATTCCCAGTCGAAGGATTACGTAGAGAAGCCTCCGAGAGGTTCTCAGGAAGGCTCCTGATGCTTCTTTGACCGTTGATATCTGGCAGATGAAGAAAACATGACACAGACTATTGAGCCATCTCTTCCTCACCTCTCTTGGTCTTATCTCTATATCTTACCCATCTGGTCAATGACTAGGACGTCTCATCCCTCTCCCAAAAGTCTTCACTACTCGTCCCCAGCTGCCGACTGTAGACGCGTATGACTGCAGAGCCAAACGTAAAGGACGAGGCTTGGGATGAGCTCATCATGCGGGCTTTTCAGTCCACGGCGCGAAGATCCCCCATGGAGGGAGAGAGAGAGAGAGAGAAGGAAGGAGAGGCGGGGTCAACCTAATTTTGGAAATATGCTGATGTTGCACCTGCCTAGCCAAGTCTGAAAATGTTAGAGCGGCGCCAGTCCTACGCCCACATCTGTCAGGCAGTGGAATATCTCTTCGTGCAATCCGCCGACATCGTGCCCTTCTGCTCGTCCCTGTTCCCCCTCTCCGACGCTTATCCTCCCCTAAGTTCCTTTGAATCCACGAGTCTCTAATTTGTAATTCTTTACGCTAAGTTAAAAGAAGAGAATGAAATTGAGAGACAGAGAAGTCTAGCGAGAGAGAGAGAGAGAGAGAGAGAGTTTTCCGATTTCTTTGGTCTGTGGTATGATGTACACGGGCATCTAGTTTACCGAATGCCCGTAATATAAAAAGACAACGAGAAAGAGAGAGGCGGGTTTGGCGGTGCGAGGGGAGGAGGGATGGTGGTGGGCCATCATCTTCTGGTGAGCTGATATTCCCACCAGGGATGGGTTGGAGGATAGTGACCCCGGCTCTCTCGAAAGAACCTTCGCGGACTATGATTCTATTCAGCAAGCTAGGCCGTTCAAAAATGGACGATTTGACGGTGAAGGGGCGATGAAAAAGGTTGATGACAGGAAGTCGATAAGAAGGAATGGAGGAAGGCATGTCAGGGGCACGAGAACTCAGGGGGGATGAACTTGGAATCCTTGGTCCACACTCTTGTGAACCACCCTCTTCTTCAACTTGCTGATCTCCGGGCCCCCAGTACGCCACCACCCACCCACCTCACACGCGTCAAACTCATCGCACACGTGCTAGGAACAATGAGAGAGAGAGAGAGAGAAGAGGGGAGAGGTGCCTTAAACCCACCCATGAATCTTCTTGCCACCATCACCTGAGTTGACCCGCTCCAACACCGATGAAAGAAACAATAGAAAACCAATTAACTCTAGGGGCAAACTCTATTGAACTCCTTCCCTCCCACTTGTCCTGCAGGATGTTTATATACTCCATCTCCTCCCCCATTTCCTGCAACCCAAACCAAGCTGTCTCCCCGCTCCCGCTGTGCCAGATCCCGTCAGTTTCGTCTTTCCCTTCTCCGCTTTTCCTCGTGTCCAATTCAAACAGCCCGACGCAAACATACAGAGAGAGATATTATTCACAGACGGAAGAAGATAGAGAGAGAGACATGGATAGCAGCTGCATCGAAGAGGGATCGAGCGAGTCGGAGAGGGTTGCGGCACCGGCTCCTGTGGCGTCCCTGTCCTTTCCTATACCCCAGAAGCTGCAGCGGCTGGGCAGCGGCGGCAGTGTTGTGCTGGACCCGGAGCTGTGCGGGGAGGCGGAGTCGCGGAAGCTTCCGTCTTCGCAGTACAAGGGTGTGGTGCCGCAGCCCAACGGGCGGTGGGGTGCCCAGATCTACGAGAAGCACCAGCGGGTCTGGCTCGGTACCTTCAACGAGGAGGCCGAGGCCGCCAAGGCCTACGACGCTGCCGCTCAGCGCTTCCGCGGCCGCGACGCCGTCACAAACTTCAAGCCCCTCTCGGAAACGGACCCGGAAGGCGCTGCTGAGCTCCTCTTCCTCCGTTCCCACTCCAAATCCGAGATCGTCGACATGCTCCGCAAGCACACGTACCAGGACGAGCTCCTCCAGAGCAAGCGCGCCATAGCCCTCACGTCCTCTGCGGAGCTGGGCTCGACGGCCTGCCTGTTCCGATCAGACCGCCCCACCGCCGCGGCCCGGGAGAAGCTCTTCGACAAGGCGCTGACTCCCAGCGACGTGGGGAAGCTGAATCGGCTGGTGATTCCGAAGCAGCACGCGGAGAAGCACTTCCCCCTGCAGGTCAACGGCCCCGCCTGCAAGGGGACTCTGGTGAATTTCGAGGATCCCTGCGGGAAGGTGTGGCGCTTCCGCTACTCCTATTGGAACAGCAGCCAGAGCTACGTGCTCACCAAAGGCTGGAGCCGCTTCGTGAAGGAAAAGGCCCTCAAAGCCGGCGATCTCGTCGGCTTCCACCGTTCCACCGGACCCGAAAGGCATCTCTTCATCGACATGAAGCCCCGCGTCACCGCTACCGTACCGGGTGTCCTGCCAGTGCAGGCAGACAGCAGGCCTCTTCAAGTGATGAGGCTGTTCGGAGTCAACATCGTCAACGTTTCCACCGGTGGACACCGTGAGGTGGACGAGAGCTCTGCGGGGAAGAGATTACTGGAGATCAAGTTTCTGCCTCCGGCCCAGCTTTGTAAGAGGCAATGCTTGGGAGCTTTGTGCGTTTGATGCCAATCTTTGCGGCGCTGACCGACTGCAAGCACGATAGAAGAGAAGGTAGCCGGATATACCAACGGCAGTCCTTTCTTCTTCTTCGACCGTCGCAAGCAAACAGGAAGAGGGAGAGAGGAGAACGAGTCCTTTCTTCTCCTGGCTGAACAACTGTAAATTCCAATCTGTATATTACACCGAGAGATCCACTGAAAGAAGGCGAAGATAAGGAAATGAGGGAAAGTTAGACGTGATGTAACCAGTCTTAGACGATCAATTTTTTTTATCAAACAAGCTGTCCCTCAATTTTCTTTATAATCTTCTTTCGCTTCTGAGTCTGTCGCCCTATTCGGATGGTATTCTTGTCAAATAAGCTCTCAAATCTGAGCTCGTACGCTCTCTCTCTGTCGCTCCAATGACATTTGGTTGTTAGATGATGATGCACAAAATAAATTAAGCTTGGATATGATCCGATTAGTTGACGAAATAAGCCTACAAAAGAGGGCACAGTTGATGACTATTTTCTCGCTGCTTTTCTGGTCCCCATGGGCTGACAGGTCCTTTTTTCATGAGTCGTGCCTGGCATGCCGCCGCAGTTCCTTGTCAACACATTACATCATGAACTGGCGTGTGCTTACTGTGTTATAGAGTCTCACCTCCCCCTCCTCGCGGTTACAAACGGACATGGGAGGATGCCAGGTTTCTGCTATGGGTAAGACGAATCTAATGAAGGAAAGTGGCAGATTTCTGCCACGGGTCAATGAAAACAGGAGAGATCGTGTACTTCATTTACAGAGAGAGAGAGAGGGAGGGCCACTTGATTTTGCTACCCATTCCGCCATTAAGATGCTCTCCGTGGATTGATGAGCTATCAGGAGACCCAACCGCCGAATGTAGCGGTTTAGAAAACAGAGGATTTCGCTTTTCCCTCGTTCTCAAGTTGAAGGCTCTCTTACAGCTAAGGTCAACCTGCCTGGGCCCCTCTTCCTGAAACCAATGCACCTGCTGCAAGACGGGCCATGGGGAGATTAAATGTGATGGTGACCACAGGCGCCGCCCCCCCCCCCCATCAGACCATTGGCGTAGGCGACTGACGTCAAAAACAGGCCGGAGGAAACCCTCTTTCTTCGAAACACAGACCTAACTGTCAGTCATCCATGCGTCTTAAGAACATGAAGTCTCGGTGAAAGAAGGCGCAACGAAAGAAGACGTCCGCATGATGCTGCTCTGAAACTTCTGCCGTATGACTGAGGTCAAGCGCTCCCGTGGGCAAAGTAATACTCAAGATTGGCGCGTCACTGTTCATCTTTGAGATGCGTTCTGACTCTCCACCTCGCTGATGGAGCCCTCCCTTGACGCACGTCGGACAGCTTTGATAAAGGACAGAGAAGGGAGGGCCAGTCGAGGCAGTGGCAGGAGGAAGAAACCCGAATGGATGCCATGGGAACAAGTCATTTAGAGATGGGGCCCCGCGTCTATTGCAGACTGATGAATATCCAGGCGGAGCCAAACTCTTCCGATGGGGATCAATGGCTTATCGTTCTCATTTCTTGTTGGCCATCTCAGCTGACCGTGACAGTTGAACAAGAAACCATCACATGCTGAAGGGTTATATTCCAGATAAGAAATAGAGGTCGAAAGGTATTGTCCTAGTAGGGGCCTCCTTTTCTTGAAGATGAAGGAAAGTCCTTTTTATGCTATTTTTTTCGTTTGTCAAGAAGACAATGGGGCTGGAACACAAGTTGAGTAGAATATATAGTAATAGGGGCAATGCTGTTTGAGTATTTTACAAGGACAGATGGGGTATAAACTTTTCGGGAGTATATCAGATGTGCCATAGACTATTCCGTCTTTCAGTTTTTCATCTCCATCTTTCAATCCCTCTTTGATATTCGTGAAATAGACTTTTGTTTATTTTGTAGTGAGAATTTGACTCTGGGAGATTGGATAACGTCTGTGATTGGGTAGAGAGGAAGAAGAGAATTCTACGCAAACAATGAAGAACTGTAGGTGACGACAAGGAAGTATTAAAGTTATGATAAAATAAATCATAATGAAAAATTTCCCAACTCTTATACTTCTATGCTAACTCGAATATTGAGATCGCATGGGTTCAACTTTAGGGCCAGAGGAGGTCGTAAGTTAAAGTTATGATAAAATTACCGTTGTAAATGGTTTTTTGAGTGGATACACTTGATTATCTACATGATGAAAGGAGAGGGATGGATGTGGACGAGAAATGCCCCTAAGGCGCTCAACAGGAGACAGGAGAGTAATGGATGTGGTCGTAAGTATCTTCCCCATAAAGAGACCGACAGCTAATATTTTTTGAATTATGCGCTTCCCAAGGGAATATCATTACTTTACATAATTCGATGGATTAAAATAATTATTAGGATCATGTGTTGCAAACATATTCACTAAAGACGAAAATTACATACTAAAGATTTTTTTTTTCAATGCGGGATAATTAGTTGGCCGTCGACATTGGATGTCAAGAAAATAAAGAACATATTTCCATTGAGAGAAAGGTCAGGAGAAGATCCAACCATGACGGTGGAAAAGGAGAAAAAGGTCCTCTCTTTACTATCGATACCAACCTTGGGCTTCTCAAATGACGTTATAATGGGAAGGGGGAGAAGAGATAAATGAAATACTTTGGCCTTGAACAATAGAAACTAAGTCCTTGTTTCCAAAAAATTAAAACTAGAAAAGCTATGGTTATTCGGGATGATTTACAGCTCTTGTCATGCTGTGAAGGAATAAGAGCTTTATCTCTTTTCCAGTCATTACCTAAATCAACTTGAAGGAAAATGGTATGCTATCTTAAATTTTCTATTTCTTTTCTCCATGACCATTGGTCATTTCCTTTCAATCCTAAGGCCTATTTTTCTTTCATCCTGACAAAGTCCATATCATACCATGATTCAACCACAGTATCAGTCCCGGCGGTAGAAACTGTCAGGCAAGATGATGCGCAAGACATGAAGCCAGAAAACTTGTTTCATGTTCTTACTAATTCGGGGTATATAAATGTTTTTTTTCATATTTAATTGAGAAATATGCAAACGCCAAAATTTGAAGGAAAATGGTGTAATGTTGGTGTGGGTCTTCACCTACCGTATTGTCACAAAAACATTAGTCTCAATCTAAACCTTAGTTCAAGTTTTCCTATTCTTAGGCCTTTTTCTCAAAATCTACAAACCTTAACCCACTGCAACAAATTGCTCTCTTAAACCCAACTCGTTAATCTTTCATCTCAACGGATATCAGGTCTTCTGAATTCATTATTCCGTAATTGTGTAGCAGTTGTAATCATGAAACCATATTTGTCGACAACGACCTGATTAATCATTTCACTACTATTTTTCTAGCATGAATCCATGTGTCGGAAGATCAGGTCTCCCGAACGAAGTTTTACGACAAAATCTTAAATGGTGCTTGTCTACATAGAAACCCCAGCAAAAAAGAAACATTTAAAACTACTAAGTGTACTCGTCCTGAAATACTAGTCAAGGAAGCCATCCGGTGTGAAATGTGAAGTGACGCCCCATTTCTAAGTCAAAAACAAAAGTACCTAGACGAACAAGAGGAAGGAAATAAATGAAAGGAAGAGCCACAAAAACTACATTTTAGATGAATATGATGTTAAATAAATGAAGATGAACAAGAGCATAGAGAGATCCAGAAGCAAGACAAAATATTTCTTTTCGCTACTGTTTTCTTCCAGTAGAGACAATATGAGAATTAAAGTTAACAGAGTTGTAAATTTGTCATCTTCCCAAAGATACTTCTTTGGTTTGGGTCCCATTGAACACAATCCTATACAATGTTATTCATCTGAATGGAGCTTATGTCGGTTAGGTTTCAGTAAGCCTAATCGTCCAGACAACCACAAAAGGATGAGGTCGGCTGGCAGGTCAAGGTTGTCGTCCTTGCCCAGCATAGAGACAGTCTCGTTGCCGTCTGAAGGGAGTGAGCTAAATATTTTTATGTTGGTGGGTCTGGGTCTGACATCTCAAACTGGATGGGCCCTAATATAGCGAGTAAACCAAAAACGGTAGTTGCCGACTTTCACTTCTCTCTCCGTCTTTCGCTCTCTCTCTCTCTCTCTCAGACACACACACACGCGCATACACACACGCAGACACGCACACACAAACGGACACACACACAAGCACACACACACGCACGCAAACGGACACACACACACACACGCACGCACACACACACAAACACGCGCGCGCGCACACACACTCTATTCCTAGTTGAGCTTGCCCACAGTGCTGATTCCTTCTGCTTGAGTCTGGTGAAAGGCCGGAATAGTCTCCCACAGCCCCTCTGTCTTGATACATTGGTCGTTCTACCTGTCACTGTCTCAACAAAACTATATCGTCCACATCATCGCTCCAGCGCGCTTTGTTCATTCCTTAAATACTTTCTATCGTACCTTTGTTCAAGTATCCTTATGCATGGGGGCTATGGGCATGTAGACTGATAGATGGTCAAATGGAATGGGATGTATATGTGTAGATGTCATGTAAATGGATGTCAAGTTCATCTCTGTAGATCGCCCGTCTCCCGCTTGAGGGGGTGAAATATGGCAGCATCTGACCCAACAGAGAAGGGTCATTGTAAGCTGAGAAAGAGAACAATTGTCAATTTCCCTGTAAGATTAATATTCGTAAACTTGTAGGCTAACGATGAATGTTCTTCTACGCCATTTCGCCACAATGGTTCAGTTACAGAGAATGACGACTGCGAATTCTCGCGCACACTTCCATGCGCATCGATGGTCCTCTCTCTCATTCTCTCTCTCACTACCTCGTTTGTCTACGCAGACTCTCTCTCGTCTATCTAAATCCAGTTATAAATCGAGCTGTCTGGAAGTGAACCCTTTTAATCAAGTGAGGGACGCCATAGACAACAAGCTACCTATGCATATGTTCAATCGCTTACATCGACCCCCTCTCCCTTCCTAGGAACACTAAGGATAGACCCATTTTATTTCTTATTCT